ATTCACTTTTTTGTAGCACAAAATTTTGTAATGAATAGTACAAACAATAAAAGCAAAGACAGTGGTATATAATATGAACTAATATCCGAAATCTTTACACCATCAGACATTTGTAAGCACGGAAGCAATTGGTGTTAAATCTTTAATATTCTGAACAATATACATCTCTACTTCCATTGTTAATTATAAGCTTACAATTTAATTAACCAATTAATACACACGAAGTTAAGACTCTTCCCTATGTAGATTTCTCTAACCATTTACGAATTTTGGATATATTGCATTGTACAATTATTCAGATCGCAGTATGAAGAAACTAAACAGTATTAACAGTAAAGGATACATACTTATGTATGATGATAATTAATAGGAGATATCTGCAACTGATACTATTGCTCAATTACAAAAATTTATACTGAATGACCAAATTGAAAAAATATTCCCATCCAAAGTTAATGCATTTACGCTTGATCCTTTAGTATTTGCTTTCTAAATAATATTTTATTTACTAAACACAAACCTATTATACAGTTAGATTTAACGGATACATTTTTAATCAATAAAATCCCAAGCATAATAATGTGAATTAACAATACTTAAAAAATGATAAAAATGACTCCTAAAATTTTGATACTAAAAGTTACAAAGGACTAAAAAAAGAAACTATAAGAATAACAAAAAGAAATTCCAGTACTTAAATGCAAGTATTACTCTGTATAATCTGGTGGCTTCTCAAAAGATGCTTGAGGCGATGACCCATAATGGAGCAAAATGAATTGTTTCTGATGAAGTAACTACCATGTTGCATGCACCATCATATGCAGAAATAATTGAAGTACTGGGCATTTGATTACTGGACTGTTTAATAAAATTAGTTGGTTTCTAACTAGATACAATACCATATTTAGATCCAGGATGTGATATATGGTTAATCTCAGTGATACTGTCTTTTGTATAATTAATCCAACCAGTGGAATATGATACATTTGCTGAACTACTCCTCCTTGCGTTAACGTTAGAGTTATTCAAAATATTTCCTCACCCGTTTTTGGTGCATTCTCAAAGGCTGAAATTACTGCCAGTGTGAAAATTACTACCAGTATTAGAGTTATCACTAACGTAACTAGGTTTTGAAAGATTTGTAAGTGGGCAGAATATGTGGATGTAGTACTCAAAGAAATGAAATTAAAAGCAACTACGAAATCAGATCTTGAACGTCTATTGTTAGACGTATTTATGGATATCCGACTTGAGTTTGTTCCAATATCGACATTAGACATACTGACCTTCGTAGCTCCCTCACGAGTAACGCAGAATATTCAAAGCGATTACGATGGTACAATATTATCGGGTGATGCAACTTTAATTCCAATATAACGACTTGTCATAAATTCACTTGGTACCAAAACTTAAATATAAATACTTGATTGTGACGATTAAACAGTTTAAGAACGACTAACAAATGCAAGTGACGTAGTGGTCTCCTTTATTTATTGAATATCTTCATGAATATGGAAGGATGAATACTTAGTTGATCCACTAAGCTGTCTCGAATCAATATTTATGAAAAAGACTTATATTGGTCCATCCAATTCAACTGTTAAAGAAGAAAATAACGGGGGCGTTTTTCCAATCTCATAATTAGCAGATAGTATGAGCCATTGAACTTAATGAATTTGTCAAATAATCAGATAACGTGCCATATGAGTTAGTTGGATTGAGACATTAAAATTGTGGATAAGACTGCAAAATGCCAGAATGAATAGTTGATAGGAATACAAAAAACAATTATTGACAATTGACTTGATAATTTATTGGAAAATTTAGAAAAGAACTTACAAGTGGCGCCAGTCGATTGTCCCAAAACTTGGCTAATTTGCAGACTCAACAACAGAAACAAAATATGGAAAACAAGCAAATTTGAGGAAAGGATTTTTCTCTAATGAAATGATCAGTTACAACTTGTTGGTGGTGAACAAATAAAACCAATTGCTATATGGAGGCTACTCACACTAGTGGCCTTGGACGGTGCCCTAGGATATTTTATTTGAGGAACTACATAGAAATTCTTATATTTGAGTTCATACAAATGGGCAAAATAGTGAGAGAGATTGTACTGTGGGATGAAATCACCTGTTTCAGTAGTCAAATAGCAGTACATTAATTCAAGCATTCATTAGTTTTTGTTGTTAAAGGCATTTATTACGGACTATGTGAACTTTAGTTGGTTCCGCTTTCCCCGACTTCATACCGTTATCGCAGGCTGTCATGCAGCTAACTAATTTAAATGGACATTAGTATAGCAGTTCAATTAAATAATATTAAGATACACCTTCTAGTCATATACTTCAAAGTCCTTAATCCTTTGTACTCAGTTCAAATGATTATAGTCAGCCGGGGTTTCCTTTGGGGTATGATAGTACCAGTCAGGAACCCTGTAGATCGTCTCTTCTTGTTGTTCGTTCTAGTATCTACATTAAGCCTAAATAATATATAATTCTATATAATATCCTGTCACATAATAATCCTTAAATGTATCCATAAGTGTGCTAAATTGGTTATATGGTCGTGTGCTTGTTTCAATCTCACTTATGGGTTACTATTCTCAGTGAGGTGAATCGGTGGTGTTCATCCGTGGCACTTTTCCCATATTAGATGGATACGTGCAGGTCACACCGATGGCGCACTTACTTCGATTGCTCAGTATTCCTCTTAATACTGGGGAAGTGTGCAACACAGGCAGAACAGTGAAATACATTTCTAATAGGACTTGTACTTGGTATTGTGTAACTTAGCAACAAGTCAATATTACACACACAAGTAAATAGAAATAGGAACATGTAATGTATTCATATCCTATTAAGTCCAAATTTATGATGCTTCTCACTAGAATGATTTGACCGTTAACTATGTAGTTATCAGCTAAGACCTGATCTGTGTATCATTTTTCACTTACCAGAGTGTTTAGCCGTAACGAAACTAATACCACACAAGTGTTGATTCAAAGGAATTTTTTGTAACTATCATCCTCCTCGAGGCGGTTTTACCAACAATAGAGCATTTGTTGCAATAATAACAAGAATGAAAAAAATTACCACAAATCTCAATATAAACACACATACACACACACCATGTTCCAAAAATAATCCACATTATAGACACTTTTCCTAGAAACCAAACAAAATAAAAGGCAGGGTTGTTCTCCCTACCATCAGAGATTTTTCTCCTTTAGAGTTGTTCATCAACACATTCGCTTTAGCTCATAGACAATGAAATTCTCCACTGCTACTCCTTTCGCTATTTTGTTTGCAGCCACTGTTTCTGCTGGTTTGGGTGATACCCTCACCACAAACCAAAAAACAATTGTTACTATCACTGATACCGATTGTGAAACCAAGGGTACTGATTGTCCAAAACATAAAACCAAGCCAACTTCTACTCCTGCAACTACTCCTGCAACTACTCCTGCAACTACTCCTGCAACTACTCCTGCAACTACTCCTGCAACTACTCCAGTTACTACTCCAGTTACTACTCCAGTTACTACTCCAGTTACTACTCCAGTTACTACTCCTGCTACCACAATCACGGATGAAATTATTTCAATTCCCCATGTCAGTCAAGAAACTGACGAAGGTCCAGGTTTCACCATCTTGCCATTAGGTGGTGGTAATGGTAACTCCTCCATTGCAACTGGTAGAACTCCTCCAGTTGTCACTTTTGTCGGTGCTGGCTCTTCCAATAAGAATGTTCATACTGGTGCATTTGCTTTAGCTGTTGGTGGTGCTATTGCTTTGTTGATGTAAGTACCTACTGTGTCTTAATCAACCATAGTACCTTATTATCATATTCTTCGGATTTTTATTTTACTTTTTTTTTAATTTATAGAGATTCAATATATGCATATTTTCCGATTAGATATATATTCTTATAAAGTTGATCTCTTTTTGTAATTGAGAGTCACTGTGCACTTTCGATGCTCACATTATGTCTAGTTATAGTATTAGTAAGCCGCGTTACAAACGCGGAACTAATAACTGTGGGTATAATCAAACTTCATGGGGATTCAAATATTACTCAAGAAGAAAACAACAAACTTTCACCACTCAGTAAGTAAATGACCAGTTTGCCGAGTTATTTATCATCTATTACAATTAAGTAATCTATAATGAAATACTGATTGTCTTAGAATTTACTGAGAATTTAGGATTATCTCGCATCGCATATCCTAATCGGGTAACGATTTCCACATCGCCCACGACTTTGGAAGGGAAAAATAAAAATTCCAATCAAAAAGATGACGGCCATAGAACGACAAGCAAACAACTCGAAAAAAAAAAAAATAATATAAAGTCTCTCTCCTTTTCCTTGATTAGATTAATTAACCAATTGATTTGTTTCTAGAGTTATTCAATTAATTCATATTTATAATTTATCAATCATGTCTGAATCAACTGTTGGAAAAGTATGTGAACTTGAAAAGACTTCCAAATTCAGAATGAAACTTCAATTTTGATCTGGGAATTATCTATCGTATTTATACTACATCTATGAAAAATTCACCTTAGTAGTTATCAGAAATTCGTAATTGAAATTTGAAAAAAAGAAAAACTATATACTAACATCTGACTTTTTTTTTTCACTAGCCAATTACATGTAAAGCTGCTGTTGCCTGGGAAGCAGGTAAACCATTGACTATTGAAGAAGTCATTGTTGCCCCACCAAAGGCTCATGAAGTCCGTATCAAAATTTTATACACTGGTGTTTGTCACACTGATGCCTATACCTTAAGTGGTGTTGATCCAGAAGGTGCCTTCCCAGTTATTTTGGGACATGAAGGTGCTGGTATTGTTGAAAGTGTTGGTGAAGGTGTCACCACTGTTAAGCCAGGTGATCATGTCATTGCTTTGTATACTCCAGAATGTGGGGAATGTAAATTCTGTAAATCTGGTAAAACCAACTTGTGTGGTAAGATTAGAGCTACCCAAGGTAAAGGTGTTATGCCAGATGGTACTCCAAGATTTATTTGTAAAGGTAAAGAATTGATTCATTTCATGGGTTGTTCCACTTTCTCCCAATATACTGTTGTTACTGATATCTCTGTTGTTGCTATTAACGATAAAGCTGAACTTGATAAAGCTTGTTTGTTGGGTTGTGGTATTACTACTGGTTATGGTGCTGCTACCATCACTGCCAATGTTCAAAAAGGTGATAATGTTGCTGTTTTCGGTGGTGGTTGTGTTGGTTTATCTGTCCTTCAAGGTTGTAAAGAAAGAGAAGCTGCTCAAATCATCTTGGTTGATGTTAACAACAAGAAGAAAGAATGGGGTGAAAAATTCGGTGCCACTGCTTTTGTCAATCCATTGGAATTACCAGAAGGTGTTACCATTGTTGATAAATTGATTGAAATGACCGATGGTGGTTGTGATTTCACTTTCGATTGTACTGGTAATGTCGATGTTATGAGAAATGCTTTGGAAGCCTGTCATAAAGGTTGGGGTACTTCTGTTATCATTGGTGTTGCAGCTGCTGGTAAAGAAATTTCTACTAGACCATTCCAATTGGTCACTGGTAGAGTCTGGAAAGGTGCTGCTTTTGGTGGTGTTAAAGGTAGATCTCAATTACCAGGAATTGTTGAAGACTACATGGATGGTAAATTAAAAGTTGAAGAATTCATTACTCACAGAAAACCATTGGAAGAAATCAATGAAGCTTTTGAAGATATGCATGCTGGTGATTGTATCAGAGCTGTTGTCAATTTATGGTGACTAGAACGTGAATCGCCAAAGCTTTGATCTCCTTGCAAGGAGAACTACAAATATATACATAGTTTTTTAACGTTTATTGTCTATAACAAGAGAACAACTATTCTTCTTCTTCGTCATCACTTTGTAAATCGGCGGCTGAAGGTATATCTACATCTTCATCATCATCGTCGTCCTCGTCTTCATCCTCGACGTCTTCATCGTCCTCACTTTCTTCATAATCATCAACACCATCCATGATTTCATCTTCATCTTCACTAATAACACCAATATATTGAGCGTCATCTAATTCTTCAATATATTCAACATCACTTGGTTCATAAACTTCTTCATCTTCTTCAACCAATTCTTGATCATATATTTCATTTTTCAATGTAGTATTATCATTAGTCAAATTTAATCTTCCTTGTAATTCCAATAATCTTGGCAATGATTCAGCTTTTTTATTCAATACAGAATATAAAGTAGCCAATTTAACATTCAAATTAGGTAATGAAGCAATTACTGGACCATGAATAACTAAAATCCATTTTAACCAAAATGCAAAAGTTTCAAATCTTGTTGGTTGACGTTGTAATTTATCACTTAATTTATCCAAAAATAATACAGCAGTATATGGATCTAATCTATTGATGGTGTTTTGAATAGTTACAGTATCACGATTTTGTAAAACTGTTTCCAATAATGAAGTATCGTTATTTTGTAATGATTGAGTTAAGATAATAGATAATGAAACACCCGATCTAGCTTCTTCTAATTTCTTTCTTCTTGATTTAACTGGAGTTTTAGATGTATCAACAGATAATCTATCTAATTTTTCAGCAAGTGATTCTTCTTGATCTTCATCTTCTTCATCAATGTGACGAATATTTGAACCATCACTGATGATAGTATGACCTTCACTATAAAGTTTTGGTGCTGCTACATCATGACCATTTATAGTAGTATGTTGTGTAACTCTTAAATCAGGTTTAGATTTGGTTATTATTTTAGTTGAATCAAGTAAGAATTGATTACCAGTTTCATCAATCCATTTAAGGGAATCAAAGAAAGGAACAGTTGAATTTTCCAACCATGTGAAAAGAATAGCATCTCCTAATGTTGAAATTGCATTGATGTACAAATTTGCATCATGAGGATTTTTAATTTCTTTTTCAGGACGAGATAATTTAATAGAACCATTTGATGATCTTGAACTGACACCAATTTGTTTTCTTTTCTTTTTAGACATTGGAGTTGAAGGTTGTGATGATTTAGGTTGTTCAGATAATGGATTATTAAAAATTTCTAAATTACCTTCTTCATTAATAACAACAAGTACAGATTTATCATCTTGAATACCAATTGATAAACTTTCCACTGATGAAGAAGCAACAAAGACGGCTTTAGTTGTAATTTTATCCAATTGATATAAATTAATAAATCTATCTCCTTTGGCACTTGTCATAAAACTATTATCATTAATTGGAGTTATTGTATTTATTGGTTGAATATGACCAGGGAATGTTTTAACAACTTCTTTAGTTTTAATATTGAAAAGATAAATTGAATTAGATCCAATCAATAAACATGGTTGTCTTTGATAAAATACAGTTGAGATTCTATTAATTGAATCAATTGAATCAACTATATCTTTAATTTTCAAACTATTTTTCATTTCAAATGTATTCATATCCCATTCATTTATATTCCCATCGATATCACATGACCATCCTGATTGAGTTATTTCAGAATAATGGAAATCTAAAATTGATACATTTGCAGAAGCATTTAATTCTGAAATAATTTCATTTGTTTGTGGTGAATAAATTAAAACAGTACCTCTAGTTAAACAAAGTGCTAATAATTCAACATTATTATTTCCTGAAGGTATCCATGTTAAGTTTGTTAATTTATTTGATTTTTCTAAAGTAAATGATGTATTTAATGATGAGGAAGATGATTGATTGGTGGTTGATTGAACTTTAACTTGATGAGCATCTAATGCAACTAATGCAGTTGCAAGAAAACTACCACTTGCATCAAATTTCGAACAAATAACTGGTCCTGACATGTGTATAATGGTGGTGGTGATTTTAAGTGATGAGGTTGGTAGAAAGTGATGAGGTTAAATAAAAAGCTGAAAAAAAAAAAAAATTATCAAAATTGTGAAAAAAAAAAAAAAAATATCCACAGATGTCGCGATGATGTGACAATGTCGTAGACGACATGTATATATATTAAAGCCTATTTACTTTCTCTTTTGTTTCTTTTCAATCGGTTCTGGTTCTGGTTCCGATTCTGATTCTTCTGTATCTTTTGAAATTGATATATTTATTCCTCCACGTGATACTCTTCTTCTTTTATCATTCAAACTAGTTAAATTTGAAAAACTAGGATTAGTGCTGAGACCCGACTCTTCTGATTCATCTACTTCAACTTCATCATCAAATAAATGAGAATTGGAAACAGGTTCCTTAGTTTCTTTAAGTAATTTTTCATACTCTTCTTTCTTCATTTTCCCTTCTTTGACTAGTTTTTTCATCAACTCATTCAGTTGTTCAACGGGACTATGTGCTGGTGTTTCTTGTTGTAATTCTTGCTCTTCATGATCAAACTTTGGTGAACCTTCAGTTTTTGGAGTACAACTAGTTGTTGTTGTAGTAGTAGTAGTAGTAGTAGTAGTAGTAGCACCTGGAGTTGCAGGACCAGCACTAACTGTACCAAATAAATACTCAGCAGCATTCAAGTTCTTACTAGGATCAACACCTTTCTCAATCAATTGTTTGATACTTGCTTCCCCAGTTGGATCTTGTTTAATTTCTGGAAGAATTTCTCCACATTTCAATGCAGCTGCATCTTGTGAAGTAAACTCTTTAGAATGGGCTATTCTGCTATGATTTAAAAACCCTTGAGCGGATGAGAAATTATTTCTTTGACATATAGGACATGTTAATCTAACCACAACTCCATCTGTTCTTCTGTATAAACAACCTAAACCTGGGTTTCTTCCACCTACTGTTGCCAATGCTATTGACGTTGCTGATGGGCGTAAAGATGAGGTCGTTGATCTGGTTCTATATGAATGGCCTGGTTGTTGAGAAATACCACCTCCAAGAGAAACATGGCCACTGGAATCATCTAAATATTTTGAACTAAACAGTGGCGTTTGATTTTGTAATTGTTGGTTCTGTAGTAGTAAATTCTGATGAACCTGAGCTTCTGGAATTTGTTTGAGATTGTTATAAGTTGAATCAAATGATTTATTTAATAAATTGAAATATTTCACTGTGAAATCATTAGGTTCATTATCTAGTTTAGTATCATTTGAAGTTTCATAAAATTTCCTTAGTATTAACATTTGTGACTCAATCTTACCAATCTCATGATCATTCAAATTCAATTCTCGATGTTTTAATTGGATTTCTAAATCTAGTTGATTAGTTATAATCTCCTTTAATTTATCGTGAGGGATGTCTTTCAATCGATTTAGTATTATATCTTCTTGACTTAATGATTCTTCTGAATTTGCCTCCGTGGATTGTCCCAGATTATCATCTAGTTCCGATGATGCTTGCGGGTTTGTTGATACAGAAAATGAACTTTCTTCTAGTTTTTGATCTTCGATTGATTGATACTCTGTGTTATCACCCATCGCTGTAGTGTGGTTATTATATGAAATGTAAATTGATGAATAATAATTTTGATGTTTATTTGTTTTATTTTAATTTTTTTTTTTTTCTCATGTGTTTGTTGCTTTTGTTTTGAGTAATAATTACACTTGGTAGCGTTGAAATATAATGGCAAAAAACAACATGGTAAATCTACTACTGAAGGTACTCTGCTGAAAATGTGTGAGTAAGATCAAGTTGTGACCATATTCTAAACAAGAATAGTTTCAGATAATTACTAAATTTTGATTCAGATTAAATTTTAGTTAAAATTGACTTGAAAATCTTGATAAAATTCAATCACCGAAAAATATATTCCATTGATTGATAATCTTACACAAGTAAAAGTGTATCTACACTTTGAACCAAGTCCAACTACTAAGCCACATGGCCAGTTATTACATCTTCAACTGTGACTTTAGATTCCTCCCTTTCGCTTGTGGTATTATTGTTTTTCAATACTCTTTTTCATAAACACGATAAACATGGTGTACCTCAGCATGAACATTGACTAATATTTCATACATGTTTCGACAGAGAATTTGTGGTATATGAAAGAAGATCGCTTCATCTCAATCAAGAAAAATAAATAAAAAACTCCAAGAAAGTTATATATTACCGAAAGAAGTGATCATCTCGGTATTTCAAATGGTAGAATAACATGTTAGATATTCATTTCTTGTTTGTTCAATAATAAAAAACACCCATTCTTTTTATGGTACAACCAGGCTTAAACATTGGGTGGTGGGTTTTAACGATTTTCAATGTAAATCTCTATTGGGTTTAAGTTTCATAACTCAATTACAATTATGCAGCTACCGAATTAGGAAACTACGCCGCATTTTTAATGCTGCGAAATGCCGAAGACCATTTGAAAACTTGAAATGTGTAGATGAATTGAACAAAAGGATATTATCAGGTCATACTCAAAGTGTAAGATATGCGAAGATCTTTTTCTATCCCTTTAGAAATTAGTATATAAAGAGGAGAAAAGTATCCACTTCTTGAAGGAGAATATATTTCTAATCAACAGCCAACTTCATCTCATTGAAAATGAAATATTCTGTCGTTTTAACTGTTGCTGCTTTTGCTATTTCTTCTGCTAATGCTACTTTAAGTTTAAGTGGTCTTACTTCCTTGTTTAACTGTGGAGGTTCTTCTTCTGGTACTACTGGTTCAACTGATACTTCCACTACAACTGCCACTCCATGTGAAACCGTTGTTACTACTCAAGAATGTAATGAATGTGAACAACAAGGTTCTGCTACTGGTTCTTATGATCAATCTTCATCTTCTACTTCTGAAGTTCCAACTGACATGATGTCACAAATGATTGGTGGTCTTTCAAATATTATTGAAACCACTTTCAGTGGTAGTGGTTCTATGTTACACAACTTGATTGGTTAAGATGTAGAGATTTATAAATACAATATACTTTTGGTATTTTTTTTCTTTTAAAAAAAAAAGTCTATTTTTATTTTTTATTTTCAAACAACTATAAACTTGTAGAGGTTTATTAATCAAGTGGCAATAGTAGTATAATCACTTGGTGCACCGCTAATGGATTCAGGAGGATTTGGACAAATATCGGAATATGTTTTATCTGGTTTATCCAAATTGTAAGTCTTTGTTTTGTTTTTCTTTTTGTGAATAACAACAGGAATTAACCCACCGGTTTGCATAGTATATGATCTATGACCAACAACATCCAAAATAGAACTGATCAAACCCAGGTGAGTAACCAAACTGATAACTTTATCATCTGCAGTAGTGTTGGCAAAAATTTCTGTTAATAAAGAAGCTGCTCTATATTTACGATGTTGACTAGTTTCACGTAAATTTGGTTTCCACAATTCATCAAGTTCATTAAAACCATCTTCAAATTCAAACAATGGGAAATGTTCATGAATATAAGATTTATTATGACGTTGACTTTCAGCTTGAATACCATAAGTTTCTCTTGCAGATTCTTTAATTAAAGGAGTAGAATAATTCAAATCTAACCAAGTCAATTGCCAAGTTTCCAAAGTTCTACGTAATGGACTAACAAAAAATCTGGATGGCCATGGTAATTCATCAGTATCATTGATTTGTTTAGATAATTTTTGAATTTGCTTCACTCCATTTGGAGTTAATTCAGCATCAGCCCAAATAACACCATCATAACCTTGTTGCAATTGCCAAAAACAATCCCAATCTTCTTGAGAAAAATTAGATGGTGCAATATTATGCCAACCTTCTCCATGTCTTTGAATTAAAAACAACTTTTCATTTGATGATAAACTAGATATGACATCTGACCAGGAATACTTGTCAGTTTGTAATCCAAAATTATCACTAACATTTACTTTATTAATAGGAACATCAGGATCTGACTGAGCAAAAAACTTTGAAGATGATTCAAATTTTGGTAAAGTGAGCTTATCAGAAGCCAAGATGATCTGAGCAAAGGATAACACAGCAGTTGAAAAGTACAACAAAGACACCATTATTAGATTTTTCGTGAGGATCATGTTCATTAACTTTATTCTAGCAAAAAAAGGGGAGATTTATTTAAGGGTATTTATAATTAGAAACCTGTCAATTTCAAGGGGTGGCCACGGTTGTTTTATAAGTGGATTGTTTGAATACAGCTTTACACGTGGTGGAATGAAACGAGGTGTTGAGAATTTACATAGCAATGCAAAGAACGGCCGTTCAAACGGGAGTATTTATACGTTAGCTTGCATGGTGACCAAAAATAAATAAAACAGAAAAATCATAACACGTGGACCTAATTTAATAAAAATGTAAAAGAGTCCAATATGGTAGGAAACTGCTGCTGCTGTTGTTGCTGTTGTTGCTGCTTATTGTTGGCGGTTGCATTTGAGAACTCAATTGGTAGTGAGATCAAAAGAAAAATTGAAGAAATTATAACCACTGAGGTTTTTATATTTGTCTCTTTTTTTTTTTTGCGTGAGAACATGAAATTACGTAACCACTAATTGTCATCATCAATGATCAAATGTCAAGAATCTATAATGATTCATTAATCTATTGTTGTTCAGATACTCCAATCGATCCAACACATGATGAAATCGATTTGAATTTTTTATATCCCTTGTGTGACTTATATTTCTGTCCAATATGTCAATATCCAAAATCTAAATATCAAACTTTTGGTAAAATCACTTATAAGTTCTGTAGTAATTGTTTAACTAATTATACTAGAAATGAAAAAATTACCAAATGTTCAAAGAATTGTTTCATGTGTCCTAAATGTCAGTCTAATTTAAAAATAAAAATGAATGATTGTGAAAATGATGGGAAATCATTTAGTTTTGAATGTGGATACTGTGAGTATATGTATGAAACAAATGTTGTTTACAAACCTAAATCATTATTGAATATAATCAAAGATGAAATGAATGATGGATTTCACAAGTATTGCGAAGATATTAAAAACGGAGTATTGGCAAATCAAGAATCATCACCACCACCTCCTCCTCAAAGTGAACAAACTAGAAGGAATTTACAACTCATGATGAAAAGAAACCTTCCAATTGTTGAGAATTCGCCAAATGAGAGAAAATTATATCCTGTTTCCAAACCATTGACAACAAAGAAAACCTTGAGATGTTTGGATTGTAATAATTTAGTATTTGCTCCATTGGTGGATAATATCCCACCCACTGTCAACAAGTTTCAAGTCAAATTTAATGCTATTGATTATTTACCAACGGTTGTCATCTCAAAATTACTTAATGATACACGCCCATGGAATTGTTCAACACAAATCATGTTGATTCATTTTATAAACCCTTTACTGGTGAAGGTTCATTTGAATATTAGTATACCTAGTGAGTTGAATAATGTTGAGTTAACGATCGCTCTCAATGAATTCACTGTCGGTGGGTTGACAAGTAAAAACACGGGTAGTTTAATTAAAAGTATCCCTACTGCATTGTTAACTATGAATACAATCATTAGTAAATCCGAATTGATTTTACGCAAAGGGGATATTGCGTTTAAAGATGTAGCTAGCATTGAAGAAATTGAAGAGAATTTGGATAATTATATAGAACGTGGAGTTAATTGGTATACCATACCAGTAATTATCAATAACACCAATCCAAATCAAGAATTGAAAATACCAATTAATGTTGGAATACATAGTGATGTTGTTCCTGAATCATTAAAGAAAATAACAAATAAATTTTCATTAAGGTATTGGAATATACTTAATGTACATACAACTTAAAAATCTAGAGTTAATACACCTGCTATTTTTTGTAAATGACGTGAATCTAATCTATTATTACCACCAGTGGTGTTGTTTTCTAATTTTTTCAATTGTCGTTGAGAATTTGTAATTTCATCATAATAATCATCTTCATCAAAATCTTCAATGTCTTCAACATTTACCTCTTCCTGATCTTCTTCTATGTTGGGATATTGGGTAACATTATCAATTCCATCTATTTTAACCAAAGAATCACCTTCATCCAATCTTTCTTCATTAGCACGGATAATTGCCTCATTGATGAATAATTTAATATATTCACTTGATAATTCAAGTGTACTTAGGGTGATCCTAGTATTTGATGATTTGAATGAAAGTTCTTTAAATATCCTAGCTATGGTTTTAAGTGGGATTTCTTGTTCGTTTGTCGACATTTGATAAGTTGGTTAGTAAGTTGGTTGTAAAGTCGCGTCAACTTTTTGATTTTTTTTTTTCACTTTACGTGTTTTTCAAACACAACAGTTTAGGTTGTACAGTTTGACTAACATCATGTATGGTACAGCTTTGTAAATCTACATACAATTATTCAATTGTTCTCCCCCGCCACCACATACTAATACGCCTACATGAACAATCCGTTTTTCCACACTGACTAATTACTACCAATTGTAAATTGCCGTATGGTTTTACTAGTGAACACTTTATTGTCATTACACAAACCCCCCATCATCGGTTACCAGCTCCGAAGCGCAACGTAAAAAAAAATTTTTTTTTTTTTTGGTTCCTTGTAATTCCGGTAGTTTCTCCGATATATAAATCATCTCGTTTCTCTCTCTCTCTCTCTCTCTCTTTTGCTCTTTCTTTCTGCCTCATCTCATCAGTTGATACTCAACCATACACAATTAATGCCAAATACTTATATTCTTAAACGTACTGAATCAGGTACTTCATCCAATGCAACTAATGAACATGTTCATTTAGATCCAGTACCATCTAATCCAGATGCAAATATTACACAAGTTCAAATTGAATCTCATTTTTCAGTTGATCATCCATCATTTAAAATTAAATATCATCGTTCAAATTCTATAATTTCAACAACTACTGATCCATTATCTGCAATTTCTGAAGATACTTCAACATTACCAACTATTAAAGTTTTAGGTACTGGAGGTACAATTGCATCAAAAGGTTCAACTTCACATCAAACTGCAGGTTATGAAGTTGATTTAACTATTGAAGATTTAATTTCAAGTATTCCAGATTTATCTCATACTTGTCATTTAGAATATGAACAAGTTTTAAATATTGATTCAAAAGAATTTAATAATGAATCATTACTTCTTCTTCATCATAAAATTGCATCAGATTTAGATAAATATGATGGGATTGTTATTACTCATGGTACTGATACTATGGAAGAAACTGCATTTTTCATTCAATCAACAATTAATACTTATAAACCAATTGTATTTTGTGGTTCTATGCGTCCAAGTACTGCTATTTCATCTGATGGTCCTATGAATCTTTATCAAGCTATTATTATTGCATCTCATAAATCTTCACGTAATAGAGGGGTTTTAATTGCTTTAAATGATTCTATTGGTAGTGGATTTTATATTACTAAATCAAATGCTAATAGTTTAGATACTTTTAAAAATATTGGTCAAGGTTATATTGGGAATTTTGTTAATAATGAAATTAGATATTTTTATCCAGCTAATAAACCATTGGGTTTAACTTATTTTCAAGTTGACGAATCAGTTAAAGAATTACCTGAAGTTGCTGTTATTTATTCTCATCAAGGTTTAAATAATGATATTATTAGATTTGTTGTTAAAGAATTAGGTGCTAAAGGTATTGTTTTGGCTACTATGGGTGCCGGTTCAATGAGTGATGAAACTAATAATTTTATTGCTAACTTACTTGAAGATAATAAAGAATTCCCAGTGGTTTATAGTAAAAGATCAATGGATGGGATGGTTCCACTTGGTTCATTACCAAAAATCGGTCCTTCCAAAAAAATATCACCAAACGCTATCGCAGGTGGTTACTTAAACCCACAAAAGGCCAGATTATTATTACAATTATGTTTAAATTCCAAAATGGATTTAAACAAAATTAAAGATGTTTTCAAAACTGTATAGAAAAAAAAAAATGATTACTAATATATTGATAGACAACAAAAATAAAAATACGAGTTCAAATCATTTACCCCCAAACGAACTAAAAACTAAAAACTAAAAATTAGAACAAATTAATAACACCCTAAGATGACTTGTAAGCTTCATCAACTTCTTTTCTACAACTTTCTAAAATCTTCTTTCTTTGTAACTTTTGAGCAGATGTAACGAAACCATTTTGTGGAGTCCATTCTTCATCCAACAAAACGATATTTTGTAACAATTCAATACCTTTTAATCCTTGTTGTTTACCAGTTTGAAGCAAGTGTCTCAAAACAGCTTGAACAACCTTTTTGTTGTGTACTAAATGACTCAATTCTTGAGTATCAGCATCTGGAACAACCTTTTCATCCTTCAACATGGTCTTCAAGTTGGCTTCAATTGGTAAAACAATAGCAATTGGTTTAACTTTGGTTTGATCAGCATAAACACACAAATTCATCACCAAATGGTTGGAACGGTAAACACTTTCCAATTTTTCTAAAGCAATATATTCCCCGTTTAAAGTTTTAACCAAATTCTTTTTACGATCAATGATATTCAAACCACCTTCAGAAGTCCATTCACCAATATCACCAGTCTTGAACCAGCCATCATCAGTGAATGCGGCTTTGGTTTCTTCTTCATTCTTGTAGTATTCTTTAACAACTGGACCACCTTTCAACCAAATTTCCCCTTGGTTGTTCTTGGCAAAGTAACCAGCATCAGCAACATCAACCAATTTAGCAGTAACTGACCCAACCAAAGCACCCAAAGTACCAATTTGGAAACGTGTGTGTTCAGTAATAGTAGTGTTGGCACAAGTTTCAGTTAAACCATATCCCAACAACATTGGGGCAAGTAATGTGGAAATAAATACTTGAGCATCAATAGAAATTGGGGAACCACCGTTCAATACATAACGCAATTGACCACCAGTAGCAGCCTTGACTTTTTTGAAAATAACATCAAACATACCACCACCTGGTAATCCAAAATGGTTCAATGTAGATTTAGCTTTAAAAGCAGCCCAAAAGATCTTTTGTTGTAATGGGGAGGCTTGTTTCAATTTAGATAAAACACCCTTTCTGACAGATTCCCAAACGGCAGCAACACCAACCATAATTGTTGGTTTAAATTCAATCAAATCAGGTTGACAGTTTCTACAAGAAGCATCAGTCAAGGTTTTAACATTGGCGTAACCCAATGGGGCACCCCACCAGAAGGTAATCAATTCAAAAGCCAATTCGAAAATATGAGCCAATGGCAAAAATGCAACAACTTTGTCCAGAGGTCTAACCAAATCTCTAGTGGCATTGGTAGAAATACCACCAACAGCAGCAACAATATTGTGATTGGTAATGACAACCCCTTTTGGATCACCAGTGGAACCAGATGTGTACATGATACAAATTGAATCTTCTGGTTTTGGGTAATGCAATTCTTTGGATGATTTTTCACCCAAAGCAATAACTTCATTATAGGAAATAAACTTGATATCTGGTCTAATTTGTAAAATCTTTTCCTTGGCCTTTTCAGCATCCTGGTAAATCTTACCGCCTTGTCTCTTGTCATTTGGATCAATCTTTTCACCATGGATAATGTATTTGATGGCGGTAGCCTTTTCCAACGGACGAATCAATGATCCCAACAATTGATTATCGGTGAAAATGGCGTCGGATTCGGTTTGGACCAAAGAATGGGTTAAACCTGATTCACCCAAAGTATCATAAGCAGTAACCACTGGGATACCTTGGAAACTTGATGCCAAAAAGGTTTGCATCCATTTGTGAGAAGTGGAGGCAAAAATCATCAATTTGGATTGTTGATCTGGCAATAAACCCAATTCTAATAAACCTTTGGAATAGTTTTTAACCAATTGTAATAATTTAGGATAGGAGATGTAGTTGTAAGGACCCATTTCATAATAGATCCATTCTTTATCAACTTTCTTCTGTTCACCATCAATGATCTTGGTGACTTTTTTGGTTTCAACATGAACTTCTAATAAATCTCTCCAAGCCATTGCATCTCTATTACCATTTCTAGTAAAACATTCTTCAATGAATTCAGGCAATGTTGTTGCTTTTGAATCAGTAGGACGTTCTACTGGAGCTAATTTTTGAGAAGCTTTTCTTCTTGGAGCGGTTTCACCTGGTTTGGCTTCACCAACAGCAACTGTTAAAGGGGCACCCATGATTGTGATTAATTGTTGTATGAAGAAAGAAAGAAAAAAAAAAGGATTGGGAAAAAAAAAAGGGAAAGTTTGGTTGGCAAAAATTTTTTTTTATAATCAAGTGAGGGAAAGAAAAGAAAAGAAAAGAAAAAAAAAATTCTTGATTGTTGTTTCCCCTCTAGCTGATTTAAAAGCAAAAGCAAAAACAAACCAACAACAAACAAAAAAAGGAAAACCAAGAGTGTAAGCAAAAGAGAGGAGATTTGATGATATATTTATACTTATATTTATATGATGATGATGATGATGATGATAATATAAACCTCGGGAAAGAGTGTAGAGACTATTGATGATGATAATGAGCCGCGGGATAGCAGGGTTTGTGTATTCGTGTGTGTGTGTGTGTATTTGATGTCATCACAATTACGCGGAAAAAAAAAAAAAAAAATAAATAAAACCCAAGATTTTAAAACACCGCCAATTGTTCTTTCCCTCTGTGTCGGCTGGCGATAACAAACTTGTGTGGAAGTGGGCCCCGTAAATAAAATCTTCTTAGTGGGAAACGAAACGATGGGTGAAGGGAGGGTGAGGGTCAGAGAGTGCGTGAGAGAGAAATAAAATAAAAAGTTTCCTCGCTCTCTACCACGTATCTGCTCATGTAACAATGCTTATCATTAGTATAATGTTAATTTCCTAATATAGTAAATGGGTGATTGTTGTATTCTCATACCCACAACTTGTCTATTCATATGATGTCAGCCATACTAAGTGCTTAGAGTGTGCCAACGTAGGTTTTTGGTGTCAGGGATCTTTATTTTATTTTATTTAATTTAATTTTGTTGTTGTTGTTGTTTTTATTTTGACAGGTTGTATTGCGCAAATTGATTATGCACTGTGGTGGGCTTTATATGCCCAATATTTCTCTATCGGTATCTATGGGTATATTCTACTACTACTACACGTCTTATAATTGCAACAGGATAACCTTTTTTTTTGGCCATTGTTGCTAAAAAAGTTTATCCACACACAAAACCAAAAATACCAAGATTATTTTTAAGGAACCCAACAAATATGCAAGTGATGGAAATAAACAAAATTTGTTGGGTTCGGGAAGGTATACACGACCTAATCACGTGTGCTTATGTAAGTGGGTGAATGGGTGAGACAAAAAATCAAGGGTAGTGGTTGGTAGCGATGGTAAAAGAAAAGTAAACCGGGGTAGTTGGGGGGTAGAGGACAATAATAGGCGTGCATTTCTTGGTATTTGTGATTATGGGTTCTAGTATAAAAAGAGAATCAAAGAAAATCAGCCCAATATTATTACAGTTACCATCAATAAAAAGACCCCCTTTTAAACCAACAAAGTCTTAGCCTACTATCGTTTAACGCATCTAGCAGTCCATTATTATTAATTTATATTACAATATTATTTGCAAATTATTTTTCTTTGCTTTTCGAATTTTGTTGTTTTTTCTATGTTGAGTTGTTTTATGTTTAGTTATGAATGTGACTTTAAATAAAATGAACACTGTATTTATATTATCACGCCAATTATAAATTGGTCGTGTGATAGCTCAAGTTTTCTGTTCTAACACGTGATATCTCAACACGTGTATTTTCCGCATGATACATCACACGTGTTTTTTTTTTTTTTCTTTTTACAATTGTTTTGTGCTGCATTTGATGTTCTATTACAAAATTATTATTTATTATTTGTTTGATTCTCTATTTACTGAGTAACTTCTTGCAATCTCAAGTCATTAGTTGGAGAAACACCATTCAAAATCAACAAAAGATTGATCAAAGCTGATCTTTGTTTATTTAAACCATTAACAGCTTTATAACCAGACTTGGCAATTGGAGCTTTCAACCAATAAGACAAAAGGGAAAGAACAGAATGCAAATCTTGGAATTTTTCATCACCGTCAACTTTATATTGAATTCTTTGAAGCAATTCACCAACAATAACCAAATCGAGAATCAAAGGAGTGGCTAAAAGTGAGTCCTCACAAATTGTAGACAAGGTGATTCTATTCTTACCACCAAGACAAAGACTAGAATAGTATTCATCAATAGCAACTTTATCATCACCCACAGCAGGGAGATATTTGATAACAACACAGTGGTCAACATGATCACCATCTTCTTTGTTATACAAAATCAGATTGGATTCAATAATATCATCCAACACACCTCTCTTCAGGATTTCTTTACTACGGAATTGTTGCGGAGCTGACAAATTAAATCCGTCATTATTACCCAAGTGATTATAAGAAGCAATGGATAATGGTTTGATACCAGCATCAACCAAGAATTGACCCAAGACCAGCTTTAACTTAGTTTGACCAGATTTGAAATCAGAACCACCCAAAAATGTAGCACGGGATTCACAGAAATCAACTAAACCAGGAACAAGAATTGATGGAGATCCATTAATAAAAGTAGAACCTTCCAAAGCAGAAGCAACACCAAAAATAGCCAATGGACTGATTTCAGGATGGTTTTCTTTAATACTCTTGATCAAATTATCAGCAGTATCATTAACACCTGGGATAATATCAGCATTTCTTTCAGTGTTTGCACTCCACAAGACAACAACAGTATCTAAAGCATGTTTTTCTTTAAAGTCCCTAATATCCTTTCTGATCTTTTCAACATCTTGCCATTTTTGATCGGTTTTAACTTCACCATTGACAGAATTGTAGACATTATCAGCTCTGCCACTTTGGTTCATGGCAATGAAATCAGGATAGTAAATAGAAGACATTGGTTTCTTGTTTTCCAAATAAGGATACAATTGTTTTTGTAAAGTGACATCCAAAACTTTAGCACGTTTCATGGCTTGGTCTAAAGCAACACCACTGATATCCCAACCATCAATAACCAAATCATTTGGATCAACCATTGGAACAAGAGACTTGAATGGGACATAGACATCATCACCAGTTTCTTTATCAACACCAATCTTGACAGTTGATGATTGAGTAACAGAACCATAATAGTTTGGTTTAACAACACCTTCTTTGGTTTCAAATGAAATTTTGTGTTTGTTGGCCAAAGTTGCACCTAAAACAGTAGTACCATTGTTACCACCAATACCAACCAATAACAAACCAACTTTTGGAACTTTCAAGTCCAATTTGAATTCGTAATTAACAGCAGTTGGAGTAACATCAAAGTTACCATTAGCATCCTTTTCAACAATGGAGTTTTCGTAGGTGTACTTGGTGTGCAAGTGACCATCTTTGGTTTGAGCTTTAGTAGAATTGAAGTTAATAGACATGGTATGAAGATTGAATACTAGTTATAGAAAGGAAACAACATAAAACAAATTCAAGAAAGAAGAAGGAGTTTGTTGCCCTATTTATAGTTGAATTTTTTTTTTTTTTTGCTACCCTAGTAAGAGGAAAAGGAAAAGGAGGAGGAGGATATTCATGGTTTCATGGGCATGTTAAAGTTGTATGTTTTTTTGGGATTTCGCCGAAATTCGCTGAAATTTGTTACACAAAATTGAAGAATAACAATGTACTAAAATAATAATAAAAATACAACAGCGGTTTTGTTTTGTTTTTTTGGGTAAAGTGAATGTGATTTTTTTTTTTTTATTTTGGAATTGGAATTGGAATTGGAATTGACAATGATCAGAGTAGTTGGATGGTATATGAACAGCTTGTTGAGTTGATAATACTAGTTGATGGCCTTGAGCATTAAGAAACCTTTCATAAAATCAACAAATATATCATTAACTGTACGTTTTATCTATTGATATAATTCAAGCCACAAAATCAGTTCTATCTCTATAACCGTGTCCCTCCTAGCCGAAGAAAATAAAAATTCAACGAATTTTAGGCGAACTTATTATTGTAATTTTGTCAACAGTGTGCTATTACAATATGGTTATTTTTTTGGATATTATAGTAGTCTCCTCCTGGAGGATCATTTTGATACCCATATTTAATAGGAGTATCTAATTATAACTATGTGTTTTCTCACATAAACACCATTCACTTCGGCGAAAATATAACTCATTAATCTGTGTGTGTGGAGTTAAGCAATTATGCTTTTGATTATTTTAAGAAATTAAGCCAAACCCCCTCCCCCCCAAAAAAAAAACAGAAACAACAATTAATAATAATAATAATAATAAAAATTCTGAAATTTGATTTGTCAATTTGCTATCAAACAAAAATAGGGGGAACAAGAAACAATAGAGAAATTTTTGTTTAATGTTTATCTACGTGTCATTTGTCATCAGCAAGGATTTAGTTTACCCATAACTAGTTCCGGAATAAATGGAAATAATCAAAGTATTAGGAAGTCCTATTCCACTTCCGTAACGGTGTAGCAAATCAACAAAAAAATCGTGTATACTATGTTTCCAAACCTTATTTGTTCGCCGGTTTTTGTAAATCTGTTGATAACTCTAAACTCAGATGTAAGAATAGGCTGTTGATATTAATAAATCAATTTGATAATGGGTGATAATCACTTCTTCACCAACACAACCGACTTGATTAATTGTTGTAATAAATTTATATTGACACGTGATATATGTCATGTGCAAATGATTTGGTCGTGTATATATGGATAATTATTGGATTATGTAATCATCAGAAGTATAAATTGACAACTCTTATTGATTCGTATTCTACATTTTTGAACACCAAAAACATAATAAAAGTACAATCTCAAAGAGTTAGTTTTTATAAGATAATGATTGCATACTATTTAGATAAAAGATCGTACAGTATGGTTCAATTTGTTTGGCTTTCGTTTAACAACTGAATACATGATACTTTTACCGAAGAAATTTAACGAATGCTAGCGGAAACTCATCTCTATTGTTCATCAATTCTGAAACAATCGCAACACCGTTTCCATCAACACCGAAAATCATACTATTCATATATCTATCCCAATTAGGACACATCGACCAGCGTCACTCAAGCCTATTTATATAATTAAGCTTGGTTTAAATTTTGCAGTAATTTTGAAGTGGACAGTGCGCATACGCACAAAACAATTCCACACATCATGTAAACCATAGTGAATACCGGAATATACTACCATCTAGAAGAAGCAACAACTATATGGACATTCTCATCATCCTCATCATTGCATCCAGTTGTAGCATGTATTCAAGAATGTAAAATTCATCATGAAAAGTATGCGTATGATTAGAATTTTCTTTTTTTTTTCTTTTTTTTTTTTCTCCGGCATTACACGACTCGTAAAACCCATCAGCAGCGCTGGCAATCCACAAAATTCAAGTATTCAACAAAATAATAATCACAAACATCACCAAGAATATAAACCATGGTTAATCAATATTGTAGTATCACAGCAACAATAATTACTGTTAAAACATCTATACTTCTCTACAATCTTCAGATTTAGAACGTTGCACAATAATCATTGATACATTTACAACGATAACACCACCCACAGATCTTGGGAGCAATCGATGAGCTGTTCATATGGAGTTATACATAACCATACCGTTTGCTCTGCAGTTGCAATATTTAAAATTCTTGGAAAATTTCCATGCAAATCTTCAAATCTAATCATCATATTTTATTTTTGCCTTACATAGACTTTGAAAATAATAGAACCGCCCAAAACAATGAAAGAAAACAGTTAAAAAACAGTAAAACTTAGATCTGTAAGATCATCGAAAATAACCCAATCATAAGAATAATCTTAACTTAGTTTTGAATCAATTATGTCATACTATTTAACTACAACTGTCAAACATTAAAATCTACAAATGACACTATCTCTACCACCATTACTATTACATCCATCAGTAACGTAGTAACTATCCATTGCCTATGACAAGATGGCTGGTTGTGAAAAAAAAAAAAAAAATTAGACGAGAACATGCAACAACGCGAATAAGCAGAGAAGAAAAAAAAATAAAATATACACACATTTCGCAGCAAAGAACATATCTGTCAATCAATACCGGTAATTAAAGCCAGCCTTCCTGCAAAAACTATAATCTGAATATGCGTTAATGATGAGCATCGAATGAAGTCTTTACTTCATTCATCAAAGTTTATGCTTTTTTCGGTAAGTTAAAAATCATGTAACAGAACATAAAGTTTATTATGACACAATGATTGCGAAAAATACCCACAACGAATGTATACTCCACGGCAATTAATTAACTAAATGTACTAATACTTCTAAAATTTTCTATTTTATTCAGCAATCTTTGAACATCAGTTCCGACTATCAACAAGTTCTATAAATTTAGATATAATTTCCCAGTTTAAAAGGAGTTCATTTTTTTTTTCAATACAATTATTATAATAATTATCGTTACATTTATTATTTTTAATACCCATTCATCTTGAAATCATTAGATTACCAAGTCCTTTCCTTTAGCTTGCTAAGTTCAATATCCTATTTAAATAAAAAGAATACCCTTCCTTTTTTGATTCTTCTTTTATTATTCCCAACTATCTACATTCATTCTTAAATATTGATACCCAATTTTTTATTTCTTTGCTTCTTTTAAAACAATGCTTTTCCTATTGGCTTTAATTCTGTTAATTTTCCCCGTTTGGGCTTTTAATGCACAAAGCAATTCCAATGTTGCTGTCTATTGGGGTCAAAACTCCGGTGGCTCACAACAGAGATTATCCTACTATTGTGATTCTGATGCTGCTGATATTTTTATCATTTCATTCATGCATGTTTTCCCAAATCCACTTCAATTGAACTTTGCAAATGCTTGTGAAGGTTCTTATACTAGTAGTGGGTTATTGCAATGTGAAACTATTGCACAAGATATTAAAACTTGTCAAGCTAAAGGTAAGAAAATCTTGCTTTCTTTAGGTGGTGCTGCTGGTTCTTATGGTTTTACTGATGATTCTACTGCTAAAGAATTTGCTACTACTTTATGGGAATTATTTGGTAATAGTGATGCTTTATCTACAAGTGAACGTCCATTTTTCGATGCAGTCCTTGATGGGTTTGACTTTGATATCGAAAATAATAATCCAACTGGTTATCCTGCTTTAGCTAATGAATTAAGAGAAATCTTTGCTACTGATACTTCAAAATCATATTACTTGGGTGCTGCTCCACAATGTCCATATCCTGATGCATCTGTTGGTACATTATTGCAAAACAGTTATATTGATTTTGTTTTCATCCAATTCTACAACAATTATTGTAACTTGGGAACCAGCTTCTTCAATTGGGATACTTGGTTAAACTATGCTGAAAATGTTTCTCCAAACAAGAATGTCAAATTATTTGTTGGTGTTCCTGCAAGTCCTGTTGCTGCAGGTAGTGGTTATAATGCTCCAAGTGCAGTTGCTTCTGCTTTAACAAGTGATATTTTGAATAGTCCATATTTCGGTGGTATTTCCATGTGGGATATTTCTGCTGGTTGGGTTAATACTAATAGTGATGGTAACTTTGTTGAAAATATGAAAGCTATTGTTGCTGATGCTGGCGAAAATACTAGTATCTTAACTACATCTACCTCCACTACTAGCACTACAAGTTCTACCAGTACTACTAGCTCCACTACATCAACTAGTTCTACTACATCAACTAGTTCTACTACATCAACTACTTCCACCACTTCTAGTACTTCCACCACATCAACAACTTCAAGTACTTCCACCACTTCCAGTACTTCAACTAGTTCTACATCAACTAGTTCAACATCAACTAGTTCAACGACTTCTAGCTCTTCTAGTACTTCCACCGCTTCTAGTACTTCAACAACTTCTAGTACTTCAACAACTTCAACAACTTCCAGTACTTCAACTAGTTCTACATCAACTAGTTCAACAACTTCTAGTACTTCAACAACTTCCAGTACTTCAACAACTTCAACAACTTCTAGTACTTCTAGTACTTCTAGTACTTCCACCACATCAACAACTTCAAGCAGTTCTTCCAGTTCTGTTGCTCCTACCATCAGCTCTGCTACTAAACCAGATACTAGCTCATCCATCCCAAGTTTAACTTCATCTGTCAGTTCCAGTGAATCTGTTGCTGACACTACTACATCTGCTTCAAGTTCTGCTGCTTCAAGTTTGGATGTTGCTTCTTCTAAAACCAGCTCAGTATCTCCATCAGTTGATATTTCAAGTTCAACCAAATCTATTACAAGTTCAACCAAACCTACTTCTAAAACTAGTTCAGTATCTCCATCAACTGATGTTTCAAGTACAACCAAACCTACTTCTAGCTCAACCAAACCTACTTCAAGTTCAACCACATCTGTTACCAGCTCATCATCTGTTACTGCTTCTTCTTCTTCTGTTACTGGAACCTCATCATCTATTGTTACTTCAAGTTCAAAAGATACGTTGAAATCAACCAGCTCAACCAAAGGTACCTCCACCACAAGCGAATTATTTACCACAACAAGTGCTTCTAATTTAGTACAACCAACAGTTACTGTTCTGTCTAAAACCACATCAACTAGAGTATCTACATTCTACGTTTGGGCTCCAACTACTCTTATTACATTAACTACAGAGTATAGAACTTATACTACTAGAACTCATTTAGCAACAGTTTATGGTGAACCAAGAACCATTACTGTTGATTATTAATACCAACTTCAAGGTTGATTAGATTCATTTAGTTCGTTTGTTTGTTTGTTTATTTGTTTGTTTGTTTGTTTATTTGTTTGTTTGTATATTATTTAATAAATTTTAATTGTTGTTCTAAATTTAAACCTGAAAGTAAACTTCTTGATTGACGATTCATATAAACTTGTCGTAAATTCCCACCTGTCCATTCATTTAAATTGAAAAAATCATCAATTTTACTATTATTTATCAATGGTGATATCATCAAGTGAATAATTGCATGTTTTGATTTATCTAATTGAATAGTAGCTTGTGATGTACATGGCGATGGTGTGACTATAAACATTATAGTTGATTTTTTATTAAAATCATGATAATCTAAAATCCCTGATAATTCTCTAATAATCTTTGCATCAGGTTTTTTTTTAAAATTTTTACATTGAACTAATATTTGTACATCAGAAAGGGATATTGGTGATTTAGATATATTGTAATTTGATTCTTGAGAATATCGAAGTATTGACATAGATCCTACTGATTTGACTTCTTTTTCATCATAATAAGGTAATAGATTCCAACGACCAATTATATCAACTCCATTATCATATGAACCTCCATATTTAATTAGATCTTGACAATTTAGTTTTTGTTCAAGAAATGATTTAACGTATAATTCATATAATGTACCTTTAAACACAGTTGAACCAGTATTGACATTATTTCGTAGACAGTATCTGAGGTATGTTTGACAATCTTGGATAGATGAAAATTGTAAGTATCGTCGACTGTTGACACGGTAGATATGACGCATAGGCAGATACATAGTTGATTGATTATTATACGATAATTAATGTAGTGAAAAAAATATATACAGAAAAGTAAACATCACCAAAAAAAAAAAAGAATCTATCACCACCAGAAAAATCATCATCAAACCGAAAATCGCAACACGTCAACGAGACAACCACGATCCTGCAATGCAATTCATTAATATCATTACATTATTCCTAGTAGCCTTGACATCGGCAGATCAGACGAAAATCAATTTATTCATCAAACCAATTGATGGTCAGTCATCAGATTCAATTGGTTTCATCAACGATAATTCCGTTTATTTGGTAGACACCGAATTAGATCCAAGTAAGAGTTATTGCATAGGTACAAAAGATCTTGAAAATCATGAATGTTTTACATTTATCAACGGAGTAAGCTCATTAAATAATACTGTGATTGATGCATTTATTGATGAAAATGGAGATATCACGAGATTGGCATTAAATTTTGATGAATCTTCTAAACCTACAATTAGAAAACATAAAGTTCATCCAGCGGCTATTCCGAATATGAACGCCGAATCAATTAAAAAACAAAGACAACAACAACAACAACAGGCTCAAAATTCAGGAAAAGTCCGTGTTGTTAAACAAAAGAAATTAATCAAATATATTGATGATGAAGGTAATGAAGTTGAAAAAGAAATAGAAGAAGAAGTTGAAATTGATGAAAGATCTTGGGTTCAAAAGAACTGGATGTATATCGTACCTCCATTATTGTTGTTTTTAGTTATGGGTGGTGACAGTAAATAGAAGTTCTCGTGTTTAGTTATTTTTATAATAGACAGGTGAGTTCATACACCGCGATATAGTCTTGTCCATGAGTGGTGGGAAAAATCTAGCCAATGAGAAACAAAGAAATCTCGTCTTATTCAGCGACTGCATATAAGTGTTTTTTTTTTTGCTTTGTCTTTCCCCTACTATTCTTTTTTTTTTGTATATTTTTTTTTTTTCAACCCAATTGGAACACAAGTAATTTTTCCTCTTCTTCATTGGCTCCTCTTTTTCGAAATCAACATCAAAGCCAACCACTATTATCCTATTACATATTCATTAAATAAATACCATGCACTCGATAAGATCACATATATTAAGATCTTCTAAACGTTACATATCTGCATCCACCAAGAGATTGGCAGAAGTTGAAGTCACAGTGGATGGTAGAAAAGTTTCTATCGAAGCTGGATCTTCAATTATTCAAGCTGCTGAATTGGCAGGTGTTACTATCCCACGTTATTGTTATCATGAAAAATTAGCCGTTGCAGGTAACTGTCGTATGTGTTTAGTTGATGTTGAAAGAATGCCAAAATTAATTGCTTCATGTGCCATGCCTGTAGCAAATGGTATGGTTGTTCATACTGATTCTGAAAGAATTAAAAAAGCCAGAGAAGGTGTCACTGAAATGTTATTGGAAAACCATCCATTGGATTGTCCTGTTTGTGACCAAGGTGGGGAATGTGATTTACAAGAACAATCCCAAAGATATGGTTCTGATCGTGGTAGATTCCTGGAAGTTGTTGGTAAAAGAGCCGTTGAAAATAAAGCCATTGGTCCATTAGTTAAAACTTCTATGAACAGATGTATTCACTGTACCAGATGTGTTCGTTTTATGAATGATGTTGCTGGTGCTCCAGAATTTGGTACTGCTGGTAGAGGTAATGATATGCAAATTGGTACTTATATTGAAAGAAACATCAATTCAGAAATGTCTGGTAACATCATTGATTTATGTCCTGTTGGTGCTTTAACTTCTAAACCATATGCTTTTAGAGCAAGACCATGGGAATTGAAGAGAACTGAAACTATTGATGTTTTGGATGCCATTGGTTCTAATGTCAGAGTCGACACCAGAGGTATTGAAGTTATGAGAGTTTTACCAAGATTGAATGACGATGTTAATGAAGAATGGATTTCTGATAAAACTAGATTTGCCTGTGATGGTTTGAAAACTCAACGTTTGACTACTCCATTGATTAGAAACGGTGATAAATTTGAAACAGCCACTTGGGATGAAGCTTTATCTACTATTGCTTCTGCATATGCCAAGATTCAACCAAAAGATGGTGAATTGAAAGCCATTGCTGGTGCTTTAACTGATGCTGAATCTTTGGTTGCTTTGAAAGATTTGACCAACAAATTGGGTTCTGAAAATGTTACTACTGATGTTAAACAAGCTGTCAATGCTCATGGTTTTGATATCAGATCCAACTATATCTTCAACTCTACTATTGATGGTATTGAAGACGCTGATCAAATTTTGTTGGTTGGTACTAACCCAAGATTTGAAGCTGCTGTGTTGAACTCTAGAATTAGAAAAGTCTGGTTGAGATCTAATTTGGAAATTTCCTCTGTTGGTCAAGAATTTGATTCTACTTTTGATGTTGCCAACTTGGGACAAGATGCCGGTGCTTTAGAAAAAGCTCTTGGTGGTGAACTTGGTAAGAAATTAGGTGAAGCCAAGAAACCATTGATTATTGTTGGTTCTGGTGTTGCTGAATCTAAAGATGCCGAATCTATTTATAAATTGGTTGGTGAATTTGCCACCAAACATGCAAATTTCAATACAGCTGAATGGAATGGTGTTAATTTGTTGCATCGTGAAGCTTCTAGAGTTGGTGCTTTAGATATTGGTTTCAGCAGTTTAACTCAAGATCCTACCAAACCAAAATTCATTTACTTGTTGGGAGCTGATGAAATTACCAATAAAGATATTCCAAGAGATGCATTTGTAGTATACCAAGGTCATCATGGTGATATTGGTGCTTCATTTGCTGATGTTATCTTGCCAGGTTCTGCATACACTGAAAAATCAGGTACTTATGTCAACACTGAAGGTAGAACTCAAGTTACTAGAGCTGCCACTAATGCACCAGGTGTTGCTAGAGAAGATTGGAAGATTATTAGAGCATTATCTGAATATTTGAATGCTAAATTGCCGTATGATGATATTATAAGTGTAAGAATGAGATTAGGAGAAATTGCCCCACATTTGGTTAGACATGATGTTGTTGAACCAGTATCACAAGAAATTGCCAAGATTGGTTTTACTGATTTGATAAATAAGAATAAATCTGCCACTATATTTGGAGAACCATTGAAGAATCCAATTGATAATTTCTATTTCACTGATGTTATTTCTAGATCTTCCCCAACAATGGCTAAATGTGTTTCATCATTTGGTGCTAAAATAGATAAAGTCAAAGATGAAAAACCAGACATTAACTTTTAAAAGTAAAAGAAAGAGAAAATAGGAAATGAAAAACAATCCACCCCTCCATTTTGTACATTAGTCCCCATTATTTTAGCCTGATCATAAGTATTTATTATTATTTTTTTTTTATCCAGTGACATTTCATTAGTCACTTTTAAACCCCCCATTCATTCATTCATTCATTCATGATGATGTATTTTTTTATTTTTTCTTTTTCTTTTCCAGTTTCATAGAAGATGAAGAAGAAGGAAATATTAAAAAATAAAAGTATAATTATTCTCTTTTTTTATTTTAGTTTAATATAGTATAGTATTTTTTTGCATCGATGTGTAGTGGATTCTTGTTGTTGATGATAATTCGGAATTCGGGTAGGGTTTAACTCGGAGGTTCGGAAATGCAACCCTAATAATTCACGCGCTCGCTGTCTGTCATTATCAGATTTTCCAAAAAAAAAAAAAAAAAACTCAAAATCAAAATTACAACCACAATTCTTTTTTCTTCTTCTGTCTTCTCCTTGAGTTGTCAAAACGCAAGGCTTATTTTTAAGCAACACACATATATATATGAACTATGTCAGATTCTAATCAAAAGAATAATGAATTTGCTGGGAAATGGAGACAAACTAGAGCATGTGCAAGATGTAGAAGATTAAAAATGAAATGTTCATTTACTGATCCTAGTTTTACATCATGTGTTCGATGTTTTAATTCAAAAATTGAATGTTCATTTGATAATGATCCAAGTGATCAAATTAAAACAAATCGTCGGAAAAAAAAGAGAAAATCAAGTCCTGGAAATGATATAATAGATAATAATGATGATAATAACAATAAGAAATTAAAATTAAATGATTGTACTACTGGAGAACTGTTATTGGAAATATCTGAAACTTCATTAAAATTATTTCATGAATTAAAACAAGAATTACCTAAAGATTCAATTAATAAATTAATTAATAATTATTCATTAATTTTAGAAACATTAAATCAAACAAGATATAATCAAGAGAAACAATTATTAGATGATGAATATCCTATTATTCCATTTCTGAAAAATTTAATTAAAGAATTAATATTTCGATATAATTATTTAACTTATGAAGAAACCAAATTAAGATTTGAATTTTTCATGAATCAAATGCTACCCCATTTTCCTATAATTCCATTATGTAAAAAATTTAAAAAATTTGAATATTTATTTGAAAATCATCCAATTTTATTAGTATCTTGTATTTCAGTAACAGCTGTTAATGATAATAATTTAGGTATGACAGATTTCACCAGGAATAATTTACAATTATGTAATTTATTAAGTCATTATTTGTATTCATTTATTGCCCATGAAGTTTATGTTAAATGTGATGATTTTAGTATACCTTTGTTATATTCATGTTTAATAGTATCATCATGGTGTGTACCACCAGCACAAATGGGACATTTTAGAAATCAATTGAATGCATTGACAGCATCGAATGTTGCATTATGTATGGGGATGAATGATATTCAAAAAAATCAACAAAGTATGTCAATTGAAGATGATAGTGAATTAAGACAAAAATTACGACTGTTGTTGGGAGTTTATTGTACTTGTGGAGCATTAGAATTATCTTTAAGAAGATTTAAAATTGTATCATGGAGTAATGAAACAGAAATTGCATTTGATTTATTATTAAAAGAATCAAATGATTTACCAACCATTGAAGATCGATATATTTGTTATTTAGCTAAATTAATTTCCATTGGTCATGATGCAGTTGAATTTTTAAATCAATTTGATTCAAATAATACCACTACTAATAATCAAAAGAAGACATCATTTTCATTAACAAATATAAATTTTGTACTTAAGAATTATGAAGTTAAATTAATACAAGTTGTTAATCAAAGTGGATTTATTAATAATTTAGTATTTAAGATTCATTATATTCATTTATTAATAGTTATTCATGATAATTTAATTTCAGGAATTTTAAACATTCTTGATATTGAAGCCAAATCATCCGAATCATCATCATCATCATCATCTAATACTTCCAATGAAATACATGAAAATTTCCTTGAAAAATCTCAAGAAAAGGAATTATTTCTTGAATTTATAGTTAAATTAATAACCAATTGTGAATTATTAATTGATGAATTTGTTAATCTTAATGAATCTACAAAAAATTTCCCCACAGTATTATATTTCCGTCCATTACATGCCCTTATATTATTAGTTAGATTAAGATTGGTTTTAAAATCTCAAAAAATTAATGATTTAAATATCAACGTGGAACAATTTTTCAATATTGTTGGGAAAGTAGTTGATAAGAATTTAGCACAAAATTCATTGGTTTGTTCACAAATGAAAGTTATTTTAAATAAAATTGAAAAATGGTTGATTATATCTCAAAAATATGAAGCTACTACTGGTGATAATACTAATAATACTACTACTACTAATAATAATAGTAATGGTAATAGTTATAGTGAAAAGAGTGATAAGAATAATGGAAAAATTAAGAAATCTGATGATGTGGTTGAAATTATAAAGTTTAATCGAGATAAAGAGATTGAAAATTTAGATATACCAAAATTAGATGATACAGATGATGATGATGAACCAGATGGAGAGGAGGAGAAAGTTAATGAACAGGTACACCAATTATCTAATCCATTTGTTACTACTAACAATGATACTGCGACTACTTCTACTACTACTACAGATAATAATAATCCAATGGTTGATTCATTTAATGGAATTGATGAAGGAATTAATTTAGAACAAATATTTGAAGGTATTGATTTTGATATTTTGCATTTCTTGAATCCATTAGAATATAATTTACATTTAGGTTTTAATCTATAGAATTATATATATATATATATATATATATACTAAAATTTAAATTCTTCTTCTTGTTGTTGTTGATCTTTTGATGTATCCTTTTTCGTCTCTTTCACTTGTGGTTTATTTTCATCTTTTAAATCATAAGTATATCCTGTAATTGAAGAATCATCAGATTTCAAAGTTGATTCTTTTAATATTTTAAATAATTTTTTATCTTTATTTGTCTTTTCTTCTTTATTATCTGCAGAAAGTCCAGATAATATATCATTTAACGTTGGTTCTTGATGTTCTTCCTTCTTCTCCTCTAGTTGTTGTTGTTGTTCTTCTTTTTCCTCTAGTTCTTCCTCTTGTTCTTCTTCCTCTTCCTCTTGTTCTTCGTCTTCCTCCTCGTCGTCGTCGTCAGAGGAGGACTCATCAAGTGCATTCAATCTACCCCAATGTTTAAAATTCTTTCTTTTTGAATCACCATTTTGATCTTTATAACCAGTATTACTATACCCAATATCTAAACCAGGAATAATTAAATCTTTATAAGATGGAGGTTTCCCAATATCTTTCATAATAGTTATCCAAGCAGGAGGTATAGTTATATCATCAATTGGCATACCTAATGCCATACGTAAATTTTTTGAAATTATACCTGGTTTAATTTTCATAATTTTTGAAATTAATTCATCATTTGATTCTTTACCTTCTTCAAATATTTCACCATAAGGAAATAATCTTGGTTTAGTTTGAAATTTATAAAATGCATTATATAATTTTTCATAATCTAAATCTAATTTACCTAATTTTGGTTGAATTTTATCCCGTTGTTTTTGTCTTAATTTTAGATTTTCATCATTATTATCTATTGATCTCATTTCTGAAATTCCTGTTGATTGAATATATTTAGGTAATTGAAATGGTAATTTCTCAATACCTCTTTTAGATGATAAATAATCTCTTTTAAAACTCCAATTAATAGGAATAGGAATAATATTTGCTTGTGATTTAATTGAAATTAATAAATATGGATCTTTTGAATCAATATCATGAATATCAACAATTTGAGGATTTTTACTAAATGATTTTAATTTACCTAATGGAATTTTATTTTGTATTCGAAGTTGTCTTTTAGAAAGTTTTTTAATTGATGATTGATCTTCTTCTGAATCATCATCACTATCTTCTTCTTCTTCTTCAGATGATGATGATGATTGGGAATTAACATCTTGGGTATCTTGATTTGTTTCGGATATGTCTTTGGCTTCATTCTGTTGAGATTTATCATTATTATTATTATTAAATTTATTAAATACAGATTGGAATTGTTCAAATAATGGATTATCTATAGATATATCAATACTTGGTTCTTGTTTAGATTGTTCATTTATTTTTGATTGTAAATCAATTGATTTTTTAATAGAATCTTCATTATTTTTAACCTTTTCTTCAAGTTTTCTTTGTTTAAGTTTCTCTCGTCTTAATTGATTTTTTGATCTTTTACTACCACTAGTTGCCATGATTAATGAATATTATTTGATAAGGGGGGGGGGATATTAATTGTAGAGGGTTTGAACTCATTGCGATAAATATCTTACAAAAAATCTCTGATTTTTTCACTCACAAAATAATCGGTACACACACGATTAAAAGAGGAAACAGTCTCTCTAATAACTCAAGTAACCAAAGATGGAAAATCACATCATGGTTTTTGGTCTAACTGAGTGAGTTCATGGGTTTATTGTAAGAGAATAAGAATATCTACAGTATAATGTCAATAATTAAAATAAAAGATAAATATACATATATTAATAATTAAATAAATAATGCTAGAATTAAAATGCAATGTGAAGCTTATAAATGTTAGTAATAAAATATCAATACTTGTCAAACAAGAACAATGAAGATTACCCCCAATAATACAAAACCAGACTAAAAAAACCGACGACCCCAAATTTTCACACTAAGATATTCTCAATAACTACCCTGTCATTGATACCTTCACCTAATCGTCTTTACCAATTCGATGAAACAATGCATCCCACATAAGATGCTAACGACTTAATTATTTCAAACAATTTCCCTTAGAAAGAAAGAAAGAAAGAAGGAAAGAAAGAAAAGTAAAAGTAAAAAATTTTTTTCGCCCCCGGTGTTGTCTCTTTTATGTAATTGAAGGAATGTTTCCCCTCTCTTTTCTATTTCTCTCAGTGCGTGTGACTTGATCAAATAAAAGTCGTGCACATACTCAAATAGATTCAACCAAACTACTGTACACTTGTATGATACGAAACTCATACACAATTATATTAAACATCAATTATCAACGATTAATTAGCATATTCATTATCTATACAATCAATCTATTCATACGTTGTTGAAAATAATTATCAACTAGCATTAGTAGCAGTAGCGGTGGTAGTTTTATCATATAAGGTATTGATATTTTTTAAAGCCAGATCAATTTTAGTATTTATTTCATTATCAGTATTATCCAATTGTTTTAATAATTTATTTAGATTTTCTTCAATATTTTGAGCTATTTCAAATACCGTTTGTTTTTTATCTTGTTGAGATTGATTATTATTATTATTATTATTATTATTATCTAATGATTCATTATTTATTGAAGATTGTGGTTGTGGTGGGATATCAGTTTGTTTTAATGTAGCATCAGGTGTGGTTGAATCTGATTGATTATTAGATGTTGTGGATAATCCTGGTAATTGTGTTGATGATTCACTTGGTGCACTATCTAATGATGTACTGGACATAGCTGTTGTTGTTGTTGTTGTTGTTTGTTAGTTTCCTACCAGATCTGTAATCTTTGTAAGATTTGAGAATTAATTTTTTGTTGTTGTTGCTCTCTCTCTCACATTATGGAGACAAAGTTTACTTTTCCGAATATTTGGAATTCTTTGTAATCAATCACACGACCATTGATTATTATCGCACGTGAGAGAAACAAATATAAGGAAGTAATTAACAACGCTTGTCTTGACTGCATAACCATCGGGCGCATACTAGCTTTTTATTTTTCATTTGGACAAGCAGGAGGAGGAGAAAAAGGACGAGGGGTTAGATTACATTATCAAGGATTTGCAATGATGATTCTCACATAACCATTTAAAATCGGTTGTCTTTAAATAAATAGAGCGAGAGCTCACTCACACACACTAGACCACTACAGTAGATATATAGTTATATTATGCGAGTATAATATGGGCGCATAATCCCATGGTTCTAGAATCTATTAAAGAGAAAGAAATTTGCTTATCATTCCGTATGTAAATTTTGTCATGTCGGCTTCAATTAGATTCGGGAATTATGGAAAATTTAGGTGTTCCTTTTTCTTTTGCAACTATTCAATGGGTATCACGTAAAATAGTTCAATAAAATTCAGAATACGTAATTCATACTATTTAACATTCCATTCATTCCGTTCCATAGAATACGATAACTTAAGTTTAAACATAGAAGGAATATATATATATATATATATATAAAACTCCGTATGTATATAATTCGATATAGAGTATCTGCTTAAACTAATGCCGGAACTAAAAAAGAAAAAAAAAAGTATTTTAGAAAACGGCAAAAGAAATCCCATATTAGTGGTGTAAGATTACGGATTTAGTAATAAATTTCCGTTGTCTATAGTGTCATTTCAATAATTAATAATTTTCCCCCTTGTTTTTTTTTCCTTAATTGGTTTTCTTTTAGTCTAGTATCTGGGGATGAATCTAAAAATAACCTGGACATGATGGCAATAATGAGATATTTCTGTTGCATCCGTTTTTGATGGTTGACATTTAATCACTAGATAAACATCTATAATGAAAGGGAAGTTTTGAATGATGAGAATGAGAATGAGAAAAAGGGTGATTCAGTTAGTGTATTGTACATTTGTGTAATATGAAATATACGATTTTAAGAACAAAAATAAAAAGTCAAATACTGTTCGGTTCGGTTCGGTGTTTCAAGATGAATTATACAAAATAAAAAAAAATTTCAATCTGCAATTGAATAACATAAAGAAGAAGAAGAATTTTTTCCATATTGATCTGTGAAAAGGAAGGTAAAATTTTATACACATAAAAGTAGATTTTTGTGAAGAATAATATTGAGAATGATTCACAAAATGAAATGAAGAAAAAAATAAAAAAGAAATGAATACCATGGGTAACTTACTATTGTATATGGAACGGAGAACTTGACCAATTCTCCTTTTCAACTGTTTGAAGGAAGCAGATAAAATAAGAATTATTAAAAATAGAAGTGAAGTCTTTCAAAAAAAAAGTCATAGCCCATATGTAAGCCATGATTGAATTTTGTATTGTTTTGATGTTGTTACTGCCGAACGGGAAAAGAAAAAAGAAAAAATAAAATAGAATAGTTCTAAGAATGTAAGAAAAAAAAATAAGTTAATGTTAATGATGTTGATGATCATCATTGAGGATTGAGGATTGATATTTAAAGGCGGCATGTAGGTAGGTAGATAGTAAATAAGTAGATCATCTTGGTGGTATATAACATTCCCTAAATGTTAAGAATAACGTGTTAATAAGATGGTGATAATGATCGTGAGGCAGGTTACGACGGTGATTATCTAATAAACAATACATCCGATTTGTGTAACGTGACTTGTACCATTATTATCGGGATTCTATTTTTATTTCATCTGACTTGACACACACAGAGACCGTTTGATTACTAGATTTATATATAGCAACGATGGGCTGTGTCATGTTCAAGTAAAGGTGGCATTTGATGTAGTATTTGTGTAAGTCAAAGATAACCGAATAACAATTGCAACGGGACAATTGGGGGGGTTGGAAGGTAGGGAGGTAAAGAGAGATCTGTTATAAAAAGCTTAAAATTTGTTTGTGATTGATAATAAATTTGCTTGTTCTTATTCTTGTGCTTGTTCTTGTGTTTGTTCTTGTGCTTGTGCTTGTTCTTGTATTTTGTTATAAATAGAAGAAAGTCTAGATTTTTAGATTGATGGTTCCATAAGTTTAATTGTTTAATTGTTTATTTTTTGATAGGTGCGCGGTTATGTGCAGGGCCACAAACCTTTATGGAGCGAATCTAGACTCACTCACAAAGAGACAGAGAAAAATAAAGAAGGTTTGTACCGTGTGTGTGTCTGAGTGTCTCTTTGTAATGAACTGTATTGTTGTTGTTGGGGGGGATGAGTATTTATTAAGATAAACTGTATAAAATTCAAACTCAATATTTTTGACTTGCTTACACTTTTGGCAGTGTGTAAATAATATGTTGCTTGTTTCAATTCTTAATTACGTCATATCATTATAATTATTCCCTTGATCAGTGTACTATTTTTAGTTGCTGTTGTAACATGTCGGGAATGATACAAGTACTAATTCGATGACACACACACACAAGGGTGGCGAAATGTATAATTAGAATGAAAGAAAAAAAAACAGTCATGAAGATGGCTTGAGTAAATCCAACCGAGGCCTAATTATTCATCATCATTACCCATAGATGATAGAAATATGTTGGACTTGTTTGGTAAGCAGGTCAGTCAAGAGAAAGATTGTTACACAAAAGTATACTACTATTGTAAATAAATTAAAAGATCACAGATTGTTAGTTTGTGTGCATGCACCTGCACACAAAACAAGTGAATTTCTTTTTATTCATTCGGTCTCTTGTTGTTGTTGTTGTTGTTGTTGTTGTTAGTGATTTAGAAGAATCGGTTACGTCATAGGACAAATGAAGAATTCAAGTGAAAAGTCTGACACTTTTTTTTTTCTCTTACTTCCCTGTGGTTGTTGTTGTTGTTGTTGTTGTTGTTGTTCTCACTTGCATAGTTTTTTAACTCACTCTACTGTAGTCTACACTCTCTTTATTCTTCTACCCTTTGGTTGTGTCTCTTTCTCTCCTTTGTTAAAAAAAAAAAAAAAAAAAAGAAAGAAAAAATTTTTTATGCTTCCCTCCCTCTCTCTCTCTCTCTGTATCCTCCCCATTGTAAGTTTTTCCCTTTACTTTACTTTACTCTAATATACACTATACTTTACTTTGGCTGCTGGAATATAAAAACAACCTCAAAAGAAAGGGCAACTCAAAAAAAAAAAAAAAAAAAAAGACAAGGAAAAAAAAAATAATAGCACAACACTTTTACAACACTTTTACAACACTTTTACAACACTTTTACAACAACCGATCTATTACCATTTTACAACCACACATAGATAGAATCATCACAGATGTCAAAAGAGACTATGGCATTTACTTTCCCCAATAGTAACACATCAACTCAATTCAAAATACCTCAACCTCCAATAACTCCAACAACTAACACTACCAATAACACCAACAATTTCACCTCCCCTCTATCACAGCAACAACAACAACAAACCCCATCAACTAACACCACTCCAATAAGAAAAAGACAACCAAAACATAAATCATTCAACAACTCCATATCATCAATCACGTCATCCACGTCAGATTTAACCATTTATGAATCTTCAATACTATCGTCAAAACAACTATCTACAGATACTTTGATTGATGAAAAACAATTACCTCCACTCCCTCCACCTCCTACATCATCAGCACTGAAACATAGATACAATCAATCATTAGATTCAAATAGAACTTTAGTCTCCCTAGATGAGAATGAAGAAGACAAGTTTAAATTCACAATTAATAACAATATCGATTGTAATAATAATAGCAACACATCATCATCACCCATTGATTCATTCTTCCAATTATCAACTCCACCCCCTCCTATAAAGGATCCACAACCTGATTTTTTCAATCAACAACACTCCAGACCAAAACTTCCAACCATGCATTCTACTCCATCCCTTAAAAAACAAGTCACATTACCATCATTGTCCTTTGATTTATCCTTGAAAAATATCAAACAGGAACAACTGAAACGATTGAATTATATACCCCTGCAAAATTTTCGACCTGACATTGAAAAATTATCCGATAGAATACAATATGTATGTCCAATAGAATTTCAAGGTTTGTGTACTGCTCAAGACAATTTAGTCATTGATATCCGTCCATTTGTTGAATATTCAAAATCTCATGTTAAATCAAGTTTAAACATTTGTTTACCATCAACTTTATTAAAAAGAAGCAATTTTTCATTGATTCGTTCAATTAATTCCTTACCTGATTTTGAAAAGAATCGATTCACTGAATTTTTAAATAATACCAAGGGGGATTTAGTGGTTTATGATTCAACAGAAAACTCATCTAATTTATATCATATTTGTAATAAAATCATTACTTGTGCAAATTTCATGACATGTCCAGAAAAGAAGATTTGTTTATTGGATACCAATTTTCTGAGATTTAATGAGTTGTTTCCTAATGCTATGGAAACTGCTAGTCCCGAAGTTGAAGATAATAATTTCCTTAGTCCCATTATAGTGCCTGAAAAATTGAGATCAAGTTCAGTTTCAGATTTGTCCCCTTATCATAAGGCAACCCCATTATCATCGAGTTCATCGAGTTCAATGTTGAGTGCAAATACTCCTATTTTATCTGCCAATTTCACTTTACCAAGTAAATGTAAAAGTTTCAAGATTAGACATAATGAAGAATTACCAACTATACCATGTGGAAATCCATTCGAAGAAAATACAGCAAATTTGTTCAAATTGAGTAATATTCCATCAGATTGTTCTAAACTCCCTGAATGGATCAAACAAACTATTTTTGATGAATCTGGGAATCCTGTAACATTTAAAATTAATAATCAATTTTATTCATTGGAGAAATTGGAACAAAAGAGATTAATTACAGCTTTGTCATTGAATACTGTTAATGATATTTCCCCAATGAATGAAGTTGCACCTAAAATTAGTTGTGGGATTGAATTTGGTAACAAGAATCGATATAAAGATATTTTCTTGTATGATCATTCACGAGTTGAATTGGGTCATGTTAATAATAATCCTAATGATATTCTGAATTATATTAATGCCAGTTTTATTGAACCACCAGAAAAATATCATCATCCTGAAAGTAAATATATTGCTACCCAAGGACCATTGGATGAAACCATGGGAGATTTATGGAAATTGGTTCTTATTCGTAATATTCCATTGGTTATATCATTGACTGATTCTATTGAAAATGGTATTATGAAGTGTGCCCCATTCTGGCAAAGTGGTATTTATAAATCCTATGAAGATACCATTAGAGTCACAGTTGTGAATAATGAAGAAATTGATGAGAATTTAATTGTTCGAACATTCAAGATTAAATGTAATGATGAACCAAGTAGAGAAGTTAAACAAATTCAATTATTATCATGGCCAGACATGGGTACTACATCTGATCCTAGAGATATATTAAAAGTTGTTGGATTGAAACAGAAAATATTGGCTGAATCATCAATCAAAGATAAAACTACATTGGTGCATTGTTCTGCTGGATGTGGTAGAACTGGTACTTTATGTGTTATTGATACTTTAATTAACTATTTAAAAGATAATGGTGACTTAAATACAGAAGAAGAAGATCCAGTATTTGAGATTACTAATCATTTTAGAAAATTGAGAATTTCAATGGTTCAAACTTTGAAACAATATTACTTGATTTATGAAACTTTAATAAGTTATTTTGATAACAAAAATCAACAATAAATTTTTTGCCGTGATTAAAATACGGTTTTGGGGAAGGATAATAGGTTATAATAATAATAATAATAATAATAATAGTATATAATTTTTATATATGTATACCAATAAGTTAATTAATGAATATAGTTACGAGATAAATTGACATTAGTACAAACTAAATGAATTACAATGAAACAATAAGAGATTGTGGTACAATACATGTGTAATAATTAAATCGATGAATTTAGATTATGCATTATATAAAACCATTCAAATTCACAATACAAACCAAACCAACAATTTAAAAAATTTAAAAGACTATTGTGGGAGGAGTATCAATTAATGCATGAATTAGATTTCTGTTAATTAAAAGTGCGCGCGCGCCCCCATTGATATTGTCTAGTGTATTAAATGTACAATTCTAATTCATTCATTGATAATGATGAGTATTTGAAAATAATAAGTTTAGAAATTGATAAAGGGTTTTTATCGTTTCAAAAAGTATTTTGAAAATTTATTCTTATTATTATTATTATTATTCTATACGATGATTAATTGATTGCATGAATGAATGAATGATAATGATGAAATTAGTGAAACAATAAACACAATAATATATATATATATATATATAAATGATTACTACTTTACATAATGTGAAATTTAATGTATAATGTAAAATTAATTGTAAAGAGTATTTTTATGAAAATTTGAAATATTTTTCTTTGTTTTTTATTTTTGTCTATCATTATAATCAATGATGGAAATTCAATTTCAAATTACAGTATTCTTACAAAACCACGAGAAACCATTAATGAAGATGAGGATTGGTTAGAATTTATACAAAACTTTATAGTTTAAATTTTCATATTCCTATATATATATATATATATATTTGATGGGGATAACTTGTGAATTTAATGTGTAATGACATAACCACAAGATTATGAACTAATACAAAAAGAAAAAAAAAACTGTTCAATTTAAAGTTTAATGATTGTTTTCTTTGATTGGTTTTATTCTAGACCTTGTGTTTGATCTAATAACCATTGTAGTTTTTTTTCATGATGAAACAACTTTAATAAATGGAGATGCAATTATGGGATTATAAACTTTCTGCAACAAATAGATAGCTATTTACTTCGACTGAAATGATCAATTATACACATTTATTAAAATTGACACTTATTTCAATTTTTGGTTGTGAAATTAAATTATATCCAATGTATTCAATGTATATCTCCGATTTACGCAATCTTGATGAATGGATGGATGGATGGATAAATGGGATACGAAGAACAAATCCGATGAATTTCCATTTCCATTTTCATTTTCATTTTCCGTTTCGCAGGTTTCGCGAATTTCCGAATATTCACCATCGATCAATCATCAATCAATCAATCAATCAATCAATCAAAAGGGGGACATTACTGGTTGTTCAACATGAATTGAATATTTTATCAACAGCCATGACATTAAAGAAATAAGAAATTATTGTAAACCATATGTATCATCACACACATATATATATATATATATTTACACATGCAATTGATTTGATACAATAAGTAAAAAAAAAAAAAAATTATCATCAATTTATTTAGTAAAAATTTGCCATCAGAGAAAATTAAGATCCATGTCAAAAATTGATTGATAATTCATGTCAACGACTCGACTCAATTCAATTCAATTATACTCTTCATCATCATAACTCTACATTAATTTAATAATTACAAACAGAAAACAAAAAAAAAGCATACATTTACACATTTAATTTAAATATAATTATTTCCAAAATATTTAAGCTAATTTAGCAATAGTAGATTTAATAGCAGCTGGATTAGCACCAATAACTCTTTCAACTTCTTGACCATTTTTAATAAAGACTAAAGTTGGCATAGAACTAATTGAATATTTTTGAGCAATATCACCTAATTGATCAACATCAATTTTTAAAAATTTAACTTGATTATATTCATTTGAAAATTTATCCAATAATGGAGCAATCATTTTACATGGACCACACCAAGTAGCAAAAAAATCAACTACAATAAGTGAATCTCCTGATGATGATAAAACTTGATCGAATTCGGAAGTAGATGTAATAATTTGAACCATTGTTTAATTGATAATTGATAATAATTGTCTAATAAAAAAAAAAGAAGAACTAATAGTAGTTGTTGTTGAAAAAGTAGGTTTTTTTTTTTTGTTGAGATACAACGAGGGATTGCTGTGGCTCTTAAGTATTCTATTTATACTCAAGGAAAAAAAAGATCTAGAATGTTGAATTCCTGTATATAGTCACACACATATTAGTAATCCATTTGGATGAATAATTGTGTGAATGTGTGCGGCAAAAAACGTGATCTCGGAAATTGAATTTATAATCAATTGATGATGATCATCATTACAATTTTGCAACTATTTCACCCAACACGGAACTAGCCCCTAGAGAGACAGAGAGAGTAATTAATAATCATATATGTATGTATATATTTCAATATGTAGAGTCGGTATTAAGTCTATTCATCTAAGGTCAATTCACGTGGTTTTGAACGATATTCAATTTCCCATTCAATTTTAGCAATTTTTTCAGGTAGTATTAAACTATTAGCATCATGTTCATTTTCATATTTTTCAATTATTCTATTACATAAATTAATTTCAAGATTTTGATAATTATTAATTAATTCATCAAAATTATTTTTAATTTGTAATTGTTTAATTGTTTTAATCAAATCTCGACAATAAACATTAGCAATAAATTCAATTGTTTTATTAATTAATTCATCAAAATCTGCTTGAGTAACTTCCAATATAGATGATAAATTAGGAAGTGTAGAATCTTTAAATTTAACTCCAATTGGATCAACACCATTAATATAATCATATTCTTTTTCTTGATATAAAAATAAATTTGTCAATTCTTCTCCATTAATTTTAGTATCATATCCTTCAGGAATATCATTAAATTTAATAAAATGTGCCAATAATAAATCTAACCAATCTTTATTATAACTTAACCCATCAATAAATAACAATGGTAAATTATTAGAAAACATATTTAAATAAATTTCATCTTTATTAAATACAATTTGAATTTGTGGTAATATTTTCAACCATTTACATAATAATTCACCATCAGGTATAAATTTATTCAAATTTTGTAATTTCAATTCAAATAATTGATAATTTCCTTCATTTAATAATTGGGGTTGAAATCCATAAGTAGACATAAAATCTTTAATATTATCTTCTGGATTATAACTAATAGTAACTTCAAATTTCTTCAGATTATTAGAAAATTCATCTCTTTTCAATTTAAGTATAATTAAATCAGATTCTCTTTCAATATCAAAATAGGCATTATTTTCATGACAATGATTAGCAAAATCTAATATTGGTACTAAAGAAATATCTATAACATAATCTTCATTAGTTCTAATTGGAATGATTTTTTTAGCATTTGCATCTAAACTAATTGATAAATCAGCTAAATTATTTTCAATACCACTAACCATATCTTCAATTTCTGTTCCTTTTATAGATCTTGGAATCTCTAAAATTCTTGATCTAACAGCTTGATAAATTTGAAAACAATCTTCAAATGGAAATAATTCTGTAAATTCAAATTTTCCTTCATCTTCACGATGTAAAATCTTCAATTGTTCAATTAATGATTCATATTCTAATCTAAATTTATTTGACATTTCAATATAACCAAGAATAAAATCATCATCATGTGTTTTATGTTGAGGATATTTAATAGTAAATGTATTACATAAAATATCCAAATAAATATCCAATTTTCTTAAAGGTGATTTTGCATAATATGAATTTTTAGGATATTTCAATCGAATATTTTGAATAGTTTTAAATGCAAAAAAATATGTCAATATAATATGTGTTTCACTACTAGGTTCCATAGTATTTAAAAAATTAATAACTAATTCCGATTCTTTAATCGGAACAGTTCCGGGAAATACGGTTAAATCACGTTCTTTAATCTCTTCTAATGGTTTTATTAAAGTATCCAAACAAAATGAAGATTCTCTAGGAATACGTAATATTTCAAAATCTGAATCAGGATATTCTATAGATTCATCAGGGGTGAAAAATAATCCAATACCTCCAAGTTTACTTTCTTCAATGGTTAAATTTGGATGCAAGACAATTTTTTCATCCTTAATCCAATGAACAAGTTCGGAGTTGTTGGAAACACCAGGGATTTTTAAATCTGGTGGAATAATAGTTTCTTCAAGTGTCATATAATGTTGTTGTTGTTAATAAAATTTTCTGGTTTTCCAAAGGAATATGTAATATATGTTGTAGGAATTATTGGCTTTCCTTTTTATAGATAAGACACTTGGGAATCTTTTTTTTTTTTTTCCTTTCTTTCTTTTTTTTGCCAGATCATTGATGTCCCACTTTGATTGGGAACAACAGAAATTATTTTGTTGCTTTTTCTTACAAATTTTAATGCACAGAATTTCTTTTCCCTTTTTTTGATCATGCCACACTACCTTTTCGAGGTTCGCACTGAACAATCAAGTTGTTGTAGCGTAGTAGTCGTAATGATAGTACCGTGGGAAGAAAGAAAGAAAATTTTTTTCTGTTTCTCATTCTCATTCACTTGTCACCTTTAATCATAGTTACATCATTCATATTACATACTAATAGATTTAACTTTTCTTGAAATAACACCACATAGTCATGGCTTGGGACGACGAAGATTTTGATATTCCATCAAACAATGCATCAGCTGCTGTAGCATCATGGGAAGATGAAGAAGATGATGATCCAGTTTTAGAATCTTGGGATGTTGATCCAGAAGAAGAAGAACGTAAAAAGAAAGCAGCTAAAGCTGAAGAAGCTAAAAGAAAAGCTGAATTAAAAGCTAAAGAAGATGCTTTGAAAGCTAAGAAAGATGCAAAAAGAAAAGAATTGGAAGAATTTGATCAATTGGATGAAAAAACACGTAAAGAATTGTTAAGAAAAGCCGAATTGAATGCTGATTTAAACAATGCCGCTGATTTATTTGGCGGTTTGGGTGTTGCTGGAGATGATGAAGATTTTGATATTAATGAACATCCAAGAGAAAGGGCCAATAAACAAAAATTAGCAGCAGCTGCTGCTAAAAGACCAGTATTGACTAAAGATACTCCATTAGAAGAACATCCATTATTTCAGCCAACCAACAAGGCCGAATACGAAAAATTAAGAAAAACTTTGGGTACCACTTTAACTGCATTAAGTGAAGATTCTCCTTTATTATATTCATCTAATTTAGCCATTGATTTAATTAGAGATTTATCCCAACCTTTATCTGTCGAGCATCTTAGGAAAGTCATCAGTACTTTAAATGTTGTCATCAAAGAAAAGGAAAAGCAAGAAAGACAAGCAAGATTAAAGAAAGCTGGTGGTACTGCCACTGGTGGTGCTGGTAAGAAAAAGGCTAAACCAGCCGCTAGACCAAACGTTGGTGGTGGTGGTGGTTTCAAAAAGGATGCCTTTGCTGATCTTGATGACGGTCAATTTGATGATTTTGATGATGATGATTTCATGTAAGATTTCCATTTATAATAATTTCTATTTGTCATCATTACCAATTTCTTATCATAGTTAAGTAGATCCATCGGGTCTGAATCAGTTACGCTATTAATTATTTCCTCAGTGACCTCATATTCAGACTCTTTTACTTCTGTATAGTCCAGAATATCATCTAATACATAATCTTGTTGATTGGCGTATGTCGAAGACAGTGTCATCATTTTGGTTGCGTTTTGTGTTGATTTTGTGTTGCCGAATTCGGTCAAACCAACCACTGGACTATTTAAGATGTAATTTAAAGAACATTTTTCCAAATACACTGATTTCATAAGTGTAGATATATTTGGTAAGACAGCACTGGGCGAAGTACAACTATCGGCAAGTTTGTTCTCGTAAGGTTTTTGGGTGTCCTTGCATGGTGATAAGAAGTTTGCAGCACTGAAAGTTTTTAATTGATACACTGGGGTGAAACCATTGACAATTGGTGGATTCTTTAGTTCCAATTGAGTAGTGGATGATACAATATTACCATTATCAAATGACTTATCGGCAGAAGGAACTGTCTTCTTTACCATTTGGTTCACACCAGTTTTACTAATTACAGACTGTTTCCATTTGTTCTTCCTCAGAACATGTTTACCAAATTTAGCTTTGGATCTACCTTGGGGTGTTGAAGTAGATAAAAATGAATATGGATCTGGTGTAATATCATTTTTATTGTTGAAAATATCAATTAGTTTATTCAGTGATACTATGGTTCTCTTATTGTGATTTTCTAAATAATGAATATTAGTTTTCTCTTTCAACGGTTTCCTATTCTTCATCTTTATTTATTACTAACTTGTGAATAATATATACTGAAATCACCAAGTTCCACCAATACTTTTCATCTATTGGTTGTTTAAGTTTTTGTTTTTATTTTTGACAACAGTTGGCTGTAAAAGCACACACACAAGGGTTTTAAGATGGTCGCCGCACACGCGTCCCAATTAGGAATTACCTGTCTTGTAATATTTTTCTCTATCCAACAGAGGAAATGAAAAGCAAAAAAAAAAAAAAAAAAAAAAAACATAATCTATCCAAATATAACAACCCAGTTTTTTGTTAACACGATCAAACAAAAATGTCTAATGACGATATAATACTACCATCAGCATCTTCATTAGCTAAACTAACAATCAATGATATATCCAAATCAGGATTTGGTTATAATCCATCAGTTGGACCAGCATCAAATACAATCACATTTGAATCATCCCTGGTTTTACTTAATAAACGAACAATTTCATTAACTCCAACATCAAATAATTCAATTTTAGATAGGAATATAATCTCGAAAAAACCACATGAAATTAATTTATCAAGTTTATCATTTTTATTTTGTGAGATTATTAATTGGACACATTCTAATTCAAAAGGAATTCAAGATTTAGAAAATAGATTAAATGGTTTAGGTTATACTATTGGACAAAAATATTTGGAATTATGTAAAATTAGAGAAGGTTTTAAAAATACTCATCGAGAGATTAAATTAATTGAAATGTTACAATTTATTCATGGACCATTTTGGAAATTAATATTTGGTAAATCAGCTAATGAATTAGAAAAATCTCAAGATACTGCAAATGAATATATGATTGTGGAGAATTTACCAATGTTGAATAGATTTATAAGTATACCTAAAGAATATGGAGATTTAAATTGTTCTGCATTTGTGGCGGGAATAATTGAAGGTGCACTTGATAATAGTGGATTTAATGTTAATGTAACAGCTCATACTGCAGCCACAGATGCCAATCCTTTAAGAACAGTATTTTTAATTAAATTTGATGATTCAGTATTAACTAGAGAAGCAACAAGGTTTAGTTGATTTCATGTTCAACAACTAGGTCGTGTGTAGGTTCATAATTAACAACAAAAATAAAAGACAAAAAAAAAAAGTCAAATTTTTTTTTTTTTTTTTTCACTCAATTGTCATAACCTGTCATAGAATCAGATACATTGAAGAGAAATAACCATGGGGATAACAATTCGACAAGCTACTATAAATGATATCCAAGCGATGCAAAATGCAAATTTGCATAATTTACCAGAAAATTATCAATTAAAATATTATATGTATCATATTCTATCATGGCCACAAGCATCATTTGTCGCAACCACTTATGATGAAATCATTAATGTAAATGATTCAGAAATAGATTTCCCAATTCCAACTGATCCTAAAGGAGACACTGCATATATAAATAAAGGAGAGAAAATTGTTGGATATGTTTTAGGTAAAATGGAAGATGATCCAGAAGCAACTGATAAAACACCACATGGTCATATTACTTCATTATCAGTAATGAGAACTTATCGTCGAATGGGTATAGCTGAAAAATTAATGAGACAATCATTATATGCCATGTGTGAACTGTTTAAAGCTGAATATGTTTCTTTACATGTTAGAAAATCAAATAGGGCTGCATTACATTTATATAGAGATTCATTAAATTTTGAAGTTCAATCAATTGAAAAATCTTATTATCAAGATGGTGAAGATGCTTATGCTATGAGATTGAATTTAAAATTAGATGAATTATTACCTTCATTAGCACAAAAAAGTGAAGAAATTGACGATTTATCTAAAGATTTATTAGAAGAAGAAGAAGAATAATAATAATAAGATTAAACATACGTATAGGTAAATACATTATTGAAATTTTATTTAATATCTTTCTTTCATTCTACTGGCAACAGTACGTAAATTACCATAAACTTTACCTGGAGGAGAACCCAAAATTAAAGAAACAACAGCTTCACGAGCCATTCTTATATGTGTGAATCCACCCAAAATATGAATTTTTGAATCAGCTAGAACAATTCTTGTTCTAGTAGCATTTTCAATAGCAAATTTAGTTTTACCATCTTTACCAGCAATTCTACCAATTGCTCTTGATAAATGATCACCAGTTAATGTTTTAACATCTTTAACTTCAAAAGTTTCAATATATAAATCATCCAATCTTAATAAAGCAATAGCATCATCAACATCAAAACCTAAAGTGAACGCTTTAACAAAATCAGCACCTTTTTGTAAAGCACCAACATCAGTAGTATGTTTATTTGTTCTTAATTCAACAGTTCTTGTTTTCAAATTCATTCTAACTTGTAGTTTTAAATGTTCAACTAATGGTGGATATACTTTAGTCCAAACATTCTTTAATGGTGTCATTCTATGTGGTGGTACAGCAACTTTTCTACTTTCTAATTTAACTTTCATATTGGTTTTAGAAGCAGCAGTAAATCTAGGTTTACCATTTTCATCTAATTGAAGTTTTGTAGATTCTGGTTCTTTTGCTGCTGCTGATGATGATGATTCTTCATCTTCATCTTTAGATGATTGTTCAGTACTTGGGATAGTATTAGTATCTATTAACATATCTTCATCATCTTCTTGTTCATGATTTGGTTGTGGGATATTAGTGTTTGTGGGTATTTGCTCTTCTGTAGTAGTTTTCTTTAATGCTGTTGGAGCTGCCATCGTGGTAATGTATTATAAATGGTAATCAAAATCAACTGATCTATATCTTTCTTTAAAGTAAGAAAGAAATTTATAATCTCATCTCTCTCTTGTTTAGAAAAGAAAGAAAAAAAAAATTTGTAAGAGCAAAAAAAAAAAAAAAAAAATTCAGTAAAGGTCGTGCGATCAGGCACAATTTTTTTCAAAGATTTTGTTTCCAGTTATTTCTATAGACACTTATACAGTGAGATTTAATGTAAGATTATGTAGACGGGAGGGAGATTTTAATTTGGATCATTTGAAAATGACATAGAGATCAAGTGGGATAAATTCCTGATCAAGAAAATATATATTTTGTATAAATTGACTGACTGTTGCTGGTTAATAAGCACGCGCAAATCCAAACTGAAACGCGTGCCAGCAACTGAAATGGAGAGTGAAAGTTGTCCTACGTGTAATGTGAAAGAGTACGTTTCAGGATATGATGGCTGATCAGTTGTATGGTATTGAAGAAGCAGGAATATGAATTGTGGCATCAAAGTTATAACTGTTGTATGTGTGTATGTGTGTATGTGTGTGTTAGTAGTCTAGTGGTCGTTTATAACCGATAGTTACACAAACCCCCAGCTTTGAAATTACTCGTTGCTTTTTTTTTCCTTTTGCTCCCATAGTGCTACTAATAACAAGAGAGCAAGTGAGCAAGTGAGAGAGAGAGAGAAGAAAAAAATTTTTGTTTAAATTTCTATTGGATCCCTTCTTCTTTTTTTTTCACATTGATTATTAAACTTCCTCTTTTTTAAAAATTATTTATTAACACACCATTTATCATCTTCAACAGATAAACTCTAGTTCATTCTCATGATTAGCAGGTCATTAACTTCACCGTCTATAACAAGAACTCTTACACACAATGCATTGAAATCCACATCTCATATAGTACCCATCTCAATATTATCCACACGAACACTAATATCCCGGAGACTACTTTTCAACCAAATAAACTCTCAACCATCACAACTGTTTATACACCTACTCCCCCGCTATTTTTCAACATCAACCAGATTCACTCAGAAACATGATCCTTTGGAAAACAAGAAACGTACTGAATTAGTACCATTTGTAACTAAAGCAACTTTACTTTCCCAAGCAAATTCAAAGTTATCCCGAATGTTAGTCCATATCAAATGGCCTTTGTTAAGAAATACAAATTCTACTTCCAAATGGGATGTGATGTCGGCTTTTATTTCTTGGTTAGTTATGGGTAATATATTATGGGTCATTTTAGGAACTACTACTTTTGGTTTGGTTTTGATGTATTCATTACATTACTTGAATAATCTTGTGGGAACATTTACTGATAGGGCTAGTAGTAGAGAGGGTGATGACGAGTCAGATAAGAAACCTAATAATGTTTTAGGATATTTGATTGGAAGTATAATATCATTTGGATTGGGCGTCAATTTGAAATTTGAAAAAGGTTCAACTTTACCAGAGTTTAAAGATGGTAAATTAAGATTTAAGAATTTTACCATTGTTTCAAATGAAAACACCGACAAGAGTATTCAGTTTAAGGGAAAAGTTGAAGCCATGGATATAACATTATCTTTTAATAAATGGTATGAAGGTAATGGTTTGATTTATGATTTGGAATTGTTTGGCTTGAATGGGAAGTTGTACAAGCTGGTTAGATCTACTCCAGATGAAACTACATCTTCTAAGAAATCATACAGATTGAATGAGAATATTCATTATCAATTTGACTTGGATAATGACGTTGAAGAAATCACAACTGCGAAAAAGAAGAATACTAATACACCAATAATTGATGAGAATTATATCTTTGATCATGTCAAGATATACGATTCGTATTTGGAAATTTATGAAGACCAACAAGCTGAAACTCCATTGAAAATTAATATTTTCAGTTGTGATTTACCTAAATTAAGAGGCAACAAGATTGTGTTGGATTTTTTCAATGCTAATAACGCTAGTGGCGCTATTAATGATTCTATGTTTACTATTCATAAACGTCAAAATTTAGACCCTGAAAGTAGTCAAGACAAATTGATTAGATTTAAACTAGATGCCATTGATTTAGGGGAAATCAACAAATTCAATCCAGATCTGAAGTTTAATTGGATTGTCAACGGTAAAGCAGAAATTATAGCTGATATAACCTTACCAGAAATGCAACAACAACAAGATGATTTGAACAAATCTATTGGTGAATTTATTGGCAAGATTTATGAGAATATTTTTTACCAAAACGCTAACAACGGCAACAATACCAATGCTGGTAACCCATCGGAAGATTCTTTGTTGAAGGATGCAATTGCTGCAATTTATCATACTTTTAAAAAACCAGAGGAAGAAAGTTCACCTAAACACGCTGAGAACTCGTATGTTATGGTTAATGTGAAAATGAAATTGTATGATTTAAAAGCATCTTTACCTCAAGTATTACCTACTGCAAATGATGGAACTCCTTTTATCTCATTGACTGATTTGAGATCTTTGATTAGTTTTATTAATACTGAAAACCAAAAACCAATTACCATAAAATCAACTGTTATTGAAAAGATTACTGATTTATCAAATATTGAACATTTAGGACAAACCAAGATGTTTGATTACATCATGGGTGATGTTTATGAAGAAATGTCATATTTAGTTAGAGATGATGCTAGAAGAATTATAAATGAAAAATCTTGGAGTAATTCCGTAGCTACACAATTGTTGATTCTTGGATTAGGTGCTATTGTATAGAGTGGCATGTACATATTTTTATTTATTTAAGTTTACGTCGTTTTATGATTGGAATTCCCTTTTCTGTAGATTGTAAATCTTGTAGAATTTCGTGATCTACAGGCTTAGCTCCAATTCCTAATGTTATACCCTTTTGACGATGATTTAGAATTTCTTGTTGTTTTTCCTCCTTTTTGTCTTTTTCTTCATCATTATTATCATTCCAACCTAATCCACGTAAAAAAGCAGCACCAAATTCTTCAACTGGGATTCGTTTCTCATTATCTGATTCTTCAGACTCATCATCTGAATCAAAATTATTCATGGTTCGTTTTTTAATAAATGATTGCTGTTTGATATCGTCTGTCTTTTCAAAAGTGGTCACTCCATATGCTAATTTTACATCTTCTTCTTCTTCTATATTAGACGGCACTTCTTTCAGGTGTAGAATTTTTTTATTTCGTTGTTTGAGTTTAATAATTGGTTTATCTGTATTGGTTTGTTGTGGTACATCATCTTTAGAATACGATGAAATTAATTTCTTTGATTCTTTTTCATCTTGATTAATTATAGGTTTCTTTAATTTTGACGCTGGTTTCTTCTTTAAACTTATCTTTATACCCGACATGATTCACTTTCGATGACATCTACAACATTGGATAGAGATTTTTTTTTGTGTGTCGAATTTATGTTGAACCCACCCCGACGCGTAGTACAAGGAAAAAGAAAGAAAAAAAAAAAAAAAAAACGGGTGTCTATTATTTCTAACTTTGGAGTAGAACTCTGATTGGCAGCTATTGGTTATACTTCAAATGGAGATAGTGGGACTGGAAGATATACCGAAACAACAAGGGTATGAGTCAGAAGATGAAGACATTCCTGTTGATCCTGAATTACTCCCCAAGAATTCTTTAATGAGTTTATTATCAGGAAATCAAACCAAAAATAAAAAACAAAAATCCCCAACTAAATCGAAAATACGAGAGAAAGATAATGACAATAAATATATTCAAATGATTAATGATAATGAAAATATTAATAAACTAGAATCAAAATTTTATCGTTTGGGTAAAACAACTAGTTCGAAAGATATTTTGAAGACACGTAAAAAGTCAGACCCAGTACAACTTCCATCGACTCCTCCAAAATTAAATCATATTGATCCGGCACATCTTTCTGATAATGAGTCGGATGTAGCTGATACCACACTAGATATAGAAGCAAAGATATATGGGAATAAGAAATCAACAAGTGTTAAGGATCTATTTTCAAATTTCAAACCTAAACATGTAGTAACTTTAAAGATTCCACCAGATATGTTAAGGAAATGTTCATCAGATATACTGGAAGATGAACATGAAGATACAGAGATTATAGAGTCTAAGATATTTGCCAATGCAAAAAGTGTTAATGTTCAAGATATGTTCAAGCAAATGAAGCCACAGCCAAATAAATTTGTAAGACTTAAAATGAGTCCGGATATTTTACTAAGATATAGTTCTGAAGCTGAAGATGAAATAGAGGAAATGAATACTTCAGATATAGAAAGAAAGATTTTTGAATCGAAACCAAAATCAAGTGTTTTAAGCATTCTTGGTCTGAAACAACCGGTTGTTAAGTCTACTACTAAAAAATCAAAATTAACAACTGCCACCAAAGCTAAAGAGACATTTTTTGTTACACTTAGAGTAAACCCAACAGAACTAACCAAAATCAAACAATACGATAATCCGTTAATTACAAGAGGGGTTAAGACTAGTGGTGGTGGTGGTGGTGGTAAATCAAGTAAGTCATTTTTTGCAAGTATGATGCAAGCAAGTAAAGCTGCTACAAAATTAGAACATATTCAACAAGAAAAGGAAATCAAACCACCAGAAGATTTGAAAAAATGGCAATTTCACATTTACGACAAAATGGATAATGACATTCCAAGACAACTTAATTTAAAGAGACGAGAAAGGAAGTTTGATGTTGATGTGGGAGGACAGTTTAGTTTATGTCCCGACATGTTGTCATGTAAAAATTCGAAACAATACAAATATGAAACTAAACCGTTATCAGATCTACAGGAATATGCGATGTTCAGACTACCCAAGTTACAAAAAGCACCAGCTTTACAGTTTGCATTTAACAAAATTGGTCAGAATTCAGGAACTGAACTATGGGTGGATTTTTTCAAACCGCAACAGGTGAATGATTTATTGATGCATAAGGAGAACAAAACACAGATATATAACTGGATTTCTAACTCCTTTGCCAAACTTGAAAATCAGGCACCATTGAAGGATATGAAACAAAAGATCAAACAAAGAAGACTTCAACAACTACAGGATCCGTTTGTGGTATATGATAATGAAGGTGAAGAAACCGATGAGGAAGTATTCTCTCCGTTTTTGATTATTCAAGGATCTTGTGGATCAGGAAAATCTAGTGCTGTTCACACGGTAATGAATCAATTACAAGGATATGTTCATGAAATCAACACAGGACAAAATCGAGGTAGAAAAGATATTTACAATAATTTAAAAGAACTATGTACTACTCAATCCGTTAAAGACACCTCTGAGTTTCATAATGGATTGGTATTACTTGAAGATATAAATATATTATTTGAACAGGACAAGACATTCTGGCAAGTTGTTCAAGAGATTGTGAACATTTCAAAAAGACCAATTATTTTAACTTGTGAAGAGTTATGGAATATACCAAAAAGTTTAATTGAATTTGCTCAACATGATAATTCAATGGTATTTATGGATGATTATACTGTGCTGAAAAAATTAGTTGTTGATTATTTGTGGATATGTTGTTTGGTGCACCATTGTGATGTTGAATTTCAAATTTTAGATGATATTGTAGATGAGAATTGGAATGGTCATAACTTTGATATAAGAGGAAGTTTAATGCAATGTCAAATATTATGTGAATCATCAAAAACTGATAGTATAACCGTGATCAAAAGACCTCCATCAGTTGAAAGACCAGAAGTTACCAACTTAGCTGATTTGATGGATCAACTCGAAATGAGTTCCTCGGCGGATGTTTTACAATCATTATCAAAGTCACAATTTAAGTTTACTAGACAGGAAAATGAACTTGATGATATATATTGGATTGATGAATTTAAGCAAACCACATTACCTTATGAGTTGAACATTGGAGATGTTTTGCAATCACAATTTAAACAGCTTGATAAATCTATTCCAGAAGTTAAATTCTTAATGAATGATTTACGTCATGAAACAAAAACATTCCTTGGATCGAGGGCAAAATTCTTCCTGAATATAAGTTTAAAGAGAACTCGAACTGGAGGAGGATCATTTTCAATGTTGGATACTGTTGGTGTTCCTGATACTTCTTGTTTAAATCATGTGAGTAATACTTCATTTATTCTTGATATCTTACCTATGGCAAGACATTGGACTAGATTCCAAAAATCAATTGATCAATTTGAAAATGATTCATTAGAACAAGGTAAACCAAGTATTAAACAATTTTTAAAATATCGTGACTTTAATTATGAATCTACATTAGAAGCAACTATAAATTTCAATTAAATCAATTTTGTTCTTGTTTTAATCATACCTCCACCAAACGATCGAGCCGCTTTATGTTTAAAATCAGTAGCTTGTAATCTTCTCCATGCTTCTTCAATATGATGAGGCATAATTGGACTAGCCAATTCATCAGGTTTATCAAATAAATATTTTCTTTTTTTAGGTTTTTCTTTATTATTATTATCTAAATTTTGTTTCTCTTTTTGAATTTGATGTAATTTATCTTCTGAATTTTTAATATTCATGGCTTCTTCAGTTAACGAACATACAATTTCAAAAGTTAAAAATCCTAAAATATCAATTACATCATCATTTGGTCTTGTATCACATAATTGAGTCATTTGAGCCCATTCTCTAAATCTTTTTGCTTTTCTAAATGTAAAACTAGCTTGTCTACATTCACTCCAATGAACATATTCTTCTCTAGTCATATTTTTAGTTCTATCATCAGCCATTTTTAATTTTTTTAATCGTTGAATACTTGCGGCTTTTTCTTCGTCATCAATAGTTTCATTTTCATCTTGAGTTTCTAAATGTTGTTCAGTAAACATAAATTGTAATTCCCATGGTAATCTTATTTTTGATTTTTTATATCTTGATAACATTTTTGATGAATCATTAGCTTGATTTGGATTACCTTGATTAGGATTATTCCCACCAGCTGCTCCACCAGTAGCAGCATCATTTTCAATTAATGATTCAGTACCTCCACCTTCTTGATCTTTAGCATTTTTTCGAACATCTTTCCATGATAAATAAGTACGTAATCGATTAACTTTTGCTTTATCATGACGAATTAAAAATATAACATCTTCTGGTGTAATACTTCTACTACCTCTTGAATTTGCTGTTCTTGTTGATTGTGTTAAAATTTCAATAACTTGTCCTCGAACAATATCTTCAATTAATGATGTTGTCTCAACTGGTGGATCATTAGATTCTCCTGAAACAAACATCATTTGTTGAATCTCTATTCGATATTTATATTTGTTCTCCGACGACATGTTGATGGATAGTAGATAACTTGGTTGGTTGTATGAATGGATTGAGAATTGATTTCTAGCCCTAAAAAAAACCCACCACTTGAATTTCTCAGGAAAATCAATCGTCGTGCACTACCCAAACACTATAAAAGCACACTCCATCGAAGCACTAGGAAAAAAAAAATTTTTCTCAAACACTTTTTCTCTTTTTCTTCTTTCTTTCAATATCAACAATTATTAATTACTAACTTCAAAGAGTATGTTTTAATATTCAGTTATTAAATTTAACAAAGAAAAATTTGTTTTATCTTTTATTTTTTATGATGACTCCGAGTGCATTTGGCTCGAGACGTAATGTCGATGTGGAAAAACCCAAGCTACCTTTATTTTTTTGTCTGATACTTTCAAAAAAAAAAAAGAAAACAAATACAATTTTGATTCTTCAATTTTGAATTCAAGTTTTACTAACAATGCATTTCGTAGTATTCTATTAAAGAATTCATATAGTCTAATTATAAATATAAATATAAAACCTATTCAATACTTTTAATGTTATTTTTACACTGTAGATATTATCCTTTTGTATAATTTTGCGATGAGGAAGAAAAGAGAAAAGTTAGAATTGTGTATCTAATGCTATTATTGTATATTACCAAAGATTATTTAACCAAATAATTGAATACCATTGTCTTCTGGTATGATATCATCATCGTTTTCTTCATCGTTATTATTATCATCTTCATCAATTTCATTCATATTAACTTTTTGACCTAATAAAGAAGCAAAAAATTCATCTATCTGATCATCATTCCATTTCCAAGATCCAATAGAAGATTCAAAATTTGCAATTGGTTCTTGAATATGATATCTTAATTTTCTACCTTTTGAAGCTTTAGTATCAACATTATTTTTCAATTTATTAACTTTTTGAGCTGATCTTAAATTAATAGTTATACCTGTAGTTGGATCACTTGATTGAACTTTCTTATCAACTAAATCATTCAATAAAACTCTATAGAAATCTTCATCATCAAATATGAATGGATTTTCTGAACCTTGAGCTTTTTTACGAATCATTGTTTCTTCAGGAATATCTTCATCGTCGTCGTGGCCATCTCCATCTTTTTCTTCTTGTTGTTTTTGATGATCTTCTGGATTATAACCTATTGGAGTTATATTTCTTCTGTTTAATTTAGTTCTTTTGATTAATCTATCCATATCTGATAAGTTATTGTTGACTTGTTGTTCAAATGATTGATTAATGGTTCTAAATTTGTTAGCATTCATAGCATTACTACCAGAGGAATTGGAAACTTTTGCAGACCATTTGGTTAAAACAACATTACGTTTTGAATTTAATTCCGAATCTGCTTTAGTTGTAACTTCTGAATATTTGGAGAAACTTCTCTTTTTAGGTGATGTAATTTTATTTTCTTCATTATCTTCAAGTTCATTTCTAAGACTAAATAAACCATCTAATAACTCAAATAATTCAGATTTAGCTTGTTTCAATAATTTATCACTGTCTTCAGATTTGACCTCTTCATAAGTGATTGAATTAATAGGTAATAAATTACTACTAGTGACAGATTTTTGGAATTTTAATCTAACATCAATGATTTTTTCAAATGTTTTGTTTTGTAGTTGAATAGCATATCCTTTTAATGCATCATTAGTGGCAGATTGGGATAATCTATTAACAATATGTGATCTTTCTTTAGACATCAATTGTTTTAATAATTGTCTTTTGTGTGATGATGATGATTCTTCTTCTTCTGACTCAGACTCTTCGTCTTCTTCTTCGTCTTCGTCTTCTTCGTCAGAATCACTTTGATTTCCTTCTTCTTCTGATTCACTTACGTCGGAAATTTCTTCTTCTTCCTCGTTACTATTGATGGCTTCTTCTACTTCTACTTCTTCCTCTGACTCTTCTTCACCTTCTTGTTCTGATGCATCATCATCATTATTATACAAATCATTCCTGCTGACAACATCTCCAACATATTTCTCACCCAAGTTCACTCTGGTATTATTCTGTCTCAATTTAGACTTGGAAGTTTCAACATAATGTTCTTTTCTCAACTCTTCGTCATCATCTTCATCTTCAGATCCAATATCTGATCCATCATTGTGGTCAAAAATATGGTCACCATTTGCTTGTCCCAAATCATGATCTTCTATGTCATAATCTGTTTTAGGTGTGTATAAACTGGAAATTTGATCTGCTAATGATTTCTTAGCCATGATTGATCTTATAAAATTCTAATTGATTAATGTATAACTCCAAGAGATGCTCATCTAAAAACTTTCATGCTAATTTTTTTTTTCTCTCTCTCTTTTCGTTCCTTCTTCTTAAAGTCAATTTGTCCTTCACGACACGACTTTTCACGAGGTGGAATGTCGCGTCAAAGATTTTTAATGTCAGGTTACGACATTCACTATTTTTAGCCATTTTGTGGCGCATGTGCACGACTCCCCTTATTATTTTTTTGTTTCTGGACAAAAGCTTAATTTTGGGGGGGCAGAGTTCTTCTTCTTCCTCCAAGCGAAAGCAAAAAAGAAAAAAAAAAAAGAAATGAAAGAAAAATAATAAATTCAACACAACAAAACAAAACAAAACAAAATAAAATAAAAATTTCAACCATCCCCCTTTATTTACTTGCTCTTCCTTCCTTTCTTTCATTCATTCATTCAAGGTTTAATTATAATTTTTATATTCCACTATTATTTCTAATTTAGTTGATTATTTCTTATTGATTATAAATTCACAAATTAGAAAACCAAGAATCTACTACTCAACTAGCTGAATATTTATTCCGTTCATTATAATTTAGAGAAATAGTTATCGTTTCACCCTCGCTTATTGAAACCATTTCATATATTCCTTTTACCTTTTAATAGATCTCATTCTTTTCCTGCTTTTACTACTATGAATTTCTTTAAACTAATACTTTGCATTGCATCTTACTTGGCATTAGCATTTGCATTGGCAGATCAAGATGATGGTAATGCTGCCAAAACAACAGCAACCACTACTTCAGCAACTTATGTCTGGATTACAACTACTGTTGGTGGACAGCTTGCAACCATTTCTGTTCCTTATTCTCAAAGTTTTATGAGTACTTATTCCACTGCTAATTCCGATGCTGTTGAAAGTGGTAGTGTTGGATTAGGTTCTATTAGTGGATCTCTTGGTGGTATTAGAAGCTACAGTCAAACAACAATCACCAACTCAAATGATGCTCCATCTCATTTCAATTTCGATGGTTTATACAGTGGTGTCATTGGTGGTGTTGTGCTTTTATTGGGTTTACTTTAATACAGTTTATGATGGTCATTGCAACCAAGTCCTTGTTTTTTTTTTCATTGCTTCATTTCATATATATTTACAAATAACATTAAGAAAAACTTCTAACACATGAATGTTATATAGTACAATTTTTGTTGTTGTTGTGGTTATTTGTATAGTTTGTCTTTCATCTGTGTTTTTTTTATTGATACATTTATTTGGTTTTATACAGTTGTTCATTCTTTATACATAATCATACAGATTTTCCATATTCAGAATCGATCTCTCATCTTTTTTGTGTGTGTGGGTTGCCATAAAATTGTTTGTCAAGTCGTGTGGGAACGGTCAGAAAATTTTTCGTTTGGATTTCTGGTTGTCTAACAAGAAAAGAATAACGAAAAAAAAAAAATTTCCCATCAGCGTTAAAGTCAAAAGACCTTCTATTGTTTCTTACCTTTTGCAGAAAGTTATTGTACTTAACCAAACGTAATAAAGTATGTATCTTGGAAATCATAGAATTTTATAATGTCATAGTTAATTGATTACTAACGTATTATCATCATTATTATTATTAGTTATGTCTGAAGAATTAGCTCAAAAAACTGAAGAATTGTCATTGGATTCTAAAACCGTTTTTGATTCAAAAGAAGAATTTAACGCTAAACATCCTTTGAATAGCAGATGGACTTTATGGTATACTAAACCACAAACCAACAAGAGCGAAAACTGGCATGATTTATTAAAACCAGTCATAACTTTTTCCTCAGTTGAAGAATTTTGGGGTATTTACAACTCAATTCCTCAAGCAAATCAATTACCTTTGAAATCAGATTATCATTTATTCAAAGAAGGTATCAGACAGAATGGGAGATGAGCTACTCAAAGTGTAATGCAATTTTCTTTTAATAAAAAACTGGAAGTTAACCCAATTATAAATGATTTATGGTTAAGAGGTTTATTGGCCGTTATTGGTGAAACTATTGAAGATGATGAAAATGAAGTCAACGGTATTGTCTTGAACATCAGAAAACAAGCTTACAGAGTAGGTATCTGGACTAAAGATTGTGATGAATCTAAATTGAAAACCGTTGGTGAAAGATTAAAGAAAGTCTTACAATTGAAAGATGAACAAAAAGTCGAATTCATGTCCCATGATGCTTCCAACACCAGAGGTGCTGAACCACAAATTGTCTTGTAATTTTAAAGGTATTGAGAGTTTTTTTATATATATATACAACACATACAAAACCATTTTCTTCGTTCCTTCTCCGTCTCTTCAATAACGTACAACATGAATACATATAAACTTACATATATATATATATATATATTAATATCAAATCAAAACCTTGAAGTGTCTATTTATTCTAAATTTTCTAAAACCCAACTGGATTTACTTTATTTTTAATAAAAGAGTGTATTGTATCCCAATATGTTTCTTGCAACACAGTGTCGTTGTGAGCAGAATTCTCAAAATTAATCTTCTCCTTATTCTTGCTAGGCATTAATTGGTAAATTGTATCCATATGCTTTGGAGGAACAATTTCATCCTTTCTTGCCGACAACATTAACACCGGGATGCTATTTGAAATCAAAGGAACCAAACTCTCCAGATCCCAAGTTTGATGAACAAACATTGTAATGTACTTCAACAATGGGAAAACATGTGGTACTGTTTTTCTAATCGATAAAAATGTATTTTCCAAAATCAATGCATGAATAGATGCCGATTTGGTAGCTGCTATATAAATAGCCACCGCTCCACCTAATGATCTACCGTATAATATCAATGATGATTGTTGATATTGACTGTCTTCTTTAGTTAAATATTCCATTACTCTATCAGCATCCAATTTCAATCCCTTTTCACTTGGTGTGCCGGTAGACTTACCATATCCTCTATAACTATAAATGAAAACATTATATCCAAAGTTCTTGTAAAAAATAGATACTATTGGCAAGGCATGTCCGATATTGCCGGCATTTGGGGATAAAATCAATACTGTTTTATTTGAATATGATGCACTTTGTGGATCCTGTTTCAACAGATAACATTGTAATGTTTCCCCATCCTCGGTCTTTAAATTTACCAATTCATATGGCATGTCATATTCATCTGGTGTTGCACAATATCCATGACCGTCGTTTAATGAGGCTGGATATATTAAACTGCTTTGATATGTGTAAAGTCCCACAAGAACTAACACTGCTATTGACGCTCCGATTTGAGTACAAACTTTAGCAAGTTTATAAAGTGATAAAAACATGAGTTGAAGTTTTGTAAATAATCAGTGCTTATCTAAAGGTTGATTGCTCCAGTTTACTTTTCTGTCCAAAGTTTTTGTTTTGTAATTTTTATTTTTCCTGTGGTTTAATCACAATACATTTTTTCTTATTTTTTTATTGTCTTTCATTCTTGACAAACGACCTTAAACAAGAAACCGATTCCCTACTATCAAACATGTCATCACTGACAAATGGTCATAGTCAGAGTAATTTTGCAAAATTTGCATTTAATATTTATGGTACATTAAGTACTACTAGTAGTAGTACTCCACAATCACATGAAATTTCCCCTTCCCCATCATCATCATTAAGTTCGTCCCGATCACGAAGAAATAAACAAAGTTTCCGAGCCGCAACAGGTCATAGATTAACTTATCAATGTGATAAAGAAACAATTTCTTTATCTCAATTGAATTATCCATTACAAGTTGGTGGATATGGAACTGAATTGCATAGCATTGTTATTGGTGGGAAAAATTATCTTCGACTTTTATGTATTTCTGAAAGTCAACAACGAATAATTGATGATATTAATCTATTGGAAAGTAAATCAATTTATAATTCACGAGTAGGAAGTAAACTAATTAATATCAATACAATCAAGACATATGAAAGTACAATAGCAACGGGATTATCTAATGGGGTAGTATCGGTATATAAAATATCACCAAATGGACAAGGGAAACAGACAGGTAGGTTTTCTGATCATAAACGTACCATCAATTCATTGGATTTTATTGAATCTGAGAACCAATTACTTTCAGGATCTCAAGATGGAACAATCAAATTATGGGACTTGAGAAGCTCATCATCCAAACCTAGCATTACCATTCAAGCCAGTATGCGTTCTGATCCAATTAGAGCTTGTCAATATTCACCCCATTCTTCAGTGAAGAATAAGATGTGTGTATTATCTGTACATGATTCAGGAGCTTTGTGCAAGTTTGATTTAAGAAGTACTGGGGGAAATGGTAACATATATAGTCCCGAAAAGAAATGGAATCTACATACGGGACCAGCCTTGTCTTTACATATTCACCCGGAAAAGGAATACGTCATTACAGGTGGAAGGGATCAAAGGATCTCGGTATTTAATTATGGGGAAGGTCAATCCAATAGTTCTACTCCGGAAAATACTATAATCACTTATGGACCGGTTCTTAAAGTGAGATGGAGTTCATATTCAAATATCAGTCAATCAGGAGATGAATTTGAAGAAGCCCAATCATCATTATCACCATCGAAAATTAATCCATTGTATAATTATGATATTGCATGTCTGTACCTTAATGATGATCCTACCGTGGCTATTTATAATTTGAGTAGAAAATATGTTCCAAAACAAATCATTCATTCAAAGAAACCAATTCAAAACTTCATATGGGCAAGAAATGGACATAGAGATAGAAATATTTGGACTTTGACCAAATCAAACACGTTCAATTCATACAACTTAGATCAAATTGATGAGTATGATGTTAGTAGACCACTTGATGATTTGAATAATGTAGCGGTGGCTTGGGACAACAATGGTAATTTTTCTATGGCAAATCAGGATAAATATGACTTTGAATTAGATGACAATGATATATATGATAGACCAGAAGGAAGTTCTGAAGCAGAAGTAGCAAGCCATGGGATGGATCCAGAGGAAAGTGGTAATGCTATTCATTTCCACAATTCAGCAACGACATCGCCTGTGGAAAAGGCAGCATTAGCAAGATCTTATACACATAACCCAATGCTGGCAATTCAACTACCAACAAAATCTCCTTTACCAATAGGTAGAAATGGTACTGGATTTTTAGGTCATGATATGCTGTTACCTAATATATCTACTCGACCAAAACTAACTCGAAATACTTCCCAAACTACTCAAGATTCATCAGTATCATATGGCTCTGCTTATCCTATTCCTCAGTCAGCCAATTCTAATACTACCCTACATATGAAACGCAATATTATTAGCAATAGTACAAAGTCATCAAACACCTCTGCTTATGTGATACCAGTTGTGTTACCAATAGTTTCAAATGACGAATTTGTATTTAAAAAGTTATCAAGCGAGTATTTAGTTAAACTTCCCGATGGATTTACAATGATTGATGTGTGTTTATTGAATGCAAGTACTGCCGCTAGCGTTAATAGCAATAGAACATGCCAAGTTTGGAGATTGTTGGCTGTCAGTTTACAAGAACATTTCGATTCACAAAAGGCGCCAATGACCATTGAAGAATTGGAAAAACAACAAATGGAACAAAATGAAAATGAAGAAGGAGTACCGAATGCAACAGTTGAAAGTGCCACTGATAGTATGCCAGCAAAATCTGTACTGTCTGTTTTGGGTAATTTTGTTGAGTCATATAAAACTAATTCAAGTTTCGGTACCGGTTCTCAAATAAACAAGCCAGGGAAACTGGTCAAACTGAGAACTAGTTCTGGTGTAAACCTTATGGATAAGATCAACTTAGCTAGTAGAACAAGCAGTTTTTCTAAAACTAGTTTTAAATTCAAGGAGAAAGAAGGAGTTGATGAGGACGGTGTACCAGAGGATAAGGAAAAACAAGAAAGGGGCAAAGCTGAAGACCAAGAAACTGAAAATGACAAAAAAAGTATTCATTCAAACCAAGAACCAATTGTGATAAGAACCACCAGACATTCGAAGGTGGAAGATTTGGATGATGAGAATTTAAATATTGCTAATTCAATGGCAATGAAGTCGAGTCCAACTTCTGTAGGGATTTCCTTACCCTCGAGTCATACATTTTCAAGTTCTATCGCGTCTTCCCCTCAACCAATAAGAGGACAAATTCCACCTAAACAACAACTTGCCACCACTCGTGAATCGCCTGTTCACAATTGGTTAGATCAAAAGAAAAATGAGTTATTTCGTGGAAGGAACGTAGTCCCAGCAATTTCAGGTTTATCATTGGCATTGAAAAGTAGTAATAACGGAGATGAAAAGTTACTCACTCGAGCTTGGAAGTTTAAAAACTTGTTAAGAAAATCATTGGATTATGCCATGCTTCAAGGTGATGTCATTTTCTGTTCAACAGCAGCAATTTTGTTTTATGAATTTGCTGAGGATACCATTAGTGAATATGAATATCTAGAATGGGTTAGTTTATATATTGATATTTTGCAGAAGAAGAAATTGTTTGTTACAGCAATCAATATTCTTAATTCAACTGCTGGTAGTATCAAATCCAAACTACAAAAGATATACTCTGTTGATTTGGATCTTAGATTCTATTGTTCCAATTGTGAAACATTATTAGTTAATGAAAAGTCCCAAATGTCACAGAAGGGTGAGTTTGGGTATTGGTATTGTGATGAATGTAACAAATTACAACTGAAATGTGTTTATTGTAATGAACCATGTAAAGGATTAGCTGTGGTTGTTGGGTTGAAATGTGGACACCAAGGACATTTTGGTTGCTTAAAAGAATGGTTTATTCAAGACGAAAATATGGAATGTCCTGGTGGATGTGATTATCAAATATTGTAATATTTTTATTATTAAATCATTATTATATCGCCTATTTCTATATACTTTTTAACTAGACTATATTTTACCACATATACACCATTTTTCACCAATTCCAAGTCAATTTCTGTATTTCCATCTCGATCTAATATAATTGGTCTATCCAGGATACATTTAATAAATACTGGTTGATCTATATCTGGAGTCACCACCATAGATTCAGCACCACGAGTGTCATCTAAGAAAGTTAATGATTGAGGCATTTTCTTTAAAAAACAATTATTATACAATTGACTTAATATTTGGAAATATTTTTGTAAATATCTCTTTTCTTGTTTACTTAATAATTGATCATTGGCATTATTTTCATTAATATAAAATATAGTAAATTTATTTAATTTTGATATTCTTGTTCTTATATACATTCGAATGATGAAATTTAATCTTTCTAAATCAGTTTCAATAATCATTAATTGTAATTTAAAATCACTTGATAATATTCCATTTGATGAATTCATATCTCCATATTCATGTGATTCTAATAAAAATTGTTGTTGATCTGACATAGCTGATAATATGGATGACATAAGTTCATGTTTATAAGGTAATAATTCGGGTGACATTCTTTCATTAATCATACATGTTAATAATTCTTGATATAAATTTGCAGTGTTTGATGATCTTGTATTAAGTTGTTCATTTCGTGAAGATTCTTCAAAATCTTTTAAAATATCATCGATATCCATGGTTAGTTAATGGTGGTGATGTAGTTAATATCGTTGATTGATCTCCAAGGACAACCAAAACCCAAAAGAGAAAAAAAAAACTTCATCAACCTTGTTGTACGCGTTTCTCTTTTCCTTTTTCATGAAACTAAAACGCAGCATCAAATTTTAATCCCATAATAAATCATCAATCAAATAATGTCAACTTCAAGTATAGATCGTCAGCAATTGTTAGAGCAAAAACGACAGAGATTACAAGAATTAAAACAAAAACGTCTATTACAACAACAACAACAACAACAATCATCGACATCCTTATCATTATCATTATCACCACTGCCAACTAGAGAAATCTCACCTAGTTTTATTGGACAACCTATAAGAAAAAGTGTTGATGTGTCTACTCAAACACAATCAGATGTTTCGATAACAGTTGATTCAAAAGATATTATTGAAAAAGAAGTTAGTAAATATGATAAAGCTATTCAAACATCCCCACCTATTGAACAAGATATTCATGTGGATACTATACCAGATCGAAATGTTCAATTTAATAATAAACAAGAGATACATGAATCAGAATTGAATGAAGCATTGACAAAGTCAATCAAATTAGTTAATAAATTACATATAACAAACACAATTATTTTAGATAATGGAAATCAAGAATTGAAGAATGGCAATACCACTTCAGGTATTGAAAAATGGGCAACTTTTGATACAAAACAATCCATGGTCTCAATTGACATTAATGATAATTTATTAGCTATTGCCTTCACTAAAAATATCACTAATGATGCGATTATCTATAATATTAATACACCTAATCTTTTCCCAGAGTACTACTTGAATTCTTTATCTCAAATTGAAATCCTAAAGTTTGACAAGTTTAATAGGAATAGAATCATTGGTGGGTTGAAGAATGGAGGTATTTGTATATGGGAATTAAATGATACCCAGATTTCATTAATGCCAGTATTGTCTACTCCATTATACACTTCACTCATGAATACAGTTGGAAAATCTATAGCTTTACATTTAAGCAAGATTGTATTTCTTAAGCAATTATTGATTGATGGAAATGTATGCATTATGTCAATATCTCAAGAAGGTATTCTCAACTTCTGGTCAACAAACCTATTAGCTGAACCTAAAATGAGTTTCAAGATATTTAACAAAGAAAAAAACTTGGATGGATTCCAAATCAATGGTGGTGTTTATTTAGGTGCAGAAGAGGTTGTCGGAACAGGATTTATTTCGGATGTCATTGTAAGTGCAAATGATGGAAATTTATATAATGCAAAAGGTGATTTGGTTCATGAAAATCTTTGTAAATCCATGACTCATTGTTTGAAGAAACTTGGGAATTATATAATTACAAGTCATTCTGAATGGAATTTGAAATTATGGAATAAAGATCAAGTTGATCTGTTTAAAGAAATTCCAGTTCCATATATTGTTCAAGATATTGTCATACGACCTATCAAATCAACATTACAATTTGTAACAATAGGTCATTCAAATCTAACTAATGGGAAACAAGTTGTTGATTTATGGGATTTAAAGAAAAAGTTATATTCTCCAATAGCTACAATTATTGAAACTGATGATGAGATTATAAAAGCTGCATTTAATGAATCAGGTGATAAACTTGTAATAATTGCTAAAACTAACATTATTATTTATAAAATTGATGAATCGTTAAAAGAATCTAACAGCAACGACTTTGATAAAGGTATTTAAAACTTATAAATAATAAATTTCTATTACTATTACTATAAAAATTGACTAAACATTCTGTCTCTTGATCTAATTGTAATATCGCCCGCAATTGAAGTAGATTTTGGTTCTTGTTCTAAAGAAATACAATCATTAGTAGCCAAGACCAATAATTCAAAGAAACATTTACTTGCTTCCTTTTTGTTATTAATATAATTCTTATTCTTATTAACAACACCTAAAGGTAATTGATCTAATGAACTTTCATGTATTTTAGCATCAGTTTCAACCAATTTGGAAAATTCAACAGTGTTTGAATTTCTAAACAAATCAACTAATTCTTTACCAATTTGTTCAGTTGCTTTAGCTGTATTCACAGCGGAATTCTCGTCATCACTGCCATCATCTAAAATTGGCAATTCATCAATACTCTTATTATCATCATCTTCGGGTCCATCATTGAAATCTGGTAAATCCAAATCAAAATCCATAGAATGATTATCAAAACCTTGGTCAAATTGAAAATCATCTTGATTCTCTTCTGCTTCTTGTTGTTGTTGTTGTTCTTGGAGAGCTAATTCAGCACATCTATATTGTAATTCTGCATCTATATTCCAAAGCTTTCTTTTTTTAGTAGCTACTGGTAATGACAATTCTTCAATTAATTTAAGTTTTTCAACGTCTGATAATTGAAGGGTAATAAAATTTGAATTATCGGTTTGGAAAAGTCTATCTTGATTGTCTCTAAGTTGTTGAACTGATAAACCTTCCATGGTTTCCTCTGAATCCACCAAAAGTCTTCTGTTATTTGTAATTATTTGACCATCTTCTGTTATTCTTGTTCTTTTCTGTCTAGGTCTACGTGGTTCCTCTGCTGCTTGTTCTTGTTGATCTTCTTCTGGTTCCATAGAAGTATCTTCATTATTATCTTCATCATTAGATGGCTCTATTGGTTGACCAAAATCAATATCAAAAATATTCCCTGTTGTTCTTTCCTTCCCGATGTCAGAAATAACAGACATTTCTCTTTCGTCCACTTGATGTGAGGCATCACGACCAATTTCAATTGAATCATCATGATCATCATCCATATTCAAATCAAAGTCCAACTCAAAATCATCAGTCGGTCCTGGGGTTATAGCGTCATCTTCGTATCTTGGAAATTCTAACGATTGATCAAATTCTGAATCTTGATGACGTGACAATTGAGAAGCAGCAGCAGCAGTCTGGCTAAAAATACCACTTAAATCAGTACTTGTCTGTTGTGAATCACCATATAAATTACTCAAATCAAGATCTTCTTGCTGTAACAAGTTTGCAGAAGTAACTTGATCCTTCAATATGATACTATTCAAATTTTGTAAAATTGTTTGTTGAGGAGGTAAATTGACCTGATTGGAAATATTATCTGATCCCAAATTAACCCCACTGGATAATTTAAATGATGCTTTTAATTTATATAAAATATCATTAACATCATCCAATAAATATTTAGTTTTTCTAGAATAAATACGAACAATACCCAATAATAACTGTCCAGATAATCGAAGTGTGATATCATTTGAATTGGATTCTGGTTCTTGTGATACTGACACGTCTGTAATTATAGGATTGTTGGCAATATATTCTGTTGATTTGATGATGTTTGTATTCATCAATTGATGTTTGGATAATTTCTTCTCATAATTTGCTGCTAACCAGACGTGTCCAAGTGGACCATCTCTTGAAATAATTGAATCTGGGACCATAACTGTTATATACTAAAGTGAATGGAATTAATACAAATTGTAATTTTTTTTAAAAAAAAAATAACGAATGAATTGAATTATTAATAAAAAAAAAGAAAGGTTTGTTGATAGTTAAAGAAGAATAAAGTAGGAGAAATAGTAATGAAAAATAAAAAAAAATTTGAATTCATGGTAGTTCTGATGATGATGGTTTAAGACGCGAACTTTTTTTTTTCTTTCTTTCTTTTTGGCTCCTGCCAGCTTTACCGCGTGTAGATCATGTTTGTGTTTTCTCCCTTCCACGAACTTTTTTGTGAAATTTCCCACAACCGCGTTTTATTGATGATGATGATGAGACGAAGGTTGACGAAGTATGTACATGACAGTGTTGATGTAAGCTATGGGGTATTAATTTTTGAATAGTGTTTCCAATGTAGAGTAAATTATAAGATTTCCTTTGTTGTGATGTGGGTTTTGGCGAGTTTCTTGACTGTAACTTCCCACAGCCGGATTTTTTGTTATGAGATTACTGCAAATATTTCCTAAAATTAGTTTATAATCTATTATCAACTACTCAGATGTAATTCTCCAAATAAACATTAATGTATTCATATTTTATTTGATAAACTTCAACTACTCATGTAAAACTTCTAATATAGAACAGTAATAGAACACATTCATTAGGATGAATTTGTTTGATTTACCACTAGAAATTCTTATAAAAATAGTTAAACACTATCAATATGATAATCAGGAGAAACACAGAAAAATATTTGAACAGTTACACAGATTTCTCAACGAATGGTGTTATCAATTTACGGCTTCTTTAGAATCAACAAGGGAGAGTATTGTAACGTATAGAGAGATATGCCAATCAACAATAAATCGTCATGCAGACGAAATAGGCATGCTTACTATGGAAATTGACCATGTGGAGTATTTTGTAAAATTAAATGAGAAAGACTACACAGTTTATTACCCTGAATTGCTAATAGTGAAAAATAGGATTTGTCTATTAATGCAAGGGAACAAATACCAGCTGAATATCAGAAATATAAGACCAAGGTTGATAAAGGAAACTTATTGTCTTGGTCGCAGGGCAAGCCTCAATATTTTTCAGTTTGATAAACTCTGGAGAATACCACTGGGGTTGAGCAAATTAAATATCCATAACGTATCTACTTCACAAAACATTAATTTGTCAAATTCTCAAGGATTGAAAGAACTAAAATTGTCATTTGCTTCATCCCATTCCGTTTTTCCAACATGGGTCGCTGGTGGTTTATTACATCTTAAGCGATTAACTATAATATTCAAAGCCGATGAAATAAAACACCAAAGCTGGTCTACAACAATGTATCGATTACCTAATATAAAGTATTTGGAAGTTGTGTGTGCTAATTTAAAGTTTTACAACATCATAAGGAGTTTAGGTGATCGCTCATTACAATACATTCGATTCACCATGCGTCAACAACATTACACTACACAAGAATTATCCAGAACACTTGATAAAATAATGAAACCAGATGGGTTTTATGTACTTGATTTTGTTTAGTCCCCCATTAAAAAAAAAACAGAAAATCATCAATGTGTGGTGCATACATTCCACAGTAGAATGTAGATTCTCAATTTTTTCGATTTTTTCTTACATAATCTTTTTTTTTTTCTTTTGCTCTTTTTTTTTTTTTTTGGATGTAATCGTATTGAAACACATCAACAAAATCTGTTCGACCAACGGCCCCGTTTAACAACATACAACTCATACAGACATGTCTGCGAATCTACAAACTAGGCTAGATGCCTCGCTAAATGAGATCTTAAAAACATCTGGATATATCTTTGAGATAATCAACAATAACAAAAAGCAAAGCAATTTAATAACTGGTCCTAATAATCAACTAATCCAGCCATTTGTAATCCAACAACTTAATAACCAAATAGGCAAATTTGATGAAATATTGGATGAGACAGTATCAAAATTTAATGACGCCAAATGGTGTGTTGCCACGATGGTTGAGAATAAACAGAAGCAAGAAGAATTGAAGTTGAAAGAAGAAATGGAAAGACAAAAGAGAGAAGCAGAGGCTAAACGGTTGAAAGAAGAGATGGAAGCTAAGAGAAAAGCCGAAGAGGAAGCAGCGGCAGCTGCTGCTAAAGAAAAGGCTGAACGTGAGGCCAGATTGAAAAAGGAACAAGAAGAAAAAGAAGAGATGTTAAGACAACAGAAACTTAAAGAAGAAGAAGAAGCAAAGAAGAAGAAGCAACAAGAGGAGGCTGAAGCAGCAAGATTGAAACAAGAACAACAGAAGCAACAAGAGCAACAACAACAACAACAGCAGCAACAACAACAACAGCAAGATTTTGATAATTTTGATGAGTTTATCGGATTTGATATTAACGATATGCCTAATGATAATGATGCTCTTGGAAATGGTAAATTAGACGACGATTTACTTGCAGACATCAATTACGATGACTTGAATTTAGATGTTCCTATGGATGATGTTACCAATACTAATAATAACAATGATAATAATGCCAAAAATAACAACGGAAGCACGGGCAATTTAAATAATAGTCAGGACACTACCGATAAACTACAAAATAAAGACATGAACGATAATATGGACCTAGACATGAATAATCTTTTAGGTAATGATGAACTGATATTAGATGGATTAAACATGAGTCTATTAGATGGTGGATTAGAGGAAGAGGCGAATGCTAACAACAATAACCAATTGAATGATGAATTTGATGTGGATAATTTCTTGAACCAGTTTGGTAATTAACGGTTTGCATGTTTTTAGTTACTTAAATAGGAAATCGACGCTGAACCAATAATATTAAAGCAATGCTCGCATTTTGTACTGCACAGTACGTTTTCGCTCTACGATTTTTGTTTTTTCTGCGTTGAGATATTGACCAATACTTTTTTCACTTTCTAAACTGAGCAAAAAAGAAAAAAAAAATTAGAAAAGAAAAAGCGTCTACAGTGGATTCTTGATTACCTACTTACTTCTATCATACCATCAACCATGTTTAGACAAGCCTTCCGTCAAGTTGCTAAACAATCATCTTCTGTTGTTAAGAGAACCTATGCTACTGAAGCTGCCCCATCTTCAGATGCTTTGAAGTTATCCTTGGCCTTGCCATACCAAACCTTGTACAACGAATCTGAAGTTCAACAAGTTAACTTGCCATCTGTTAATGGTGATTTGGGTATTTTGGCCAACCACATTCCAATTGTTGAACAATTGAGACCAGGTTTATTGGAAATCATCTCCAAGAACGGTGATTCTGAACAATACTTTGTCAGTGGTGGATTTGCCATGGTTCAACCAGGTAACAAATTGACTATCTCAGCCATTGAAGCTTTTAAACCAGACCAAATTGATCTTTCTGCTGTCAAGAACTTGATTGCCGATGCTCAAAAGAGAGCTGAATCTAGTGACGAAAAAGTTGCTGCTGAAGCCACCATTGAATTAGAAGTTTTAGATGCTTTACAACACGTTGCTAAATAAATGCGTTTCAATATTAGTTTAAAGAAAGATAGAAGTGAAGAAATGTTTTGATATTGTATATTGTTATCACTTCTTCAATTTTTTTAAGGCATCACGTATATATCAGGAGAAGAGATTCTTTGATAATATAAAGCAAAACATCACACATCCACAACATCAATAAACAAACAAACAAAAAAAAGAAAACACAAGTTTTTGTCAAATATATAAATATTCAAAGAATACGATAAAAAATTATATGGATGAATAGATTGTAGGACCTTGGCAATTGATTCTAGCATATACATGGAAATGAGCTGATAGAATCACGCCAGATGATCTCTAATTAACTACAACTTGCATATCCCTTGTTTTGGAATTCAATTTTCCCCCAAGAAAACAATCGTAAAGTAATCCAACTTCTTCAAGGGTTTAATGACAAACCTGAATGAACCGCCTTTCTTCGGAATGAGTTTTCCTACGAAATAGACACACATTCTAACCTAGGCACACAAAAGAATTTCACCTTCCTATTGTTTGGAAAACCGGAAAAAAATAATATTTTGTATGGAGATCCTCAAATTTCGGGGAAATTGTAGATTTACCTTCCTCTTGCAATTACGCATTGCTACTATTTTGTTTTTTAGTTTGGGTTTTCTTTTGTATTGCTTCACGTATGGTGATTATACTTTGTGTACACTTGTTCATTTACTCCCCCAAGTTTTCCTCTCCCCCTCCATTTATAATGTATGAATTAATTATATAAATACTGCCGCAAATTTCCCCAGGTTGAAATTTTTTTTTGTTACTTCTAAAGTTTCTTATTTCTTTTCATTCAATAACTTTCAATTCTACAAATACAAAAGTCATGACTGCAAACCCATCATTAGTTCTTAACAAAGTTGACGATATTTCCTTTGAAGAATACGAAGCTCCAAAACTCGAATCACCAAGAGATGTCATTGTTGAAGTTAAGAAAACTGGTATCTGTGGATCAGATATCCATTACTATGCCCATGGTTCAATTGGTCCATTTATTTTAAGAAAACCAATGGTTTTAGGTCACGAATCAGCAGGTGTTGTTTCTGCTGTCGGAAGTGAAGTTACCAACTTGAAGGTTGGTGATAGAGTTGCCATTGAACCTGGTGTACCTTCAAGATTTAGTGATGAGACCAAATCTGGTCATTATCATTTGTGCCCACATATGTCTTTTGCCGCCACCCCACCAGTTAACCCAGATGAACCAAATCCTCAAGGTACTTTATGTAAATACTACAGAGTCCCATGTGACTTTTTATTCAAATTACCAGATCATGTTTCTTTGGAGTTGGGTGCTATGGTTGAACCATTAACTGTTGGTGTCCACGGTTGTAAATTGGCTGATTTGAAATTTGGTGAAGACGTTGTTGTTTTTGGTGCCGGTCCAGTTGGTTTGTTGACCGCTGCCGTTGCTAGAACAATTGGTGCTAAAAGAGTCATGGTTGTTGATATTTTTGACAACAAATTGAAGATGGCAAAAGATATGGGTGCTGCCACTCATATTTTCAACTCAAAAACCGGTGGTGATTATCAAGATTTGATCAAGAGTTTTGATGGTGTTCAACCTTCAGTTGTTTTGGAATGTAGTGGTGCTCAACCATGTATCTATATGGGTGTTAAAATCTTGAAAGCTGGTGGTAGATTTGTTCAAATTGGTAATGCCGGTGGTGATGTCAATTTCCCAATTGCTGATTTCTCAACCAGAGAATTGGCATTATATGGTTCTTTCAGATATGGTTACGGTGACTACCAAACTTCAATTGATATTTTAGACAGAAACTACGTCAATGGTAAAGACAAAGCACCAATTAATTTCGAATTGTTGATTACTCACAGATTCAAGTTTAAAGATGCCATCAAAGCCTATGATTTGGTCAGAGCAGGAAATGGTGCTGTCAAATGTTTAATTGATGGTCCAGAATAGAGGTATATAGTATTAGAAAAAGAATATACAGTATATATATATATATATGTGAATAATTCATGCTTAAGTTTAATATCAGTAAAGCATCTACTATAAATCAACCGCGCTACCATTACGAGGTCGTGCAAATATACAATTTTTTTACTCGCTTTCCAATCCACTTTCATGAAATTTTTTTTTTCTTCTACTTTTTGAATTGATATTTGAGGTGTATTACTACCATCTATAACAAAGCATCAAACTACAATGGCCAGTCAACTTACTTCCAAGGAAGCATTTGCCAAACTTCCACAGACCCTTCATAACTTTTTCATAAAGTATCCACCAAGACCTTTTGTCCAATATGCTGCTGGTCCATCTAAAACAACAGATCCAATGAAAAACCCATTTTTCCCAAATAAAAATCCAGAAACTGGAAGATGGCAAGAACCGAAATATTCTCGTAGAAGATCTGCTGATTTATTTAAAATGGCTAAGAAATTTGGTATACAAGATTTATTACCTCCTACTCCTAGAAAATTCCATGAAGATAAATACCAAAACAAAATCTGGGTTCAAAGTATGGTTAACCCAGTTGATGAAGTTAAGGCTGCTGAATATGAAGCAAGAATGAAGGCCAAGGAAGAAGCCATTGCTAATATGGACAAGATCATTACTGAAGTTAGACCAAGCTATAAGAAATTATTGGAAAAGAGAGAAAAACGCAAGAAGACATGGTTTTAAGATATATATATATTCAAACATACGCTGTACATAGTTAATAATGTTTCATTAGAATGCTCTTCCTCGACCTCTTCCACCTCTTCCACCTCTACCACCTCTACCTCTAAATCCCCCTCGTCCTCGCCCATTTGACTCTGGTTTGGCACCTGGTCCGGCGCCTTGACCTTTTATTTTAGTTTCAGATTTAGACAACACACTCTCTATGTTTAATTCATCTGGTAGAATAATTTGTCTTACTTGATTACCTCTTATATTTATGAAATCTAATAATATTGGGTCTTGTAATGGTTGTTGTAATTTAACATTCTTAAGATTCAAGTTCATCAGTGGATTACATGACAACATAGTACCACTTATTACGTTCCCATTTTTTAATTCAACCGTTACTGGTTGATTTGTGGAATTCGGTATGTTCATGAGAAATCTAACTAACTTCATTGTTGTATTCGATGGTATGGTTGATAAGTTTCAGCTGAATGGAGTTTATAGGAATAGTGTTGTTTTTGTTCAGAAAGAGTAATTGAAAGATGAGGTTTTTGAAGGAAACACACGACTATTATTAAATGCAGGAAATTGATAAATGTCGGACATATTCAGAATTATTGACTACAACAGCGAAATTGTTAACGAGACTTAAATTTCATTCCAAAGTATATATCTCTCCCACCTTCCGGACTGAAGAAACAAAAGTTGATTAAGTGCTAGTTACATGAATAATATACAAAGTTGTGATACTGTTTGCTGATTGTTCAATCTCTACACATTTGTTCTTAAATCAATGTCAAACTTCTTGTAACCATTATTTCTTTATTACACGGAGCCGTAAAAGTAAATTCGAGGTCAATCTTACTATCCATCATTAGAAACCGTTGATTATTGGTCTTAATTGGGGGTAAAGTTATTTTTCGCACGACCAAATTTAATGTGACAAGGGACTTCTGTCCTCTTTTTTGTCGAACAGAATTTTCCTTTTCTTCCTCCGTTTTGTAGATTGCCAATCGGACTAGTTTCTTCAACGACAGGACCTTTTTGATTAGTTGTTTTTTTTATTTCACTAAAGATGGCCAATAATACCATTGTTGATAATATACAGAGAATTCCACCAGTGACACGTTTTTTCACTATTGCTTCAGTGATTACATGCATTAGCATAGTTGGTGGCTTCTTTCCGGTATCTAGATTATTATACACTTATTTCGATTTAAAAACGGATTTCATTCATATTCATTATGTTATCAAGAACAAAGGTTTCACAGAGATAATATCTACCATATTCCTTGTAGTAGTTAATTTTTATAAATTTACAACCCTGTTACTTATTCCAGAGTCGATATTTTCACAACGATACCAAGCGTTGATTGATATTTATTTCTTTTACACATTCTCCAACCATTTAGAAATATTTGGAGGCAAATTCAATGGGAACTTTCCTGATTACTTATGGTATGCCATTATTTGTGGTACGTTAACGAATGTTCTTGGATTGTTATCCGAGGCTTTATTTGTTGAAGCAAGTGTTTTCCCATTTGACTGTTTGCTCGCCTGTGTCACTTATACATGGGCCAGATGCAACAAGAATGCCACCATAAACTTGATGGGTATTGTTCCAATTAAAGCCTATTACTTACCACTCGGGAATTTAGTAATCAAGTTTATTGCTCTTGGTCCATCTGGGTTAACAAATGCAATCATTGGTATCACAGTTGGTTATCTTTATCTTTGTATTCAACTGAGCACAATGCCACTATATAACTTGATGAGTGGTGCTTATGGTCAAAATGGTAACGGTACAAAAAATGATGATTCAAGAAGAGTAGGAATCCTGACTTACGTGGATACTTCAAATAGATTTGGTGGTTCTCATGCCGAATTTATTGATGATTCAATTTATGATAAGGGTTACTTGAAGGCGCCTAAGGTGTTGTATGATTTTTTGAAGTATCCTATCAATACATCAGTAAGAAAAACTGCGTTCACTAGTATTGATTCACAAGCAAGAAGAACGACGTTACAATCTCAACAAAGAGGTTCGGCTACCACAACGTCAACCGGCACCAAAAGAGCCGATTCGACCACTGGAAGTAGTACAGGGTACTCATGGTTTGGAGGTAACAACCAGGCATTCAAAGGCAAAGGTCGCAGATTAGGTGATTGAACATCAGTTGGACAAGATTTAATGATGTGCGATTATTTACAAGCATGGAAGAATATGGTAGTGCTATCTTCCACAAGGTTCTTCCTGAATCTCAGCGACAAAGCCATTGTGAATACCTAGGATATAAATAGGGTTTAGATTTATGCTTCTGTTTTCAGAATATTATTAGTTTAGGAATACCACAGAGCTTCAAGTTGTTTCAAATGATACAGTATATGTAGAAATAGAATAAACCCAAGATTATCCGAAACTTTATTTTAATCAAGGGTTACAAAGTACCTTTTCGCGATGCTTATTAATATGGATTTTTTTAAATTTTTCTTGAAATAAATTCCATCGACTCTATTGTTCTTTTCAATGTGAATTATTATTCTCATATAATTAGCTCACGTTTTTTTTTTTGTTTGTCCATTTCTCAGTTCAAACATATCTCTCCTCATTACACAACAAATTGCACATAATTTTTTGTTTGTTGTTTTATGTTCTATACGTTATCTCCTTTTTTTCTTCTTATTCTACATTATCTTCTTTTTGATTTAACTATACCAGTTAATTTACTGTTTAGGTATTTCAGAGTCAATTGTTATTCTAATAGATATCCCGTAATAGACCAGAAAACAAGATAGAAGAAAATATGTCCAGCACTCCGGTACAGGGCACATCATCCTCGACTAATAATTTAAATAAACCACCCAACTTACACGGTGCCACTTCTACACCTGGATTGGGAGCAGGCGCAGGTCAATCCACTGACGAGTTTTCCCGTAGTTCTAGCAGAACTAATTTACTGACACCTGGAGGAGCCGGAATTATTACAGGAAGCAAGAGAAATAGATCCTCGTCAAGGTTGAGAAAAACATCTAGACCAAATTTGAAAAGATATACTTCCATTGGTTCTGCACATCCACCCAATTTAATCTATTCCGTCGACGATGATATTAATGAGGATGAAATTGATGCCAACGACAGTGAAGCACCAACCGAGCGTTCCAGCAAAATAAAAACAGACAGGGATTATTTAGAAGGATACAATGATGCATTGAAGGCATTATACAACCGCAAGACAAAGTCACCATCGGGATACTTTCACGATATCACAGGCGGATCCACACCTGTCAGATCTCCTGAAGAAATGGCCGCCATAGAATCAAAGATTGCCAAAGATTTAATTGATGCTGAAGAACAAATGAAGTTATTGGAAGAGTCGGAAGTTCAAAATGGTCCACGACTTGGTGCAACTCCAAATACTAGTGGATTTGACGATGAACAAAGTGGAGGCGATTATGGTGCCCAGGATGATGAAGATGAAGATGGTGAAGATGAAATTAATGACAATGGTTCTATTAACTCCGCATCGACTGTGGAGTCATTAAATTTGAAAGAAAGACAGAAAGCCATCAATTCAACTCATCCTTTTGGTATTAAGATTTGGAAGCCTTCCTTATATAAAAAGAAAAGATCTGTTGCTACCAGAGCAGAAGAAGATATCCATGATTTTGAGCCACGAAAGCCAACGGGGAAGATATCCTGGGGTGTCAAATTCACCAATTTGATATGGTGTTTGACTGCAGGATTATTGATTTATCTTGTTTGTTTACTTGGAGCTGCATTTGTTTTTATATTTTCAGGTTTTGCCATAGAAAGAAAGCTGAGACCATATGTTGTTGCTCTTTTGAAATTGGGCCACTACTGGCTTTTCCCTTTTGGTAAGTTTGTTTTATTGAATAAAGATAAAAACTACTTGGACGAAGATCAGTTAGAAGGAAGAACAATTAACGAGTTTCACCAATGGAGATTGCAAGAAGAAGGAAGGTTGTTCTTTGCACCACCCCGTAGATACACTTCAGGTTCTGATGCCACGAAACCTTTATTAAAAGATCATAGAGGACGACCTTTAAGAGACGCATACTCGCTGATAGATACCGGAATACAAGAAGTTGACGAACAAGACCAAGAGAATGACCAAGATACCAATGACTTTAAAGTTCGTTTTTTTGGAAGAGGGGACTGGAGTTTTGGAAGATTTGCATTTTATGTGTACTTTTATGGTATCTTGCAACCAATTTCTTACGCACTCGGATTGCTTTGTTTTTTGATTGTATTCACTATTCCAATGGCGAAGATCACAGGTATCATGAACTATCACTTGAGACGCCACCCATTGGCCTTAGACTTTGAACCTGAAAAGGACTACTATAAACGTGCTGAACGTACTTCTACACAAAGGAAGAAAAACCAGTCTATTTTGTTGTGTACTTACAGATGCTGCGGTTCTCATTACTATAAATACACCATTGATGGTACAAATATCTTTTTCATCAATTTATTATCTGTCGTTATATTTGTCATTTTAGATTTTTACTTCTTGAAGGAAGGTTTACATTGGGACTCCTGGTTAACTGAGTCCAATTTTATTTTCTGTTTATGTTTATTTTCGATTATTCCATTAGCATATTTCATTGGTCAAGCTGTCGCATCGATTTCTGCACAATCGTCTATGGGTGTTGGTGCGGTTATTAATGCATTTTTCTCAACTATCGTGGAAATTTTCTTATATTGTGTTGCTCTTAATCAAGGCAAGGGTAAGTTAGTTGAAGGGTCTATGATCGGATCAATTTTGGGTGCAGTGTTATTATTACCAGGATTGTCCATGTGTGGTGGTGCTGTTAAAAGGAAAACTCAAAGATATAACCCTAGATCTGCAGGCGTGTCCTCCACAATGTTACTGTATGCCATGGTAACAATGTTTGCCCCTTCCATCTTCTACCAGATTTATGGTAATTATGAGATGAAATGCAGTAGATGTGGTCCATTATCCACTGCAGAAAATTGCTGTAGAATGACCCAGTCTTTCCAAATTGATTCGCTTTATCTTAAAGTGCTTAGACCATTTTCATTGATTGTTGCTGTTGCCTTATTTGCTGCTTATGCATGTGGATCTTACTTTACTTTGAGAACTCATGCATCATTAATTTGGGCCACCAATACTGGCCATGAAACCAAAAGGGATGATTATTTAAGATCTCCTAGCTTTTCCAGCATGCACACACCAGTCCAAATGCCACGTGTTGCTTCATCAACGCCAAAGCTCAGCGCTTTACCTCCATCTGCTACGTTGAAGCCAACAGTTGAGCAGACTCCACAACAGCTCCCACCAAAAAAAGAAGTTAAGGAAGATGAAGAGGATCAAGCAGGTGGTCACGATGCCCCTAATTGGTCGAGAAATAAATCAACGGTAATTTTATTAGTAGCTACGTTGTTATATGCCATTATAGCTGAGATTTTAGTGGACAATGTTGACTCTATTCTTGAAGATTTCCCAATTAATCCTAAATTCCTTGGTCTTACTGTATTTGCTTTGGTGCCAAATACCACTGAATTTTTAAATGCCATCTCGTTTGCTATTGGAGGTAATGTTGCATTATCAATGGAAATCGGTAGTGCATATGCATTACAAGTTGTTTTGATTCAAATTCCTTGTTTGGTGATTTATTCAATGTATGAACACTACGTAAATGTGGAAAGAATGTTTACATTAGTATTTCCACGTTGGGATATTATTGCTACTTTAATATCAATCTATTTGTTTACCTATATATATGCAGAAGGTAAGTCGAACTACTTCAAAGGAGTGATTTTGATTTTGATTTACGTTGTCGTCATGTGTGGATTTTGGTTCAATGATATAATTGAAACCTTATAATGTTTTATATTTATTACGTATCTAATGTATATAAGTAATTATTTTGAACCTTTCTATTCTATGTAGATTCTACCTTCATATGGTTTCAATACCCCTTCTTTAGGTTCTTGGTTGGATACTAAAAGTTTACCATCGGTGTGAGTGAAATTAACCTCGTCTGTTGAAAAATTCAAGACAACAAATGCCTTTTGGTTACCGTTGGATTTGATAAATTTGAACAATTGCTTATCTTCAAGGTCCACCATTTTGAAATCACCATAAACAAACAAATCCTTGTATTCTTTTCTTATTTGAAGCATCTTCTTGACAAAATTCAACAATGAGTCCTTATCATCAATTTCCTTGGCTACATTGATTTCTTTATAGTTGTCATTAACTCTCATCCATGGTTTGCTGTCAGAGAATCCAGCAAATTCTTGATCGGTCCATTGCACTGGAGTTCTGGCATTATCACGGGCAAGTAAATTAATAACATCCATTAATTTTTCTTCCTTCTCTTTGAAATCTGGATCATTTCCATATTTCTCTTTAAAGTCATTGTAGTAGTTGAGAGAATTGATATCTTTGTACTCTTCAATTGGCCAGGATCTTGGTACATTAGTCATACCAATTTCTTGACCTTGGTAAATGAACAAAGTACCAGTTAAGGATGCTTCTAACATGGCCAATAACTTACCACTTTCAACACGGTATTCCTTGTCATTACCAAATCTGGTGATACATCTTGGTTGATCGTGGTTTTCAATAAAGACAGTAGACCAAGCATCAGTACCTTTAACAAAATCACTTTGATTTTGATTGGCCTTTTTGAAATCAACCAAATTGAAACCATTGTAACGGAATCTGTCTCTTGGATCAGATCCAACTTCAACCACATCAAAAACAAACATCATGTTCATTTCTTTTCTTGATGCTCCAACATATTTTAAAGATTCTTCCCTGGTAGAGTGTCCAACTTCACCAACAGTCATACAATCACATGATTCCATGAGCTCAGCAATTTCTTTATGAAACTCGTGAATTCTTGGACCATGTTGGTGGTAGATCTTACATGGCTGGTAGATCTGATCTTTAAACACGACCGGCGCATCTTTGAACTCTTGATGTTTTGAATACATACCAGCGGTATCAATTCTGAAACCATCGACACCTCTGTCTAACCAGTATTTAATAGCAGATTTGTAGATTGCTTCACGACATTCCTTGTTTTCCCAATTCAAATCTGGTTGGCCCTTAGCAAACAAATGCAAGTAATATTCACCAGTTTTTTCATCATATTCCCAAGTAGTACCAGAGAAATAAGACATCCAATTGTTTGGTGGCTGTCTATTACCATCTGCATCATATCTTGGTTTCTTCCAAATATACCAATCTCTCTTTGGGTTGTCCAATGAGGATCTAGATTCTTTAAACCATTCGTGTTCAACAGAAGTGTGGTTGATAACTAAATCACAAATGATTTTCATACCACGTTTATGACAACCATCAATTAAATTTTGCATGTCATCCAAAGTACCAAAATCTGGATTGATATCTTCATAATCACTAATATCATAACCCATATCTTCCATTGGAGATTTGTACATTGGACTTAACCAAACAACATTAACACCTAAGTCCTTAAGATAATCTAAAGTTGAAATAATCCCTGGAATATCGCCAACACCATCACTGTTTGAATCTTTGTATGAAGCAGGCCAAATTTGATAAACAACGGCTTCTTTCCACCATTTAGCTTCAATTGTCATAATTAATAGTTTTGTTTGAAGAATATATAAAAAGTAGAGAAAAAAAAAATTGAAGAGTAACAAGTAATTGCTCTTTTTTTTCAGCTTGTCCGTTGAAAAGATGGACTATTTAAAGCTTTTGTTCTCTTGCTGTGTTGACTCCCCATCTCCCCACACTTGCTCTTTGTTCTCGCGATAATTTTTCCGAGAATTGATCCATAGAAACACAAAAACACCAATTACTGGATAATATTTTTTTATTGGAAACAATGTGGCGGAGAGAGATGGATTCTGTATGTGTATACACACACTACTGTTTGTCTATTAATAGTATCCACAGCAATGTAGTAGAAAAGAACACTCGTTTATACAGATACGCTGGCAATCCCCCCCTTGAATTTAGAGTTATTAAAGCTACCAATTGAAGATGATTTACAATTTTTTTGTTGAGACGTTTCAATTAGGAATTGCGTATAAACGATCGCATTGGCACCAAAAAAATGAGATTCTTATCGTATAGCTGCAAAAAAAAAAAAATAAGATACAGGGCATTACACTTTGCGTTCTGAATTACAAATCAGACAATAATTTCTTAGTAATTCGGTATACAGGGCTTTTAACTTTTATAAATATAAATCACCAATTGTTTGTATATTCTCTATAAACTACCTTGTTCTTGTAAAACCTGTTTCCAATTTGGTGAAGCTTCTGGTAACTTCTTTTTCAATTCAACCTCCTTCATGTTCAAGTAGATTGTGCTCAACAAAATACCCAAAGCAAAGGCTTGGGCATATACTCTTGCTTGAACAAGTTTTTGAGTTCTTGTTAAAATCAAGTCTCTGTTGATGATTTTCCAAGCAGCAAACAAGGATCCAGCCCATGTAGCAACAACAACTTCATACTTGTGTTCATTTAACTTGTAGAAGATTTTATCTGAGAAGGACAAGTCACCAAGAAGTGACTTTTGGTGGAGCTTTTGACTTGATAAATGTTCTGATCTGTAACGACTGTCAAAAAATCTAGCAGAACCTTTGAGAGAAGCAAAAGTAGCACAACCAATAAGCGGCATACCAATCATACAAGATTTGATGGTCCAGTTGAATGAATTGAATTTAACTGGTTGTCTAAACTTCATGTATGTGAACAAACCAATACCAATAGCAGTACCAGCGACGCAACCTTTATAGCATTGTCTAAAGATGTGATGTTTGTGTTCGAGTGCTTCTTGTTCAGAAATGAGCTTCATAATGAAAGAATAAGAATGAAAATGAATGAAAAACTAATGAGTTATGACAAATTTTCAGTAATGGAAGGAATTATCCTTCCCTATTTATAGTTTTCTTTTACACAAGGGATGAATAGAGAAGGGGGGGGGATAAAATCATACAATATTTTATTCCCAAGATGGGATCCATAGGTGTTCCAAATCGTACGAGTTCATCAGTTGACTCAAAAGTAATCATAAAATGTAGAAATAAAAGGAATAAAAACAGGAAAATCCTGGTTGCATCCCCTGAACACAAAACCAATCGGAAAAACTAATTCTGTAATTCAAAAGTAATTTTGTTGGTTGTCACCTGTACTATTAAGGCAGATGCATAAAAATATGAAATATGCGCCATAGTATGATTTCTAGTTAGGCATTGGCAGCATTTCCTAAAGCTTTGTGGCAAGTTGTCTAAAGCAACATTCCAATTACATAGTAAGATAAATTCAAAAAGAGAAAATTTGTAATGAAAAACTCCCTACTGGTGAATGGTTATATTGTAATAATGATGATCATATAGTTAGCCAGAATGTCGTTAATATTTATCTCTAGTATGCTATAAAGTATCTATAATCAACATAAATCGATTTTCTAGTATTCTCTTTGAATGATAATACTCATATACCTATTCCAATGCAGAGCTATAGAGTAAGTATTCTGCTTGCAGGAATCTTACTTTCATTGAACAAACAGCTTATTTTTTTTTTAAAAAAAAAAAACCAGTCGTGTAGTAAATGAAACACATTCAAAAAGGGAAGATGTACAAAGGAATGCAATGCAAATTTCTCCTTCTTCTTCTACATGCTTTTTTTTTAGGCACATTTACGTGAAAATTTACATTGACTACAAAAATATTGTCAACTTACAATTGAACATAGTTACCTGGGAAAACACCAACTTGTCCATTATATCTACCGGTCCACCAACCATTAGCATCGGCTGTTCTTTCAACAATTTCGATGACAGCTCCAGCTGGGAAAGTCAAGTCACCTTGAGCTTGAGCAGTGTAATCATACAAAGCAGTACATGTTTGTGCTGGAGCGGCTACTGCGGCTGCAGGAGCACCAACAGGAGCACCACCAACAGGTGAATAAGCAGGTGGAGTTGCGGAAGCTGGAGTACCTGGAGCTTGATACTTGTTGTCACCAACAGGTTGAGTATATCCACCTTGAGTGTACGCTGGAAGTTCCTGGGCAGAACCAGCAGTGGCAACACCAGCAGTGGCAACACCAGCACCAGCAGCAGCGGAAGGTGGTGGAGAGTTCATGGCAGCGTGACGTCTTCTTGTGGCCTCTAACTTAGCCTTAGCATGACCAACCTTGAAATGAGTAATACCAATAGCATCAGTTTGTTCTTCAATGTTACCTTTCTTGAGATTGTATGCTTCAAGAATATCGGAAGTCAAATCAAAATATGGGATTTTCAACTCTTCCATTCGAATGTAAAGAGTATAAAAAATAGAAAGTTGCATGAAATAAAGACTCTCAAACAAAGGCTTGATGAATTGGGATTGCATTTGAAAAAGAATTGGCAATTCATCCTTAAGAGTTTGATTATAATATTCGTATTCTTGTTCGGCAATTTCGAGTTCAGCTTGAGCAGCATACATTTTTTCTTCTTCCTTTGCAGTTCTTTCGGCCTTGCTCTCATATTTGGTGAATGTTCTTTTGTGACGATCCAAATCCAATTGTTTGTGGTCTCTCTTCTTCAGGGTTTTTCGTATACTAGCAACAATGGTCAACAATTCTTGCGCCGGTTGAACAATTCTTTTATCAATAAGTTCCAAGTCTGGTTTCAAAGTTTCCTTCAATTCTTTGACAACATCCTGGTATTGTTCAGATGCAGTAATACCATCTGGATTATCCTCGGGAACAGTGGCGTTTGGATCAGACAATCTTCCACTAATAGGCTTGTAAATTTCAGCAACAGCTTTGGCAAACTCTATCTGGTTGTCCAACATACCATTGACAGCATTGAAGTACTTTTTAGACTCATCACTCAACTTCTTTGTTTCAATTTCAATTTCTTTGAAACGTCTTTCGGCATCTTCGTACACAGCATCATGGGTGATTTCACCCATGTTGAATTTCTGACGAATAGTCTGTGGTGTTCTAAGGATCCCCTTCTTAATTCCTTTAAATGACATTTTTTTGTTGTTCTTGATCTAATTGAGTTATGACAAGGTAGGCTCTTTCAGATTCGTCAACCTCTATTTTTCTTCCTTTTTTTTTTTTTCTTTCTTTTGCCTGGTCACTGATAAAAAAAAGGGAATTCTGGAAGAAAAAAAAAAACATGAAATCTCACTAAGCCTCCGAAAGTCACGTGCATATACCTGAAACGATCACGTGTATTTATATTATACTACCGAATATACTCTAAACATGGAATCTACAAACGTTTTGATATGAAAATCGACGACAAATCGGAGGGATTGATTTCTTTCCAATCAGAAAGCATCATAGGTAAGTTCTCTGGAGTGAGGTCGGGATATGAATCAGCAATGGCTTTTTGTAACAATTTAAATAAAATTTGATAGGCTCTTCCGGTAAAATGAATACCATCGTGTAACAACACTTCCAAAGATGGATAGCCACAGTCAGCTGAGATGTCAAATAATTGCTGTTCTGTCAATCCAAGATTCTCTTTAAATGCGTGCCAAAGGTCAACAAATGGAACATTGTTACGTTGTGCAACCTCTTTGGCTGCTTCTGAGTACAACAACAATCTTTTATTTGTAGTGGGGTTTCCTTCAATGTTTCTTCCATTCAGAGCAAACATGGCTTTAGCAAGTTTTGGATCGTGCAAGCTTGGCCCAATGACAATTACGCTGATGTTGTTCTTTTTAGCCAATTGTACAATAGTTTCAATATTATCCTGGTACCTTTCCAATTCAACAGTTTGGATATCGTTGATATAATCAAAAGCATCATTGGTTCCAAAGAATAAGGTCATCAATTTAATGTTTTTGCCAATGGATGATTTTAAAATCTCTGGGAAAATCAATCTTGCGTGCTCTGAATTATAGCCACTGTAGCCACGATTGATCACATCTAGTTTTCTAGCATATACGTTCTGTAAGGCTGGTTGTAAACCAAAGCCAACATCCTGATTGTTACTGAACTGGGTGATGGAATCACCAAATAGAAGAAATTTGTCGTACTCCATTGATTATGGTTGATGGAAGAAGAAAAGTAGTTAAGTCTTACAAAGAAAGAATCGCGCTCAAGTATATGTTGGGCGGATTTCTCAGAACGGAAAAAATGAGCATGTCTCAACCGGAATTACCAATAACCACACATCAATTTGTCTCCCTTTTAAGATCATTGTTTGTTTGCTTGTTTGTTAGTTGTTTTATCCTTTGTATAGTATACTACAAATGAAGTAGATGCTTCCTCAAAGATTGCTGAAATTCCAACAAAGTCGTCTGAGTTTCATTTATTCTGATATTTAATGAAAGTCAAGTTTTGCCCTCACAGGTGATATCTTATGAGAAAGTTGTAGTACTACTGGACGATATTAATAACAAAACTGATTGTCTTTATTTATGTCAAGCTACAACCATGAATGATGTTCTCCTTAGTGGCTCCTATCACAATCATATTTGATCACGTGTTTGCATTTGGTAGCATTAGTATTACTCACAGGTATAAGAAGAGAGAAACGAAAAAAAAAAAAAAAAAAAAAAAGAAAATCGGTTAACAAACCACATCATCAGTAAAAACAGCCATCACACCATGACAAATCTGTTCACTATCGTTGTTAAACTTGGAACCTCATCATTGGTAGATGAAGTCACAAGAGAACCAAGAATTGCAAATATGTCTCTTATTGTGGAGACCATAGTCAAGTTGCGTCGACAGGGACATAAAATAGTTATTGTATCCTCAGGTGCAATTGCATTTGGTATGAAACGTGTGGGATTAGAAGAGAAGCCAAGTAAATTGGCTGCTATACAAGCTTTGGCATCTATAGGTCAAGGCAGATTGATTGGATTATTTGACGATTTGTTCCGTCAAATGGAACAACCAATAGCACAAATTTTAATTACTAGAAATGATATTATGGATTTCACACAGTATAAGAATGCCCAAAACACTGTTAATGAGTTATTAGATATGGGGATAATTCCAATTGTGAATGAAAATGATACTTTGTCTGTTTCGGAAATTAAGTTTGGTGATAATGATACTTTGTCAGCTATAACTGCAGGTATAATCCATGCGGATTATTTGTTCCTCATGACAGATGTGGAATGTTTATACACTGATAATCCAAGAACCAATCCAGATGCACAACCAATATTGATTGTTGATAAAATAGATGAGTTGGCAGTGAAAACAGATACCGAATCTGGAGCTGGATCCAAAGTGGGTACTGGTGGTATGACGACAAAGTTGATTGCAGCAGAGTTGGCCACAAACATTGGTGTAACAACAATTATTACATTGTCGAGCCAACCACATTACATCCTCGATATTGTCTCGCATATACAGAGTCAATCTGATTCGTTAACGATAGATCAGCAACGTGAACTGATGATGCAAGACGTCAAGGCTGGAAAACTTCCATTGCATACTAGATTCTTGAGCTTACCACAGGATACACAGATTAAATCTGACAAAAGATTCTGGTTGTTGCATGGATTGAAAACCAAGGGTGCATTGATCATTGATCAAGGGTGTTTCCAAGCATTAACAAGAAAGAATCGTGCTGGGCTATTACCTGTTGGTATTATCGATGTTGTCGGTCACTTTCATGAAAGTGAATGTGTATCAATTAAAGTTGTTCCAGATAAGAATGGTCCATTGGAAGACGCTGTTGAAGTGGGACACTGTCGTGTGAACTACCTGGCTCCAGAAATTAAACTTATCAAGGGACACAAGAGTAGTGATATTGAAGCGATATTAGGATATGCTGATAGTGAATACGTCGCTCATAGAGACAATTTAGCATTCCCACCAGTTATGCCACCATCAACCGATTCTTTGGTATCCATGGTTGAAAATTTATAGACATAGAAGTTTAAAGTCTATAGAGTGAATAGATATGCATTTCCCGAAAAATAAAAAACCAAAACTATGCAAAAAAAAATACGCACCAAATAAAGCAAGAAAAAAAAAATCGTTGATTGAGCATTCGTTGATTGGATTCACCAGTACTAAACAGATCATGATCTATGATGATATCAAGCAAATTGGTTATCGAATATCCCTTGTATTGAAAGATCTATCGTTAGAGGAAGACGAAACAATTACTGCAGTAGAAACTTTTGAAAATAATATATATATTGGAACTAGCCATGGAAATCTCCTCCATTTTCATCGATTTGAAGATACTTCCGAGTATATATTCATTACTAAACTAGAGATAAATCCCCATCCCATCACCAAATTATTGTGTGTTCCTTTTATACAACGACTATTAGTCGTCTCTAACAGAATCACGTTTGCATTTTCATTGCCCGAACTTTCTCCCTGTCATATGAAACGAATGAAAGACGTTAATGATATGCAACTCTTGAGTAATAGTATATTGGTGTTATCTCCATCAAAGATAAGAATTATTAAAATCCAGGACGATAATATAATGGTGTCCAAAGAAATCAATTATTCTGGGGCAGTGACAGGGAATTCGTGTAGGGATAGTCATTTTATCATTGTTGCAAACAACGTGAATTATGACATTATAGATTTGGACAACAATAGGAAAGTGCCCTTGTTTGCATATAAAACTGAAACAGAAGTTAGTCCATTGATTGTATCTTTTGACAATGAGTATTTATTAACAATTCTGTCAGATGCTAGTACATCCATGGCCATGTTTATTAATAGTTCAGGAGATGTGACACGAGGAACTTTGACGTGGGTTGGACAAGGATATCCTGGTAAAGGATTAGCTGTGGAATCACAATATGTATTTTCAGCTTTCGACAATAAATTCGTGGTATCATCATTGGAGTCTCTTGAAACCGTTCTTGAGACGGACAACGACCTGTTTTCCATTAATAGAGTTGCACAAGTAATTGTTGAAGATGAGGAAGTGAAAAAGCTAATTGATACCAATATCCAACCGGTGGCCTCACAAGTGGTTTTAAATAATGGGAAGGAGATTTATGGGGTTTATAAGGAGCATGAGCTTGTACAGCTACAGCAGAAGTTGATTGACCACGAAGAGTTGAAGATAAATGCAGATGAATTTACAGGGGAAACGTATAAATACGTCATTCATATGCTACTCTTATCGGCTATTGAATCAAATAACGAGGATACAATTTTGGAGCTATTAAGTGCTGAAAAATATGGACACTTGGTCGTGCATCCGGAGTTTGTTTTGCATTTGTTTGGGGATAATCAATATAATCATAAAACGTTTAGTGGTTTGCAAACTTTATTCGATAAATTGGAATTATCACAAAAACCGGATTTGATGAAAAAATACATTCAGGACCTAAAACCGGAGCTAGTAACCACCAAGCTCAAGTTATACTATTACGATGTGGCGACAGAGAATGAATGTTTAGATTTTATTTCCAAAGATAACATATCCAAATATAATCTGGATACAAAGTCGATAATTGAATTACTTACAAAAAGGGAAAAATTTGCAACTGTTTCCAAATTATTCAAGATGTTGATTAACGGTAAGTGCACAGAACTGCTACACGATTATTCGGTGTTTTTGGTCGATGGCCTTCTGGATGTACTTTTAGATGATTCTATTCAGCTTCTACAAAGTGGCGATCTTGATGATGCCGACTATGCAAAGTTGATAATTGGTATTATAAAGTTTGACAAGGACACAGGGTATGATATCTTGAAAAAAGCACCGAAGAAATACCAAAATATAAATGCCTCAATCTTGAAGGATATATCAGGAGATAGCAACAATGACAAAGCTTTTGCTGTTTTACAAGTAGCGGTGGTGGAAAAAGCGTATAAAGAGAATCCAGCGTTGAAAAATGACTTACTAGAACTTATGATCAACGCAATCCAATTATTGTATGGAGGTATCAAAAACCAGTTTGACTTGTTGTACAAAGAATTCAATGAAATGAACTCATTGGAGAAAGACAAGTGGCCAAAAATTGCATGGTTGGATTTTCTAGATATCTGTGGGAAATCAAAAGACTTGCAGCAATTTATCGAAATATATCTCAAGACATTCGAGTTAACTTTGGGTAGTGATACAAATTTGGAAGGAGCAATTTTTAACTATTACCACTTGTACCAGAATCGCGATATTAATGGATTACTTGAGTTTGGTGATTATTCTACTGCTGAAAAATTTGCCAGTGGTGAAGACCCTTTACCTAGAACAAGGTATTTCAATTTGTCTCAAGCTGATATTCCAAATAACAGTCAGCAGGATTTGCTTCATATATTCAAGTTTTACTTGGAACAGTATTCTAGTGGGAGACCTGTTGAGTCTGCGATCAAGCACTTTACAGAACAATATTCCAAGTTCATTCCGGTCTTAGATTTATTAAGTTTGATTCCGGCCTCATTTCCATTAGCATATTTGGTAGAGTATTTCAATGCAACAATTGTTGAGTTGAATGAGAATTACAAAGATACGTTAATTAGAAAATCTGTATCCAAAGCAGAAGCATTACGTACAACAAAATTATGCAAAAATTTTTCTAAATAAATCCAAGTAATAACAATATATAATCAAACAAAATACCGTACCAGAAGATGAAACCAGTACGAATATTTGAAGTAAATGCAGACCAACAACTCTTTTCGTTGTTTAAATCAACTTTGAGCACTTGATTATAAATTCTTGCAATAGCATAGGCGCCAGCAATGTAGAACCCAGGTCCCATAGAATTCATAATCCCAGCAACCGCGTAAAATCCACCTTGAGCTACTGTTAATCCTTTCAAAATTGGTTTTGTTTTATCTCCCCATGCCAAGGCGGTAGATTTGATACCAGCAAATTTATCAAAGTTTTTATCTTGATGAGCATATATGGTATCATATGTCAAACACCAGATCCAATTAGAAATGAACAACGGCACAGCTACCCACAAATTCAATGGAGCGCCAACAGCTGGGAACCCCAAGAGACAACCCCAACTAAAACAAATCGACAACATTGCCTGAGGGTAATACGTGAATCTTTTAAACAACGGGTATGCAGCAACAAATGGTAATGATAAAGCCCCCAAGTAGAAACATTCAAATGGCAAACTTAAAAGAACAGCTAAACCAGCAAAACATTGCACTCCTAACCAGGCAACAGCTTGGGGAACAGAGACACGTCCACTTGTAATTGGTCGTTCCATGGTTCTGGCTACTTGGTTATCTAAATTTCGATCCCAGATATCATTGATGGTACAACCAGCACCTCTCATAACCAATGCACCAATAGAGAACAATCCTATAGCTTTAGCAGTAACCCATAATGGAGCAGCAATGGAATATGAAGCCATCGTGATTGCCCAATAGCAAGGAAGTAACAACAACCAGGTCCCAACAGGTTTTTCCAATCTCATTAATTCCAAATATGGGACCCATTTAGTAGGTAATTTCTTCATCCAGCCTAATCCTGCTTCTCTGGCCAATCGTGCCGCTTCTAATTCTTCTGGGGAAAATTTGGAGCGTGCAATTTCCAATTGGGTTAATATAGGTTTTTTCGACACTGATTCATTTCTAATGATTCTTGATTGGACAAAAGTTCTTTTCAATAAGCTGATTAATGGACGTTGATTAACGCGTCTCAAGATAGTCAATGTATTCAACATGGTCCTCTGATATTCCTGATAGCCCTAAAACAACAACAAAAAAAAAAGCTTAATTCATACAGATTTTTCAGTGGTCGTTGAAGGTGCGTACGACTTTTTCTTTTGTTTTCTTTTTTTTTCTGATTTTAACGAGTTGCCTCAAGGATTCCTTCTAGCCGTAAACTCATTTAATCCCCATCAAATTGTTCAAACTCCAGATCATTGTTCTGTAAGATTCGTTCCCGTATAACTTTATGTCCATCGATTAGGGATTTTAAATTAATCAAGTCTTCCAGTAGTGGTGTTTGCTCTTTGAATGTAAAAATTTGTCTGCACATTGGACAAAGTCCTTTTGAAGTTTCTTGTTCTAACCACTTTAATATACAATGTAAATGAAAATTATGAGTACATCCACCTCCCAATACGATCGGGCACTCGTCCCCAGGATATTTACAGTTTGGACACGTTCCATCAAATGAAACTCTGCAAATACCACATAATTCTTCAATATATCCATATCCACTTTGAGGAGCTGTTGAACTTAAATCCCAATGCCAAGTAGAGTACCCCTTCCATTCTAGTATCTTTACCTTCATGATTAACTAATAGGATTTGTTTATGGAGTTGTTGATTGAAGAAAGAAAAAGTGTTGCAGTTGTTGTTATTATTTTTTCTTCAAGCTAACCATTTTCGCGTGCGATCGTTGTGACAGTATTTTTTTTTTATTATTATTATTTTTATTATTCCTGATGTATCTAATGTTTATGTAATCTATGTATTCTTTTTGTACACTAAACCTTTGAATATATCAAACGAATTACCATCTGGTTGCAAATGTAAAACTTCATGATTGCGTACATCTTCAGCAATCAACAATCCATAATCAGGTGTTATTCCTTTTATGATACAACTTCTTTGACCAGACCCATTATCAACGTTTACCAACTGGTTTGAGTGGAACCAACGCTTATAATACAATGGCAAAAATGGAGTTAATCCTGATTTCTTAAACACGGTATAGAACTGATCTATCGTATGAGTGATCTTGGCGAGTAACAATTCTGGTTCATAATCTGGCAATGAAGCTAGGCCATGTTTCTCACGAATGGCGTTCAATTTTTGCAAGACCAAGTTTAAGGAAGTTGTTGGTGCTGGATTTGATACATTTACACCGGCACCCCAGACCAAGTAAAATGTCCCGTTGATGAATTGGGAATTAATCAATGCTCCTGAAATTTTGATAAATTTTTCATCGTCTCCATCCACAGTGGAACTGACATCGTCTTTGTCCTTTAATTCCTTGAAATATTCTGGTTTCAATATGAAAATATCATTTGGCCACTTTAACCTAACAGGCATATCTTCATACCCGACACCTTTACCTGGAAATGTGCTTCCGTAACCCAAGATGGCTTCAATGAATGCTAATCCACATAAATACTGCAAAGTAATAACCGTTGAAGAAGAAGTCGGAGAAGAAGGGACTTTGAAAAGAATAGATGTGGCAAGAACACCTCTTGGATTTACCCACACATTACCACCTCTTCCTCTACCAGCAATCTGGGTTGATGCAGTTAAAGTTAACCCATGAGGAAGATGTTCCAACCATAGCGGATTCTTGTCCAAGATAGTGTTGGTTGAAGTAATGACTTCCGAGTATCCCAAAACGCTACCAATCTCACCAGCATTGCCGTTAGACAATGTGTTCAAGGAACTGAAATATTTCTCAAGGTTAAAATGGTGCACCATTTTGTTTGTTGGGATAGTTTTTGAAGTCAAGAAGTTGATATATTTTGTTGACTTGGTTGGATCATCTTCGTCGTACCCACTATCATCTTCAATAGCATCATAGTCTTCTCTGGATTCGTCAACAAACACAAAGTTGTCATTATGATCCTGAAACAATTCGTCTTTCAAATTCAAGTTTTCTTTCAAGGTAGTATAGATATCTCTGACTTTGTTATCGTAAGGGGAAACCACGTACATTGGGGTAACTCGTGGAATTGTTGTGTCGACATTCTCTGAAACACGAAGACCCAACTTTTTTAAACATTCCTTAAGAAACACTCTTCTGTTGTGGTCAGTTTCTTGCAACTTTGCTACTACACCAGGATAATTTGGCCCATCTGTTTCTCTGGGTTTTAATGAATGAGCAATAGCTTCCGGGTGAGTACCACTCAAAATAACATCACCTTTACCGAACTTTCGATAAATAGCTGCTGCTTTGTCAGTGTCTTCAACATCAGTTTCTTCATCATACTTGGCCAAAATTTCAACGTTCTTGTATTTACCAGCATCAGCAAATATACACCCTCCATTGAAATAGTTGAAAACTTCAGCTGGGCATCCTGGTAACGCACTTGTGTTTACCAGTATTTTAGCGGCTCTTGCTCCAACATGCAGCTCATAAACAAATCCTTTAAATGCAGCGCCTTTTGCGGTTCCAGGATAAAAAGCCAATTCTCTTGGTCCAGAGACCTCCATTTTAGGATCCCCGACCTCGAATTCACATCTCGCACTGGCATAATATCCACCAGCACAAATACCCAAAAATTTACCACCTTGTTTTACATATTTCGAAATTAAATCATTTCCCTTGCCGTTGAATGTCTTGCAATATGGTAGATCGGCGCCACCAGGGATTACCAATAAAGATGTTTTTCTCTGCCATGGTTCATTTAGCAAAACAGTTTCATTAACAGGGAGGACAGCATAGTACGAAGCTAAATGTAATCGTAAAGAATCTAAACAATTTTTAACACCGTCAGCGGTGGTTCCTGGACCGGAATATACTAATACATTCATTGCTAGTTTTGCAAACTGTCTTGATAGTGTCACTTTGAATAAGTTTTAAAAAAAAAATAGAAGTTGAATCTAATTTTTCAGATCTGTGTCAAGCTTCAGAACTGAGAGAGGGAAAAAAACAAAACCAAAAAAAAAAAAAAACTATGATTCATGATGACTCTCTTGATTTCTAATTCCCTTTTTTTGTTGGACTTTGAATCATCCTCATTGTGATGTCTATAATTGAACAACAAGAAAAAATCACATTACATCCTAAACCAGGGTTTGTTGTTAAAACAAGGATTCTTGAGAGCACAAATGTATCGAGAATTTCAACCAAAGTATTCATAAACATTTGTCATGATCAGGAAGTCCCACGCCCATCGGTTGACTTTGAACCGGAGGTTGTGTTCCCCTTAATTATTGAAAACCAATGGGAGATACCAATTATTGTTTCTCAAGAGAAGGAAAGTAAAGACAAGAAAGGATTTCCTTCGTTGGTATACGATTGTTGCATTAATTCAAAATGTTTCCAGTGGTGTCAGGTAAGTAAAGATCTAAGATCAATTCTTATCGAGTGGTGCATCGAATCAGTGGAATTGCTTTATTCATTAACATTGGAACGTGAGTTTTCTTTGCCAAAGATGTTATCCAAGGGTGAACTTTCAAATACTGAAATTTCCAAAAATGAATTAAGTGGTGCTGGGTTAAAGGATAGACTAGAAGCGTTGCAAAAGAATGAAACATTAGGATTGATTCAAGAATTGGGTAGTGATACTGAAGAAAGTAGTGAGTTACCTGATTTGATGAATATCAATGGGAAACCGGTACCATCAAAATCACTTATTCAGGAGATTGATTCCAGAGACACGATTATGCCATCTCATAATAAGAATAATACTATTGAAGATCAAGCAAAGGAAATCAAATACAGTGTACTGTTTAACAAAGTTTACAATTCGGATTACAATGTTGCCATAGTTTTTGAATGTGATCTTCCTATTCATTCAAAACACTTTGATATAACATACACATCCCTGAAATCGTCAATCGTCATCAAGAGCCATATCAAGGGATATAGATTTGCTTCTGGAGACTCTTTGGAAATACCTGTTTCACGTGATATTCAAGTTAGAAATACAAGATGTTTCAGTTGCAAGCGATGTTTGTACATATTTATCTAGAAAGCGCTATTTCCGCGAGCGCAATGTGACTTTCCTAAAACGTCTTATCGCAACACCCGCTATTTATTTATGAAGAGAAGGAAAAAAAAAAATGTTAAAAATTCCGCTCTAACTTTAATATATAGCATCGACAATTTCTTTAAGGGTTTGTTTTTTTTTATTATTATTATTCTTTTATTCTATTTTAATGCTAAGATTAAGAGTACTTTCATGATGAACACAGAGGAAACATTACTAATAACACAAGTCGATCACTACGATGCAATCATCAATGACGATGAGATTAAAGAGGGTGACATCACTACATCACTGGAATTGAAACATCTTACTATATCTACCTTACCATTGGTGCTTGCATTCCTTCTACAATATGTTTTTTCAATAACTTCTGTTTATTCTGCAGGTCAGTTAGGTGCCAAAGAGTTGGCTGCGTGTTCGTTGGCCATTTGCACCTTTAATATCACAGGGTTGGCTATTTTCCAGGGTATGGCTACCAGTTTGGATACATTTTGTTCCCAGGCTTATGGATCGGGAAACAAGACTATGGTGGGTATTTATTTCCAGAGAGGATCATTATTAATGTTGATGGTTATGGTTCCCTTGACTATTTTGTGGTGGTTCTCTGGTCTGGTTTTGAAGTTCTTGGTTCCTGACCCAGAATTGGTCTCTATGACCCAATTTTTCCTTAGAATACATATCTTGGGTGTTCCTGGTTTGATTTTCTTTGAAAGCGGTAAAAGATTTTTACAAGCCCAACATATTTTCCAGGCCAGTACATATATTTTGATGGTTACTTTTCCAGTGAATTTAGTTTTGAACTGGTGGTTAGTTTGGAATGATGAGACGAGTATTGGGTACATGGGTGTTCCCGTGGCTATTGCTATCACTTATTGGATTATAGCGCTCTTGATGTTGTTGTATGTCATTTTTATTGATGGAATGGAATGTTGGGGAGGGATTGAATGGGAAAAAGCATGTAGTAATTGGAAACCAATGCTTTCGTTAGCTATTCCTGGGGTTGTTATGGTTATTTCTGATTTCTTAGCCTTTGAGATATTGACCATTTTTGCATCTAGATTTGGTACCGAAGCATTAGCTGCTCAGTCTATTGTTTCGAATATCGCAACATTGTGCTTTCAAGTTCCGTTTGCATTTGCTGTTGCCATTAGTACCAGAATGGGGCACTTGATTGGAGATGAAAACATTTCTGGTGCCAAAGTTGTTAATGGTTTAACAGTTATTATTGGTGGTACTATTGGAGTTGCAAGTTTTATGTTGATGTATTTCGGAAGAAAAGTTTTGGCCAGCTTCTTTACCAATGATGAAAAGGTGTTGACTATTGCATCAAGCTTGCTTTTCTTAGCAGGAATTAATCAAATTTCTGATGCATTGAATGTTGTTGGTACTGGTGTTTTACGAGGACAAGGAAGACAAAGAATTGGTTCCATTTTGAATATAATCTCATACTACTTTCTTGCCATACCGTTGGGATATGTTCTTGCATTTAAATTGAACATGGAAATGAGTGGTTTGTGGATTGGTTTGATTATTGGTGTTATGACCCTTGCAATTGCCCAATGTACTGCAATTTGTCTTAGTAATTGGACAAAAATAGTAGAGCATTCACATAGAATACATGACAGTGTATAGTAAAACGATAGACAATTGTGTACAAAGTAGTGCGCTATCAAATACAAAAAGCGGAAACAGAACAAAGAAAGAAAAAAAAAAAAATCTGGAAAAAATATTCTATAGATTAATCATCTCATCTCACACACGTACACACAACGAAAGATGGGTAGAAGATTTGATAAAAAGAACGCAACCACATTTAATGTTCTTCATAGAGCACACGATGACGTTAAATACTTTGATGATGATGCATCAAAGCATGTTTTGGTTGAACAAACAAAGAAAGAACAACCTAAAAAGAAAATATACACTACTAGTGATTTAGAATCCAAACTTGCCAATGAGAACATTCGAGACAACGAAGGGTTGGCAGCTCATTATGGTATTACATATGATGATTCCAAGTATGATTATATGCAACATTTGAAGCCTATGGGTAATACTGATGGGGTTTTTGTTGGTGCAAAGGAAACAAGTGTGGAGAAGAAGCAAAAAATTGAAGATTTGATTAGGGATCAATTACCTTCTGAACGTACAAGAAAGGTTGCTAGAGATTTAGATCAAAGTATTCCTGACGAATTACAAGGATTCAACCCGAACTTGGACCCTAGATTAAGAGAAGTTTTAGAAGCATTGGAAGATGAAGCCTATATTGAAGAGGAGCAAGAAGGAGCTGATGAGGATGTGTTTGATATGTTATTGAAATCTGGAGAAGTTGAAGATGAAAATGAGTTTTATTATGGATCTGGGGCCGAAGATTATGACGATGAGTATGATGAGTGGGATTTGGATAACTATGAAGACGAATACAACCAGAAATATGAACTGGGTGTACCAGAAGATGAAGATGGAGAACTTCCGGACGGAGTCAACCAGGATTGGCAGAGAGATTTTATGAAATTCAAAAAGGATACTAAGCACAAGGCAAATGATTGGGATTCTGATGATGAGTTTGAAGAAGAAGAGGAAGATGAAGTTCCAGATCTCCCTAGTATATCGGGCAATAAAAAGATTTCTAAAACCAAGATGAGAAAGAAGAAAGGTGCTATGACAGATACTTCGTCATTCTCAATGTCGTCATCAGCTTTGTTTAGAACTGAAGGTTTGACTTTACTTGATGACAGATACGAGCAGCTAAATAAGAAATTTGAAGATGATGAAGAAAAAGAGCACAAGCCTTTCAACATGGAAGAAGAAAGACATGATCTTGAAGGTATGTTGGATGAGTTCTTGGATAACTACGAGTTAGAAAGTGGCGGTAGAAAGTTGGTTAAGAAGGATGAAGAAAAGAAGAAGTTACAGAAGGCAGCTAGTTCTGTGTCCAAAGGTAAAGCTGCTAGGAAATTGAATCAAGCTTTTGGTGACATGAAAATATAAAGGTCTGTATAGTTAAATAGTCGTGTAGCTTGTGAGTAAAAAATTCAAAAAGAAGTTAATTTTTTGTTATGTCACTAAAGAGCCGAGAAAGACATCAACAGAAAAAATTTTCTTTTTTTTTACACTTTTAATAAATAAATAAAGAAACCCAAAAGGTACTTAACAACACTGTTTGTCCAATTTTATTTTATTTTTTTTTTGTTCTTTTACTTGATACACCAAAGTGATTAAACAATCTTGTCATAACTTTTATTTCCAAGATTAAAAAAATCATCCGTATTACGTTGTTGTTCGCATTAATAGTACCCGTTTCGTTATTATCTTTGCTATTGTCCTATCGCACCTCGCTTCCACATATTAACTTCTTCAATCGCAATTATTCCAGTAACGGCACAAATAGAAACAGCCTCAGTACCATCATGTCATCACATCGTCACAATACTGTGCCATCAGTCGCGCGAGTCTACACGGACGCATTAGCATCAAAACCACAAGAGTATTGGGATTATGATGACATTAACATCAAGTGGAATCTGCAGGAGAACTATGAAATTATCAAGAAACTCGGAAGAGGAAAGTATTCTGAAGTTTTCTTGGGAATCGATTTAGCTAAGGGGGAGAAAGTTGTCATCAAGGTATTGAAACCTGTGAAACGTAAGAAGATTAAGCGTGAAATATCCATTTTGAAGAACCTTGTTGGAGGGCCAAATATCGTGTCATTGTTGGACGTGGTGAGAGAACCTCAGTCTAAGACTCCGGCCTTAGTGTTTGAACATATCAACAATGTTGATTTCAGAACACTTTACCCTACTTTCACTGACCATGAAATCAGATTTTATATGTATCAGCTTTTAATTGGTCTCGACTATAGTCACAGCATGGGTATCATGCATCGTGATGTGAAACCTCATAATGTGATGATTGATCACAACAAGAAACTATTAAGACTTATTGACTGGGGTTTGGCAGAATTTTATCATCCTGGTACTGATTATAATGTTAGAGTTGCTAGTCGTTATTTCAAAGGTCCAGAATTGCTCGTTGACTATAGGATGTATGATTATTCCTTAGATTTGTGGTCATTTGGATGTATGTTAGCATCAATGGTATTTATGAAGGAGCCTTTCTTCCATGGTAAGTCAAACACAGACCAGTTGGTCCAAATTGTCAGAGTTTTGGGATCTGATGATTTCAACAAGTACCTCGAGAAGTACAAGATTAACTTGGGTGAGGAATTTGAAGACATGGGATATTACAACAGAAGACCATGGAAGAGATTTGTTAATGAACAGAATAAACACTTGGTATCTGATGAGTTTTTAGATTTGATCGACAAGTTGTTGAGATATGATCACCAAGAAAGATTGACTGCTAAAGAAGCCATGGCTCATCCATATTTCGAGCTAGTTAGACAATCTTAGCTTTTGTGTATTATTCTTCTATTATCTGTCCTTTTTGCAATATAAATTCCGTATTTATTTTAATGTAGACTTTACAATAGTGTCAGAGTGATGAAGTAGAATTGGATTATTTATGAGATGGCGCCGTAGAAGTAGTCATTTGGGTGACAATCACAAGTTTGTACTGAATTTTGTACTGAATTTGTTTTAATTAAAAAATCTTTCTACGAAAAATTTCATACCATTTTTGAACAAATATATATAGAAAATTTTACAACAAAAAACAACCATATCATCTCAAGTTGAGAAGTATTACTAGATGAACGAATATTAACTATGTGCTATTCTGGCCATGAAAACAACTCCAAAAAATGATATAAACCAGATGTAAATTATGCCACATTATATAAACGTAGTAAAGCGGTGTGTCTCCCAATTTCATAACAAAGACACTGTGGCCGAGTTGGTCTAAGGCGGTAGACTCAAGAACTTGATTCTTCTTCTGAGTTTCAGAGGTTTCTACTATCGTAAGATGCGCGAGTTCGAATCTCGTCGGTGTCATTATTTTTTTGCGTTTAATCTTGTTGAAACTTGCAACAGCCATCAATCTTAACATCCACCATAATAATATTGCCACTTAGATATAACTTCTTTAATTCTGGTTTCATTACAGGCATTGTCGGAAACTTTAAAATTTCTTTTTTTTTTTTCTTATTCCCTGTTTTTTTTTTTCTGAAAGATTTTTCACATAATTTTTTTTTTGTCTTGGATTTTATTATTTAATTCTCTCGTGATTTTCAATTCTTTTTTTTTTTTTCCCACACCACTTTTCCCGGTAATGACTATCCCAGATATCACCCAGTTTGATGTGTTCCCTACCACGGGATTTCTTCCAGATAAACTTCCTTTGGAACGTCTTACTCAAGAGTACTACCAGCCATGGGAAACAGTTGTGAATAATCTCCCTTCATTGATTCTCACAAAGCGTATCCGATCGGTGATTGACAAACTTCCGGTGTTAGAAACCACACAGCTTACTACTGTTGAAGAATACAGAAGAGCATACCTGGCCTTGGGATTCTTAGCTCATGCCTATGTATGGGGAACCGATACTCCTACAGATAAATTACCACCTCAGATTGCTGAACCTTGGATTAAAGTTGCCAACCACTTGGGATTACCACCAATTGCAACATATGCCGGACTTTGTCTCTGGAATTTCAAACAAATCATTCCTAGTGACGATTTATGGGACTTAGATAACTTAACAACTATTAATACGTTTACAGGGTCCATTGATGAAAGTTGGTTCTACTTGGTCAGTGTTTATTTCGAACATAAGGGGGCATTGTCCATTACTACTGGTATGAATGCCTTAGAATGCGCTCAAAACAAAGATACCAAAGGGTTGGTTGAACATTTGCAACAACTCGCAGAATCTATTGATATGCTCGGATCTGTATTGATGAAAATGGAAGAGATGTGTGATCCACATGTATTCTATTTCAGAATCAGACCATACCTTGCCGGATGGAAAAATATGACTGAAGTGGGGTTGAAAGGTGTTTACTATGGTAATGAATCATCTGTGAGAAATTATTCTGGTGGAAGTAATGCACAATCCAGTTTGATCCAGTTCTTGGATATTTTGCTTGGTGTCAAACATTACTCAACTGGTGAAAGACCATCACCATACAAGCAAACCAGTGGTGAGCTGAATGGTTTCATGGATGAAATGAGAAGCTATATGCCAGAGCCACATCAAAAGTTTCTTTTAGAGCTCCAAAGAATTACCACTATCAAAGACTTTGTTCATTCACAAAATGATCCTGAACTTAACTTATCTTTTGATGCATGTCTTGCCATGCTCAAGCTGTTCAGAGATAAGCATATCCAGATTGTCACCAGATACATTGTTCTTCAAGCCCAAAAACTGGCAAAATTGGGGTCTACCGGTACTTTAAGATCCGGGTTGGCAAGAGCTAAAAAAGAGGAAAGAGGCACTGGAGGCACCTCGCTCTTACCATTCCTTAAACAATGCAGAGACGAAACTGGTGACCCCGCTGCTGGTAACTGGGGTAAGAGAATTCTTAGTGATGGTGTCATGAGATTAAACTATTCAAAACCAAATCCCCTCAATGAATAGACCAGGGGTAGAAAACCAAAAAATTTGGACATTTATTTGCTTATGTGTAGCATAAATTTATGTACTGTTAATAAAATAGTCTAAAAGCGCGTTTTCAGTTTTCGTTAATGTGCTGCTTTTTAGTAAAAAAAAAATTTCCTTTTGAATGTAAACAAATAACCCTAAGACTACACTACTAAATGAAAACTCAGATGTCGTAGTTGACACTGATACGGTCGTTAGAGATATCAAGACAAGACAGGTTGCAGGAGAACGAGTAAATGTAATGGATTACATACGAGGCACTGGGTTAAAGTACGGTACTGTTAAGTCACGTTTGAAACGAGCAAACCCTGATGGATCTGTTGATAATGGGCACCAAAGACAGCAGATCATGTCAAAAATTGAAGAACAGACATTAGTGGACTGTATAAATGACCTCTTGGATGCTGGAAAAGCGGTATCGAAAACTGACATGATAGAACTTGGCTATGAAATTTTGCGTGCTAGGGGATCCAATACAAAGCTTGTAGATGGTTGATATCAGTTATTCAAATCTAGAAATTCCATCATTAAATGTCGCTTGACAAGAATAGTGTCGTCTGAGCGTCTCAAGGGATGTGAGTATGACAAGGTTGATGCTTGGTTTGATTTGTTTGAAGAGAAAGTATGTGCCAACGGTGTGGATCCCAAAAACGTATACAGTATGGATGAGACAAATGTCAAATTAGGAGATAAATCTTCTAAATATGCTTTCCAAAGAGTTGAGGAAAATGATGTATATCCTCCAGATGACAATGATGCAGAATATGTGACTATTTTGGAGACTATTAGCATGGATGGTAAATCATTACCCCCTTTCGTGATTTTTAAAGGAAGGAAGCTTCAAAAAACATGGATGAGCAAGGTTAAGAGCAAAGACTGGTGTTATAAAACATCTAATACTGGTTGGACAAATAATGAAATGGCCGTTCAATGGCTTCGGGAGTGATTTATCCCTTATGCAAACGCTGGTATTAATAAAGATGAAGTGTTTTTGATTTTGGACAATCATAATTCACATACTTCGACCAAATTCTTGAATGCATGCCGTGAAAACAATGTAACGCCATTGGTCCTACCTCCACATACTCTGCACATTCTCCAACCATTTGACTCCTTTTGTTTTGTAAACGTTATAAGGGCCTATTCCGAAGAGAGTAACAAAAACATGAATGCAGCTAAAAGAAGTTCCATGAACAAAGCAAATTTCTTGGAAAAGTACGAGTTGGCAAGAAATAAACAGCTCACTAGCCGTGTTATTATTGGTGCTTGGAAACAGGTTGGTTTAGCAGATCGAAGTTACGACCGTGTTTTGAATGGACATCATGTTAAGAAAGAGCCAAAAAAAAACCGATGCTCGTAAAGAGAATATGCCCGATAATGATGGCACATATATGGGTCTCCCGCAAGTCGAACTTGATTTGCTTGAACGTGTGAAACAGGAGATAATTGAGTTGTCAGGGACAAATGTTGCGGCATTTGACGAATTAGTAAAATCTTACCGGACTAAAACTGGATTTATTCAACTTTTACTAGCAAAAGTAGCTCAACTAGAGGCACAATTAGAAATGTTAGGACGACCAGCACCAAAAAGACGGAGAACAACCAATACCACCTCTTCGTCAAATGGTTTAATTTCCAAGGAGGACATCGAATATGTTTTGGATGCCGAACAGGAGTCCATTCAAAGAATAGATAAAGCCAACAAAAGAATGGCTCAAATCTTAAAGGAAAACCCATCTTTGGAAACTGAAGTTGCTAGACACTCCTAATGGAATCTAGATAGATTACTTAGAGATTGTTTGTAAACAATTTCAAAAATTAGACTGTTCATCAATCTGTTGGAGCATCACTATGGATAGAATAATATGAAAGTAGTATTGCAACATAAAGACATATAACGTTATTGGCTTGACTTTAATATTCTCTGGTGGTATGTTATTATTCAAGTAGGCACATGTTAATAAGATCATATTTAACTTGTAGATTAGTTATTGTACGGAAAACCGGGAAGTCTCAAACTTTCACGTGAAAGACACTGTGGCCGAGTTGGTCTAAGGCGGTAGACTCAAGAACTTGATTCTTCTTCTGAGTTTCAGAGGTTTCTACTATCGTAAGATGCGCGAGTTCGAATCTCGTCGGTGTCATTATTTTTTTGCGTTTAATCTTGTTGAACTTTATTTGCTACTTTTCTTTTTTTGTTATACAGATGTTATGCATACTCAAAAACTATATAGGTGGTAAACTGCTTCTACATGTAGGACATTGTAATTTGAATTGCATCCAGCTCTCCAAACAACTGGTATGGAAAACATGATCACATGGAGTAACCATATAGTCTTTTCTATTCTTACCATCGATATCTGTCAAACAGATAGAACATGTTGTTTCTGGAACTTCAAAGGCTCGGAAATAGTTATAAGATTCAGGGAGGAACCTTGTTGATATCCACAATCTAGGATTGTACAGCTGTACAGCCAACACCCCCAACTGTATCATTAACCAAACGAAACTTGCAATCGGCAACACTCTTTGTTTCTCCTGGAACCAACACCACCACCAGACACCAAACCATCGAAGCATGCTTTCCCCCACCACAAATTCCCATGACAATGACTTTCTATTGTTCTTGATGAAGTTTCGTCCAATTTGAAATACCCATTCACTATTTAACACAATGATACCAAAGAATTCAAAATATCGTCTATACTTGATTCTCCATTGCAACGCACTAATAGTAATGAAAAGGGCAATTATACTGGCAATGAAAACACCTCCCATAACATTGTTGGTAGTTTCGGCAGTTGGTGGCTGTGGTGCTTCTGGTTGTTGTGGTTCTCTTGCGATTGGTAAGATCGGTTCATTGGAACCTCGTATCATGTCAACCAAGCTAGCTGCACGTTCATTCACCTGACTTCCGATCACACTAACAATAAATCGTGACAAGAAAATACCTGTGCTCATGAAAGTTGTTGCACTAATGGCAATTAATAACAATTGTGAGCTGGTGGTTAATGTTGCCATCAACAATGATGTCAAAGCAATTAACATATTGGCAAAAGCAAGCATGATCAAGGAATATCTTGATATTTTGTTCAAGGCACCAGGTGTGGTAACCTGACCCATTTCACGTAAAATCAAATACAAATCTAGGATTACCAATACAATCAAACCAATTAGTTCATTCTTCACTTTTTTTCGCAGAACCGCAGATGTATCTCCTTCGGCAGTACTGGAAATCACCACCCCACAATCAGGACTATACATTAACATATTAGAAACAACAATCTTTGGAATTTCTTTCGGAAGTGGTTTACCTGTAGGGTACATCATCTCGTCGTCAATGTACCTCAACTCATCTTTAGTGTATTTTGTCTTCTCCAACTGTAAGAACGTAACGTATTCACACTGTGAGTATGCTGCTTCAACTTGGGCATTCAATCTATCTATTGATATATCCTCCTTGGTAACATTCCCAAGTCGACCCATGAGTATCTTGGCTACTTCAAAATTATTCCCATTCATTGCCAAGTGTGGTAAAGCATAGCCACCATAAAATTTTGCAGAGTTGGTGCTTGCAACAATGGCACCAATGTCTTGAAAATAAACACCTTTCATATCCAAATCATGTTGTTCAATTTCTGGTTTATCTTTCAAACTAACTTCTAATTTCACCACGACTGCATTGTCTATTCCCGAATCTTCTTCTGTTTTATGGTCACCCAATGCAATAGATACAACACCACTGGAAAATGTAATATTGCCAATACCAGTGCTCTTTTCAGGTTTTGGAACATCACTTGTAAACAGATCATCATCTTCTCTGGACTCGTAGTAATCCTTCAAGTACTTTGGTATCTCTAATTTTGTAGGCTTCACGCCACTCTTTTCCAAATTAAATTTACCTTCTGCTTTACCAGATATATTCAACAAATAAGCTTTGTCATCAACAGGACTCAATCCCCAGAACAGTCGAATTTTGTCACTGATTTCATTGGGTAATACGGAATATTTTTGATTTTCCATCCAAGGGTGGTCTTTATCATATTTATGAATAGGCCAATCTTCTGGAACCTTCCCGTTAAGGTGATCATCGTAGGATAACTGGAACCCTGTGATATTACCATAACCGGTATCGTATGTGGAGCGATCTAGAATCTTCAGGGAGTTGGTGATCAGATTTTGGAATATATTGAGTGTCTGTCTATCTTTATCAGATCGTATTGGTTCATTACCAGATGGCAATGACATGATGATGAACATCACAATGAAGAATATAAGTGTTTGCCTATCAACTGCCATTGTTGTTTTGCCATCACCCTTCTTATCGTCGTATCCAGATTTTTCGTGACAGCAAAACTTTTTCTGGTGAACAAACAAAGTGTGAGAGTAAAAAAAAAAAAAAAAAAAAAAGTGAAAAAAGTGTAATACAGAGGTTTTCTCTATCTTACCAACCCCCTCCCTATTATCACCAATGAGGTTATTGTACAAGGAACACCCCCGTACATTGGTGTTGTACTCAGAAACATATTCATTAAGTTTTAGAATTAAATCCAAATCCGATCCTACAGTTTATTTGGAATTAATCCCAAATACTGATATTACTAGAGAAAATGGATACAGATCGTTGATTAGAAAGGAAATTTTTGGATGTTTGGGTTTAATCTACATCTCCCAACAGATATATCTTGCCGTTGTAACAGGCCAGCAATCAAATGTGGCCAACCCTATAGAGAACGAATCTGTCAACAGGATTTTCTCTGTTGATTTTGTATCGTTGAATAATTCTGAATGGGACTTTGTTGAGTTGGATAGTTCCGGGTACCCTATCACTGATGCTGAAGCAGAAAACGATCTTCAAGTAGTACACCCTTGTTTCAGTTTGAAGAAGCTACTTTCCAATGGTTCATTCTATTATTCAAACGATTTTGACTTGACATCTTTGTTACAGAACCGTGGTCTCACAAATACCATTGATCATTATCAACCGGATTATATGTGGAACAAGTTTCTTGTTGACCAAGTGCTCAAATTTAGATCCCATCTTGACCCACACAATCAATTGATATTTGATGACAATAGGTTCTTGATTGCCATGATTAGAGGGTTTGCTAAAACTATCACTTTGGGCAGCCGTGGAGATTCCTTAAGTATCATCTCAAAACAGTCATGTAAGAGAGCCGGTACTAGATACAACACCAGAGGTGTAGATGATAATGGGAATGTTGCTAATTTTGTTGAAACTGAATTTATCTACAACAACCCATCAAAGTCGTCGATTTTCACGTTTACTCAAATCAGAGGGTCAGTGCCGACTTTTTGGGAACAGGATTCAAGCTTGATGAATCCAAAAATTACTTTAACTAGATCCCTTGAGGCAACCCAGCCAGTGTTCAACAAACATTTTGCTGCTATTACGTCTACATATGGTGTATGCCATATCGTTGATCTTCTTTCAAAAACAAAGTCTGCGGAAGTACAAATTTCTCAAAGGTACCAACAGCTTTATTCTCGCTGCAATAAAAAGGAAGAAATAGACTACACTGCTTTTGATTTCCACCATGAAACAAAAATTGCAGGTGGGTTTGCTGGTGCTACGAAAATTCTTTCTCCATTGCACGATTCTTTGCAGCTGTTTGGTTGGTTCACCTATGATACCAATACTGACGAAGTAGTGACTCGCCAGGATGGGGTTTTCCGTGTCAATTGTTTGGACTGTCTTGATCGTACAAACTTGATTGAACAAGTTATTTGCAGGAATGTTTTAGAGAATATTTTGAGCAACCAGGGGTTGAATAACCAGGCCGCATGGGAAGTCGTTCTTCAAAGACACAATACATTATGGGCAGATAACGGTGACGCTATTTCACAGATATATACTGGTACAAATGCATTGAAATCATCATTCTCCAGATCAGGTAAAATGAACTTTGCTGGTGCATTGTCTGACGTGACTAAATCTGTGTCAAGAATGTATCAGAATACTTTTGTTGATGGTAAGAAACAGTCCATTATCGATACATTGTTGGGTGTTGATGGACCTAACTCGGTCAAGGTGAAAGTTTACAACCCGGCAACAGAGTTTGTTACCAATGCTTTGCAGCAACAAGCAGGAGCATTCACTACTTATGAGGACATCAGCATGTTTACAGGGACATATAATGTTAATGCATTAGAGCCAACTAGTCGTGTTGACTTGGCTGATTGGTTATTCCCACCGGAAATTTCTGGACCGTTGCCAGATATATATGCCATTGGGTTTCAAGAATTGATTGAACTTAATGCGTCATCTATTTTAAATGCCGACGGCAGCAGGTCAAACCATTGGTCACAATTGTTGAATGATCAATTGAACTCTCATAATGAGGAGTATGTATTGTTGCGTACTGAAGCAATTGCAACCATGGCATTGTTCTTGTATGTGAAGAAATCCAAAGTATCTAAAGTCACGAGAGTTGCAGGATCATCCAAGAAGACCGGATTGGGAGGTATGTCTGCTAACAAGGGTGCATGTGGTGTTCGTTTCCAGTTTGGAGCCACTTCTTTTGCTTTGATTACATCACACTTGGCTGCAGGAACAGGAGCTGTGGTTGAAAGAATGAATGATTATAACACTATCATGGATGGTCTTGTATTCACCAGGAATTATACCATTAAAGACCATGATCACATTATTTGGTTTGGTGATTTGAATTATAGAATTGAGATGTCCAACATGGAATGTCGACACTTGGTGGAAGGTGGTGCGTTTGACGAGTTGATTCAACGTGACCAATTAACAGACGAGAGAAAAAGAAATGCCGCATTTAGTGACTTCAGTGAAGGTCTTGTCAAGTTTTATCCAACATACAAGTTTGACAAGGGAACCACGAATTACGATACTAGTGAAAAACAAAGAATTCCATCTTGGACAGATCGTGTGTTGTACAAGAGTAAGAACAAAGGTTTGACCCAATTGGCATATAACTCACTTATGAATGTATCATTGAGTGATCACAAACCAGTGTATGCGATTTTCAAAGCCAAAGTGGAAATTATTGACAAGGCTAAAAAACTGGCAATTACCAGCAGTCTATACAACAGTTTCAAAGATGAACATAGCGAGTTGTTGTCGTTGTCTGATTCTATAAGTTCGTCAAGTACATCTATTTCTACTGCCCCAGTACCACCACCACCAAGAACAATGACTCCTACTATGCCAGCCATGATTCCAAGAAAGGCATTGACACCGACTCCAGCAACTCCAAAACTGGCAACCCCAAAGCCAGTCACACCAAAGCTGGTCACTCCCAAACCAGAAGCAGTACAACCGGCTGTGACAAAGCCAGTAGCTACACAAGTGCTCCCATCACTGGTCAACAAGACGGCTACTCCACCAGCTCCGCCACCTCCAAGAAAAACAACTACCATGTCTCCACCAGGTATTTCAATGAGTTCCGCCCCATTGATACCAACAAAACCAATGGTTCCAGCTAAACCTGCATCATTAAAAGCATCACATACTTGATTTGTTATACATTCGTTGAATTTGATGTATAGTTCAGCGGCATTTTCCTTTACTTTTGATCATTTTAAATATACAAATACAATTTGGAGAGAAGTTATGTAGGTAATCTAGTACTATCACGAGGGGCGACGATGAAAACAAGAATAACGTACATTTCTATGTAGATTTACAAGACAAGCAACAAAGTTCAAACTTTACACTGCCTTTTCTAGTAGACTAAACACCTTAACCGGTAATCCAACTACATTGAAGTAATCTCCTTCCATTGAATCAAACAATAAACATCCCAACCCTTGATATTTAAAGCCACCGGCAACTTCTAACCCTTCTTTGCTCTCAATATATGCATCATTAATATATTTGTCCCCCTTGAATTTTAATTTTGAAATGGAATGATCTGTAAACACTTCTGTTGTCTTTCCCACTTTGAATACTGTCAATGCTGAAATCACTTCTAACTCCGGGTATCGACTGAAATATTCAAAGAATTCACGTTGTCTTTCTTTGGTCATTGGCTTTTCGAAAACTTCCCCATTACAACTAATGATGGTATCACATGTGAGTATTATAGTAGGTGAATCAAATTTAGACTGCTTGATAATCGCTTCTCCTTTATGCTGACTTGTAAGTTGGACATATTCCAAAGGGGTTTTGTCATCTTTTGCCAAATTCTCCTCAAATGACGACGCTTTGGTTGTGAAGTTCTTGATTCCTAAATTATTTTCTAATATCTCCTTTCTTCGAGGAGATTGAGATCCCAAGATACAATTGTACTTTTCAAGTTTTGCAATTAAGGGATGGTTGAACATTGTTAGGAAGACCAAAGCGGGAAGGGTAGTTGTTACTCTTGGGTTGAGAAATTATCACTGACTATTGCTTACTTCCAGTATGATATTTATTATTCAAGTATAAATATCGATTTGGGTTTGAATGACGTCACCTCTCTAACCTCTACTGTCGATGGAGGATGACCTTGGAAAATACTAAACGTTATAAGTTTGTAACGCTTTTCCAGACCGGAAATTACCAGCGAAAAAAAAAAAAAAAATTCAATAATTTCAGGTGTTCCTATCATTCCAAAATACTTGAATATATTCATTTACTAGTCAAATATGTTCAGTTTATCTGGAGTGAAGTCATTCCTTATAAGACAATGGTTTTTCGTTGTTCTTACAATTTTCATTATTATAGCTCATTCATTTCCTGATTTTGCTAAACAAGGAGGTATTGTGCGATCAGAGTATACTATCGGATATGGAGCAGTGTCTATTATTTTCCTTATCAGTGGATTATCTATGTCTTCCAAACAATTAATTATCAATGCAACTAACTGGAGAGCACACTTCACTGTATTGACAACGTCATTTTTGATCACAAGTTCGATTATTTTTGGTATTGCTCTGGTGATTAAGCTGGTAGATACTGGCTATATTGACGACTGGTTACTAGTTGGTATGATTGTAACACACGCTTGTCCAACTACTGTTTCATCTAATGTTGTCATGACCAAATTAGCAGATGGAAATGATATTTTAACTTTGTGTGAAGTCTTTATTGGGAATATTCTTGGAGCATTTGTCACCCCTGCTTTGTTACAAATATACATGACTGGAATGTGGGATTTTGGAAATCCTAGCCACCAACCTGATGGAGATTTGAGTATTCTGCAGTTGTATATGAAGACGTTGAAGCAACTCGGTGTTAGTGTATTTCTCCCATTGTTTGTTGGTCAAGTGATACAGAATGCATACCCAAAACATACCAGTTGGTGCTTGACAAAATTAAAATTGAGCAAAGTGGGTTCCTTTATGTTGTTGTTGATAATGTTTCAATCTTTTTCCACCGCATTTGCCCAAAATTCATTTTCCAGTGTCAGCAATTCTTCAATTATATTTCTTGTGGTGTTCAATGTTGGAATCTACTTGTTTTTCACTGCGATTACATATTTGTATGCACGTCCATTTTGGATAAAGAAATGGTTTTCTGAAGAACCAGATGAAACTTCAACGAAATGGTATCGAATTGCGTACTCTGTATTTCGTCCATTTTATTATAATAGAAGAGATACAGTGGCTATAATGTTGTGTGGACCGGCAAAGACAGCTGCTTTGGGTGTATCATTAGCTTCATCACAGTATGGTGCAAAGAACCCTAAATTGGGTATAATTCTAGTTCCGTTGGTTCTTTATCAGACTGAACAGGTCATAACGGCGAATGTTTTGGTAGAATTTATGAAAAAATGGGTTCATGCTGAAGATAAGTTAGCTATGGATGAAGAAAGTGGGGATAGAGAAATCGTTGAAGATATCACAAGATCCTCGTCTGGTACAGGTGCAATCAGGCTTGTTGATTGAAATCTGGTAATATAGAAAATAATACATGGTATTTTTATAGAATGACTTTCATATAATAGCCTGCTTATGTAATCAGAAAAACCAGACAATTTGATCTGCACTTTCGCGGTTTAAATTTTTAAATTTTTTTTTTTTTTTTTTTTTTTTTCATTCACTCATCTCCCCCTATCTCACTATCTCAACAATGAAAGAAGTGGTTGTCGATATAGCCCCTAAATGTATCAAGGGTTTAGAGTTCGGGGCCTTATCTGCCAAGGATATTGTTGCCCAATCTGAAGTCGAGATCCAGACCCGTGATTTGTACGATCTAGAAAAGGGTAGAACACCAAAGGAACATGGTGCATTGGATACAAGAATGGGTATTTCATCAAACGCCCAAGAGTGTTCAACATGTCATGGTAATTTAGCTTCATGTCATGGTCATTTTGGTCATATTAGGTTGGCTTTGCCTGTATTCCATGTGGGATATTTTAAGAGTATCATTTCTGTCTTGCAGTGTATTTGTAAAAACTGTGCTGCCGTATTATTAGACGAACCAACAAAGAGACGATTTTTGAATGATTTGAGAAGACCAAACATTGATAATTTGAGACGTATGAAGATTTTGAAACAAGTTATTGAACAATGTAAAAAGCAAAGAAGATGTCTCAAATGTAACCATGTTAACGGGGTAGTTAAGAAAGCTGCCAGTGGTGCTGGTCCAGCTGCGTTGAAGATTGTCCATGACACTTTCAGATGGATTGGTAAAAAAGACACTCCAGAAAAGAATGCTTGGGATGATGATTTAGAGAAAGTTTTTCAAAGAAACCCCGAGTTGTCCAAGTTTGTTAAGAGGATTCATGATGATTTGAACCCGTTGAAGACATTGAATTTATTCAAACAGATTACTCCCCTGGATTGTGAATTGTTTGGGTTGGATCCTGCCAAAGGAGGTAGACCAGAAATGTATATTTGGAGATATTTGCCAGCACCACCTGTTTGTATCAGACCATCTGTTATGATGGATGCTCAATCCAACGAAGATGATTTGACTGTGAAGTTAACTGAAATTGTCTGGACCTCCTCTATGATCAAGGCGGGGATTTTAAAGGGTATTTCCATCAACAACTTAATGGAACAATGGGATTACATGCAATTATCTGTTGCCATGTATATCAACTCCGATTCTGCCAACCCTGCATTGCTGGCAGGTGGTGGTGGTGCTAAGGCCTCCAAACCTATCCGTGCATTTTGTCAAAGATTAAAGGGTAAACAAGGTCGTTTTAGAGGTAACTTGTCTGGTAAGAGAGTTGATTTTTCCGGTAGAACTGTCATTTCCCCCGATCCGAACTTGAAGATTGACGAAGTTGCTGTTCCCGATAGAGTGGCAAAAGTGTTGACATATCCTGAAAAGTGTACTCGATACAACAGAAAGAAATTACAACGTTTGGTGTACAATGGTCCAGATACTTATCCTGGTGCAAACTATGTCGCTAAACAAAACGAACCAGGTAAGAGAAACTTGCGTTTCGGTGACCGTGCTAAACTTGCAAAGAATTTGCAAATAGGTGATGTTGTTGAACGTCATATTGAAGATGGTGATGTTGTTTTGTTCAATAGACAGCCTTCGTTGCATAGATTGTCGATCTTGTCCCATTATGCCAAAGTTCGTCCTTGGAGAACCTTCCGTTTGAACGAATGTGTTTGTACTCCATATAATGCCGATTTTGATGGTGATGAAATGAACTTGCATGTTCCACAAACTGAAGAAGCTAGAGCCGAAGCAATTAATTTGATGGGGGTTAAAAACAATTTGTTGACACCTAAATCTGGTGAACCAATTATTGCTGCCACACAAGATTTCATCACTGGTTCCTATTTGATTTCGCACAAGGACTCGTTCTTTGATCGTGCATCGTTGCTGCAGTTGTTGAGTATGATGTCTGATGCCAATATCCAGTTTGATATTCCTCCACCGGCCATCTTTAAGCCAGTCATGTTGTGGACTGGTAAGCAAGTTTTCTCTTTGTTGATTAAACCAAACAAACAGTCCAAAGTTGTTATCAATCTTGATGCCAAGAACAAAACCTTCCATCCACCAGCCAAAGGTTTACCTAATGAGATGTCTCCTAACGATGGGTTTGTTGTTATTAGAGGTTCTCAAATCTTGAGTGGGTTGATGGACAAGTCTACATTGGGTGATGGTAAAAAGCATTCTGTTTTCTATACTATTCTTCGAGATTATGGTCCACAAGAAGCCGCCAATGCCATGAACAGAATGGCCAAAATGTGTGCCAGATATTTGGGTAACAGAGGGTTCTCTATTGGTATCAATGATGTTACTCCTGCTGATGAGTTGAAACAAAAGAAAGAATTGATGGTTGAACAAGCATATCTCAAGTGTGATCAATTGATTGACTTGTATAACCGTGGTAAATTGGAAACCCAACCAGGTTGTAACGAAGAACAGACTTTGGAAGCCAAGATTGGTGGTTTGTTGTCAAAGGTTAGAGAAGAAGTTGGGGAAGTTTGTATTAGAGAATTGGACTCATTGAATGCTCCGTTGATCATGGCAACCTGTGGTTCTAAAGGTTCTACTTTGAATGTGTCACAAATGGTGGCGGTTGTCGGTCAACAAATTATTTCCGGTCATCGTGTCCCAGATGGGTTCCAGGATAGATCGTTACCTCATTTTACCAAAAATTCCAAAACTCCACAATCCAAGGGGTTTGTTAGAAACTCGTTCTTTAGTGGATTGACACCACCAGAGTTCCTTTTCCATGCTATTTCTGGTAGAGAAGGGTTGGTTGATACTGCTGTCAAGACAGCTGAAACCGGTTACATGTCAAGAAGATTGATGAAGAGTTTGGAAGATTTGTCTACCCAATATGATAACACAGTGCGTAATTCATCTAATGGTATTGTTCAATTCACCTATGGTGGTGATGGTTTGGATCCTTATGATATGGAAGGTGATGCCAGACCGGTCAATTTCAACAGACAATGGGATCATTCCTTCAACTTGACCTATAATGTTGATGATAAAGGATTGTTGCCATACCAAATCAGTGAGTTGGTTGACTCGAAATTGTCTCCACTTGAGACGGGTAATAATGCGGAAACTGAGTTTTACAAGTCTATAAAAGAATTTATTGCCAAAAAGTCGGACAGATTAGGTAGACTTAGAGAGGATAGAGGTTTGAAGGCGTTTGTAACTGCTGGAGATATGGAGGTGGATGAAGATCCAGCTGTTGTTAACTCGGTTAATCAAATACTTAAGATTTCTCAAAAGACTATTGAAAAATTCCTTGAACAGTGTCTTTACAAGTACTCCCGTGCCAAGGTCGAACCAGGTACAGCTGTGGGAGCTATTGGTGCACAATCTATTGGTGAGCCAGGTACACAAATGACATTAAAGACTTTCCATTTTGCTGGTGTGGCGTCGATGAATGTCACATTGGGGGTTCCTCGTATTAAAGAAATTATTAATGCTTCTAAAGTTATTTCTACTCCTATTATTAACTCTGTGTTGGTGAATGACGAAGATGAGATTGCTGCACGTGTTGCCAAAGGACGTATCGAGAAGACTCTTTTGGAAGATGTTGCATTTTACATCGAAGATGTGTATAAAGATAACCTTTGTTATTTGTCGATCAAGATTGATTTGGAAACTATTGACGAA